GTTTTCACCAATATTAAAATGTATTTTTCTTCCCAATAGGCCATAAATAAATTTAATGCAAAACAATCAAAAGAAGAAGAATTAGATTACTGGAGACTTACTGAAGCCCTTGCAGCTGAGAAGGAGAAAGAATTTCAGAATTATGCCAGAGAAGTAATTGACTCTGAATCTGAATCAACAAAGAAATACACTTACCCTCTGGTAAGAGCTGTACAGGAAGGCGTGGGAGGTGGCCGTGGACCACCCTTCGTAGGCAGGGGTGGGATACGACCAAGCTACCAGGCAAACGATGCCACTGGTGTCCAGCTCCCTTTTTATAACTCTCAAGGATCAAAGTATAATGATTTTCAGAAGTCGAAGAGGAGGCTGGGTTTTACATGGTAAAGAAGTTTATTTTTATGATTGATAAAATTTATTGTAGCAAGTATAAGCTACAAATATAATGGAATTTTGATAATAAAGCACTCATCTCTATAAAATGTGTTGCCTGATTTGATTCTTTGCAGTATTTCCACTAAGAACACATATAAGATCCAGCATGTATGCATGTGTGTGTACAGATTCCAGGGACAACCTTCCATGTTGTTTCTTTCATTGCATCCAATGTTTTTAGAAGTCTGCGTCTCTCACCGGTCGGAAACTCAACAAGCAGGCTGTCAGTCCCATGTCCACCTCCTCAGCACTGGGCTTACAAGTGTGCGCCATCACACTGGAGTTTTCGTTAATGTGGGCTCTAGGGATCAGAGTCAGGACTCATTGTATTCAGTGAGCTACCTCAGCCACACAATGTCAACCTCATTTAGAACACGTTCATTAGGAATGAAAACTGTCTACAACCAAGTGTAAAGTGCATCTGCAGGATTGTAAAACTGTGACCTTGTACCCACTGAGCAGCACCTCCCCATGTCTCCTGCACACAGCTTCTGCTTTGTCTGTCTACCCTAGTTCTGTAAATACAGCCCCACTGTGGATGTCTGTGGACTTCTGTGTTGTCTACCATATTGTCAGTACTTTATCCTTAAGATTCAGTCAGAGATAGCTCTTTCCTCAACAGAAATTCATGTGCTTATTCGATGTCATTCAGTTCTTAAAGTCCTTCAGAATTTCATTGTTACTAATATGATTACTATAGGGTTTGAATTTCTCTGTGGTTTGTTGGGTATAGTTCCTAGACATGAAATTATTTAAAATAATCCTATATGTAGTTTTGTCAACTTGATACACAAGTTCATTGGAAGTTTTAGGAATTGTGGTAAAAAATAAAATAGAACATGAGCTACCATTTTAGCCACTTCTAAGTATGACTTAATAGTATTAAGTATATTTATGCCCAGGGCAGTGGTAGTGCATGCCATTAATCCCAGCACTCAGGAAGAAGAGACAGGGGAATCTCTGTGAGTTAGAGGTTAGTCTGGCCTACAGAGTGAGTTCCAGGACATCCAGAGCTATACAGAGAAACCCAGTCTCGAAAAACAGAACAACAAAAAAGTGTTAAGTATATTTATATTGCTATGCAATTTCTGAACTTTTTCATTCTTTACAACTGAAACTCCATACCCACGTAAAGTGTGCTCCATCCCTCCTTCCCTCAACTCTGTGAACAATTTAAATAATGTTTAGGGAAAATATCTAATTACTGAAATTCAAAGGCAAGGTAATATATGCCCAATGCATAATACAAACCACAGAACGTTTTTCTCTATATATTAAAAAAATACAGGGCTGGAGAGGTGGCTCAGAGGTTAAGAGCACTGACCACTCTTCCTGAGTTCAATTCCCAGCAACCACATGGTGGCTCACAACCATCTGTAATGAGATCTGGTGCCCTCTATTGGCCTATAGGATATATGTAGGTGGATTACTGTATACATAATAAATTTTTTTTTTTAAAAAAAATACACCCGGGCTGGAGAGATGGCTCAGTGGTTAAGAGCATTGCCTGCTCTTCCAAAGGTCCTGAGTTCAATTCCCAGCAACCACATGGTGGCTCACAACCATCTGTAATGAGGTCTGGTGCCCTCTTCTGGCCTGCAGACATACACACAGACAGAATATTGTATACATAATAAATAAATAAATATTTTTAAAAAAATACACCCATTTTCAATGATTAACTCCTAACTGTGGATATTTTCCCTAAACATTATTTAAATTTATACCACAAACAAAAAAATCTAAATGTCTTAGAAATCTTAAAAATATAGCTTTAGGGTTGTGCCCATGGGTGCAGTGCAGACACCTTTCATCCCAGCACTTGGAAGGCAGAAGTGGATCTCTTGTAGGTTCAAGGTCAGCCTTATCTACACGGTGGGACACTGCTTCAAAAAATTAACTAAAAATAGTTTTACAACCGTGCTATCACTGACAGGTGGGTGGGGGCAAGCAGAAGGGAGTGTTTACCAACCATGTGTGAAAGCCTGGGCTCAATACCTAGCAGCACAGAAACTGTGATAGGTTCATTTTTAATTTGTTGGCTACATACTGACTCTGAGGCCTGTCTGGAATAAAAACAAAACTCAACATGACACAAACAACAAAAAGCAGACACAGAAAAAAATTGCATGGTTTCTTACACTGGGAAATTTGCAGTAATTAAAGAGCAAATGGTAGGGGCTGGAGAGATGGTTCAGTGGTTAAAAGCACTGACTGCTCTTTTAAAGGACCCAGATTCAGTTCCTAGAGCCGTCATCCTCACAGACATACATGTAGGCAAAACAACAATGTACATAATAAAAAAAAATCTTTTAAAAAAACTGTATAATTTTAAGATAGTAACACAAATCCAAAACTTGCTAAAAGTTACTAAACTGAATCATTATGCTTAAACATCTGAGCTAGAATTTAGACTTGGAAATCACCACTGCTCACTAAATCCTATTTTTTGTTTACGTTTTGGGAAAGTACTGTGCGCCTAAGACACCTGCAGGGATCAGCTCTCTCCTTGCACCATGTGGATCCCAGAAATTCAGCTCAAATTACCAGGTTTGGCAGCAATCACCTTTACTCACTGCGCTATCTTAAAACCCTGCAATTCTTAGGGTCTCAGTATTCAGCCCTTGGCTGGCCTCGAATTCAGACATCCACTTGTTAATGCCTCCCAAGTGCTGGACTTAAAAGTGTGAGCCACTATGTCCAATAAATTCTTAAAGATCCATTTTGCCAATTACCTGTTTTTCTCAAAATACAAATGATTTTGCATTTCTATTATATAGTATTTTATAGGCTGTCATCTCATTTTTAATAAGAAACTAACAATTAAAAATATGATTCTGAATTATTTATTATAGTATACTTTATTTAATACAATGTTAACTATAAAAGTTAATACAGTTTTGAAGTTTAAATTTTGTAAAATGCAGTTTGCAGGAAACAGTCCAACATTTACTAGACTAATGCTAAGAGAAGCAGCATTTGTAAACTAATTTTACAATCGAGGAAACAAGTTTTCTAAATTCCATTAAAAAAATATACATCACAGTGACTTTGGAGCTAGGAAAAGAAGTGCATTAACTTAATTATGCTTTCCCCTTCCACAGAGAACAGTCACGACTTACGATCCCATAGAAATACCCAATTTATTTATCAATCTTTCAAAAATACTATAAACACACGGGGCATGTGGGGGAATCAGAGAATACAGAGCATGTGCTTTTAGTAACATGGAATTGTCTAGGAAGAGAAATAAAAGCAAACAGAAACAAACCAATACCTTTACACCCTCTGGCACTGGGGGAAAAAAGGAAGTGAACAGAGCCTTCAACACTTCCCTCTGTGGCCTGGACAGCCTTCTTGTTTTTAGTGATTAGTTGTTGTCACACAGCAGGCGAATCCCTTCAAGGCAGCTGATAACCCCACTGCAGGCAGTGATGGCAATCAGCACTTGCCATATACTTTATTTTGTAAAACAAGAATTAATTTAACAATGAAAGTTTATCAAACTACAGTTTGCCAACTATAAATGCATAAATCATACAAGGAATACTTAGAGTGAATAGAAACAAAAGACACAACAATGCACATTTAGTTCTTTATATCAATCAAGTCTAAGTCCCTTCTGGGGAATGAGAAACCCAACCCATTTCTACAGAGACCTGTTGTAAAAAGTTTTGTGATTAAAACTACCACCACGTGGAACAGATAAGACCAATCACGATCATACCAACTGCTCAAAATACGCACTAGAAAGTTAATGAGACTCATCAGTTAATACTATTACCCCAAATGCCAGAAACCCAGCACGTGCCTATCCAGAACATGAAGCAGTCTTTCGTGTTTAGCTTAACACCTTCCACTAGGAAACAAGAAGCAAAGGCCACCTGGCAGAGCCAGTGAGCATCTGGACCACACTGGGGCAAACAAAGAGCTGACGGATTAATTCTTGACAAATTCTAAAGGTTCCAATTAAGTGATTTAAAAGAAACTAGTTCTAAGTCAATGTTTTAAAACAACCAGTAGCTTCCTTCCTGACACAAATCTATTGTGGGTATCTGTTTGGAGACATTCTGATCCATCTCATCCATTGGCACTACCCATTCAGAACCAGCTATGATGCAAAACCTATCTTTACTTTCACTTACAATCTCTTTGTAGTGTTCATTTCTGTAGTAGACAGTTTACCCAGAAAAAATAATTCAAACAATAATCACTGAAGTCTTACATAGTCAAACAATTTCCTCAGCTTTGGAATCAAGCAATAAAAACAAGTTAAACTACTTTTAAAAGCTATAAAGACAAAATTACAAATTAACTGTAAATTCAAATATTTTTATAAAGCCAATTGATTGGAAAACGAAACAGGAAAGAGTGGAAACAATGTGTAAGGAAGAACTAAAAATCTACTAGCACAACTACTAAAACAAGGGCTTGCGCTTTGTGCAGTCAGATTAACTGTGAATCTTGAGGTACAATTAATGATAGTTAAGTAGTTTTCTAAGTGCTCTTTATATTCTGAAAATAAAGTCTAGATGATTGTCTTCTCAACTCATATCTGTTCTATTGAAAAAAAAAAAAACCTAACAAAGCAAGGGTGGGGGAACCCATAAATAAATGCTCCACACGGAGCCATTCTTTTTTTTCTTTTGCTCCTTGTTCTCTCTCATTCTTTCGGAGCAATTCTTTTGATAACCCAAACAGCATGTTACAGACATTACTAATTTTCTCCCATGTCTTTGTTTTGTTTTTAAAGAACTGGAAAGTCCTTGTATGTATGTATGTATACATATATATACATACATACATGCACATATATACATATATATATATAAAACAGACAAAAGCTCTAGGATCAGGAAAAAAAAGTATTTTTACTTAGTATGCATTTTAAAATGTTAGGAGAAATTCTCTTCTTAAAGATTAGATAGTTTGGGATGTATTTTAAAACACAACTGAATTTAAGACATAATCAACTCATTTTCAGACATGTAACATACATATATATATATACTAATTCTTCCCATCAGGAGAAACAATTTGTAAAGATGCCACCATGGGTATTTGTTTCAGAATATTCCAAAGAGCTTCAAAATCATCGCACCCTTCATTCTATACCAGCTACACTGCCAGTATCTTACTGGAATAACAATGGGAAGTATATTAGGCATCGCTTTATTCAGTACAAACAGCATTGAGTAGCTACTGGGTTTACCAAGAAGCTACCTTGGTAAGAGCTGACACTATACTGACAAATATTAAGGTACGAAACTTTCTAAAGACTACTATTAATTGGAGTTTTGAAATATTTTTCAAATGAGGCAGGTTTTGTGTTTGCCGGATGTTCAATGTTTTATTTAGAAGAATATTACAGAATAAAAGGCCACACATCACAAAAAATAGCAAAATACAACACACAAAATTCTGGACTTTGGATATGTTTAGTGTTTATCTCTGTAAGGTATCATATTTTGCAACTTTCTACTCTACTCTATATGGCAATGTTATACATGCCAAGTTAAAATTAAAGTTAACAGTAAAGTGGTCTAAAGCCATCAGAACAGAAAGAAACCAGAGTCACAAACATGCTGCAGCCGATCGTGGTACATACACAGAAAGATGCATCTTCTTGACATTTCATAGTCACAGCTATGAGAATTAGAGAAGTTAGTTCAAGTTTAAGAAAACCCAAACCATGCAGAATTAACACTCAATGTGATATAGGCTAGTAGCCAAAATAGTGAAATCTTATTTCCAATACTAACGCTTTTTAGAATCAGTCTAGCTTAAGTACCTACACAAGTAGTATGTTTTAATGAGAAATGTATTTTTTAAATTGTTAGAAAAAGGTAATAACCTGTTCTTAAAAAGCAACAATTTCAGTTCATCACACCAAGAGCAACAAGAATTGAAAACATAGCCTGATCTTCCAAGGTATAATTTCTGTCAAATGCTGTATAACAGCAACTCAAGCTCAACCAGCACCCAAACTGAAAACAGCATTCATCTCGTGTTGATAGCTCAGAGACATGGACAGTACTAAGGAACACACTACAGCTAGAACTGTAAAGTATAAGGTATAAAGCACAAAGAAAGTAAGTACAAATAACTGTAAAATCAAGTGATGATTTACAATCCCATAAAGATCCTGCTTCTGTGTAATTGAAAGAAATTGCTGTAAGCCTATTATAAATGCAAAACAAAAACTATACAAAACTTCTTCTAGTGGTTTCTCAAGGGATTTTTATTAAAAAGCAAACTTGTCTAACAATGTACTGCAACCAACAGATAAGCTTGTTTCCAAATGGCTGATTAAGCAAAGTAAGCTGCTATTGACTAATTGTTGCAACACAAAAATGAATACATAAAATAGTTTAACATAGTACACAATATTACACCAAAGTGGTTTGTTTTCATTTCAAGTTTATTAAAACTTTGCAGTACAAATTATCCAGGTAGCAGATTATCAAAAGATCATCAACTCAATGAAGTCCACATTTAAAAAAAAGGGGGGGGGGAGACAAACATAAAAACAACCCCAAAACAATGAGAACAACAACAACAAAAAAGATATAACAGTTAAGTCTTGAAAACTTAAAATTTGAGATAGGGAGGAAATAAGTGTACACAACTCATTCATCCACTTTTGTCTTCATCTGTTCCGGGGCTTGACTCATGATCACACTTTTTATTTTTGTCATGTACATGGTCATTTTCTTGACCCTTTGATTTTTGGTTTTCTTTTTCCACTGGAGATCTGGTCTTCTCGTTCTCCTGACTTTTCAACTCATTGTCCTGACTGCTCTGTTTTGGTTTCGACACTACTGGACTTTGATCTCTATCCGCCTTTTTTTCCCTGTTATTACTTGAGCTATTATGATCACGGTTTTTAGAGTACATTCTTTTTTCACCCTCAGAATTTTCTTTTCTGTGTGAACTTTTACTTTCTTGGCCTCTGTATTTTTCTTTGTTTCGGCTTTGACTTTCTTCTCTTTCTGAGCTCCGAGAATCCCTCCTTCTCCTCCTCCTGTCTTTACTTCTCGATCGTCCTGGAGTTCTTCGATCCCGGCTCCGTGACCTTCCTCTTCTCCTATACTCCTGTTCTCTGTACCTGTGGTACTCCTTGCTTCTGCTGCGATCTCTGTCATGGCTTCTAGAGCGCACTCTTCTGCTCCTGTCCCTGCTTCTGCTTCGCTCCCTCGTTCTACTGTTGTAACTGTGCTTACTTTTAGTTAGGTCGCGTTCTCTACTCCTAGACTGTGCACGTCTATCCTTTTCTTTACTTTTGCTAGGATCATGCTCATTGCTTTTTGATTCTACCTGTTTAGAATTCTCCTTGCTTCTACTCCTTTCCTGATCTTTCCCTTTAGAATCCAACTGTTTTTCTTTTTCTTTAATAGTCTCATGATCCCTGTCTTTACTTCTTGACCTCATCCTCTTGTCTTCATGTCTGTTATGCTTTGATTCTCTTTCCTTACTCTTGGATTTCTCTTTGCTCTTACTCCTACTTTTTGATTTGCCTCTTTTCTTCACTTTGTTTTTATTATATTTATCATCTTTTTCTGAATTTCTTCTGATCTCTCTCTCTTTGCTTTCAGATTTATGGTCTTTAACTTTCTTTTCCTTTTCTATTTTTCTGTTTGGACTCTCAGACATGTGTCTGTGATCAGTTACTTTTTTCTCTTTTACTCTAACTGGGCTCCTCTGATTTTCTTTTACTTCATTTAACTCGCTCCTAAAAAGTAAAGGAAGAAAAGATATTTGGAAATATTAGGAAAAGAACAGCATAATTACAAGCTACAATGCTACTGTGCTTTCTGTACGGTATAGGGAAATAAAAGTGCTCCTTCCTAATAAAGTATTTGTACAGAAAAATAAAAAAAAATCAATCATTTGAAATAACATTTAAATCTTACTTATCCCCTTTGATCCATCTTTCACCACTCGACACCCTCATTCTTTGAGCTCTCTGCATTTCTTGTCTCCAATGTGGAGGAGTCTCACTTCGTCTGAAACGATCCCTTGATCTGGATCTGGAAGGAGTTCGATAACGCTTAAGAAAATAAAAGGGGAAAAAAAGACCATATAAAAATTTAAGCGATACCATAGCTAAGATACATACTTATTTCTAGGTTGAAATAAAATGAATGAGGTTTCTCTGCTTTCTGAAATTGTTAAAATTATGAATGAGGCAGTGGTGGCGCACACCCTTAATCCCAGCACTTGGGAGGCAGAGGCAGACAGATCTCTGTGAGTTTGAGGCCAGCCTGGTATACAGACTGAGTTCTAGGACAAGTCAGGACTGTTTCACAGAGAAACCCTGTCTCGAAAAATAAAAACAAAACAAATTAGGAATGCAAAAGAATGTGTGCTTAGTATACATCAGACTCTACAATCCAATCCTGAGCATAATCAACTGTCTCAGCTTTCAGGAAGAAAACAGGCCTGAAATTGTCTTACTATAAATTCTAAGTCAGAAACATTACCACATCTTGCTAGGAACAGTCCTGCTCATCTAGTGCTAGAATACTTGGTATAATAACTACTACAAATTCCCAAGTTCTTATTCGAATGTTACTTTCGAAGGCAAATATCATGAGAAGTAGAATAAACACAAAAGTCCCCTTTTACAACCAACATTTACTCAGTTCTTTCAATGGCTAACCACATTACCAAAGAAATAACAGTGATCCAAGATATAGCAGATTTTGACCTCTGGGAACTTATAGAGAAACAGGAACAAATTAATGGATACATAATCACATACATTAAACTACAACAGAATGATTATAGAAGGAGAAATGGTGCTTAAATAATCGAAAAGAGACCTGACACAGTTATAGGAATGTGATCATGTAAAATAATAAAACCTGAAAATAAAGGAATGTTTTTGCTAAGTTACCTAGTATGAAGATGAAACAACACATGGAAGATTATAAAAAACCTCTATACTAAAAGTTCTTGGACAGAAACAAACAGCATTATTTTAGAAATGATCACAAGACAGGTGAAGTACAGCTAAAGAGAACAATTCCAAGAGAAAGTAAACCTAGATCATACTGATAAAGTAAACAAGGGTCGATTCTGTGAGGACTCAGCCTGTGGCTGACTAGTTTTTATTTATCCCAAAGTCAGTAACAGACTTGCCCAATGCTCAAAGTGCTAGAGGAGATTAAACTTAAGGCCTTCTGCATACTAGGCAAATTCGCTACCACTGGAGCTACACCACAGCCCAGATGTGCACTTTCTGACTACCCTGACCTGATTAAATACACCATATGCCTTTTCCACTTTTGCCTCTTCATGATCATCTGGTAGGATTACTCAGAAACCAAAAAACACGCTTTTTGATTGAACTACTTTCTTTCTTTTTTTCCCCGAGACAGGGTATCTCTGTAGCTTTGGGGCCTGTCCTGGAACTAGCTCTTGTAGACCAGGCTGGCCTTGAACTCACAGAGATCCGCCTGCCTCTGCCTCCAGTGCTGGGATTAAAGGTGTGCGCCACCACAGCCTGGCTGATTTAATTACTTTCATAGCTTATACTTGTGATGAGTATTTTGTAGTTCTAATTTCTAAAAGAACTAATATTGATGAATATAACTCACATGAACAAAAGTACTTTAGGATCTGCAATCATTTAAGGTTTAAGTTTAAACCAGTACTGATGAATAAAACAAAAACAAACCTACCAAATACAAGTTTGGAAGCCATTTATATTTGAGACAGCATTATGAGTAAAGTTTTATAGAAGTGCATGCATGCAAGAGTAGGGAGGAAAAGAAATGACAGGTGCTGGCATAAAAAGTTATATAAAATACAAAAGAAAGGATAATGACAATGATTTTGGGCTTTAGGGTGAAACAGGCAAACAGGTGGTGGTCCTAGTCACTGTGAGCAACAGCCTAAAGAGACACAAGATCTGAAGAGTAAATGCTTATGCTGAGATTTCTTGATGGTAAGTTTGAGGTGCTTGTAAGCCAAATAGACCTTTGGTGCCAAGAACAGATGGAACTATGAATTATCTGCCACCCATGAGACTAAAGAGCCTGTCCAAGAAGTATGCATTTTAAAATGAGCTAGAGCCCTGACACTAATTTATAAAGGTCATGCACATGTAATCCAAATTTAAGATAGATTGGCTTGAGAGATAGGAGAAGACAAGATTAAAACATTATGGAGAGAATATTAGAAGGTGAGATTAAGTAATGGACTTTGTAAATTGAACCAACCAGACAAGAGATGCTGTTTTCAACAGACTACAAAAGCGAGGGGGAGGGGGGACTGGGTAAGAAGCAAAGATTTAAGATAAAAAGTATAGACAAGCTTCTAAAAAAGTTTTGAAAGAAGTTATTTAAATTCCAATGGGAAAATTTATAGTTAAAAAAAAAGACAGAAATACAACGATCAATTTTTAGTGAGAGAAAGAAAGGAAGGAAACAAAGAAAAATGCAAGAATCAATTTTTACTTGTGAGAGAGAGAGAGAGAGGAAGGAACGAAATATGGAGGGAGGGAAGGAGGGAGAAAGGAAGGAAGGAGAAAGGAAGAAAGAAATGCAACGATCAATTTCTAGTTTTTGGCAAGAATCAATATATGATGGGTAAGAATTACCAAATGTCAAAAAGACCCTTAATGTTCTGCATTTCTGAGACAGGGTCTCATGCTGCATCCCAAGCTGGCCTGGAATTCACTATGCAGAGCAGGCTGGCCTCAAACACAGAGTAGTCTTCCTGCCTTACTTTTCTAAGGTATAACCACACCAGTCTCAATCCTGCTTTAAAATATGTACATTTATAATCTTTTTTCAATTTAGAAGTACCAACATATAAAAGTTACTGTAAGAAAACGATATAATTCAAAACATACATTTCTTCTATAGTTTTAGTAACTTAAATAGTAAAATGGCACTTAACTATATTTTTAAAACATTCAATTCCTTTTCCCTTGTCATGCTAGAGATCTGAAACTCAGCACCGTAAACATGTTCTGCAAGCACTCCAGCACTGAGCACTCTAAATTCTACGAAAGGTAAATGCAGTATTATTAACATTTTTGACAAAGAATCACCTACCCTTGGTCCTCTTCCTTTAATTTTCCTGCCAGACCTAGTAACTAAGAATCGTCGCTGGTATGAAGCAGGCTGGGAGTTAGGTGGATTACTAGAAGCAAGCAAAGGGAAATATATTACTTTTATAAAGAGGAAATCCTGAAAATATAGCTTTACTGATCTAAATGAATATATTTAATATATAACTGAAAATGCTATCAGATCCCAGTAAGCATTAGCACCCTGAACGTTAATGTTCTTGGAAACAATTATTAGTAAAGTGAAACTAATTTGATAGTGCTAAGGAAACTAATATATAATATCACAGAGGGACTCTTATTCCAAAATGCTTTAAAATCTCCTATGAGCAGTTGTACATTAGTAAGATAACTTTGGAGAAATTAAACAACGTAAATTAGGCAGAGACAAGTTGGTCTGAATTGGTCAAATATTACAGTTCTGTGAAACTGAACTGATTTTAAATTATATATAAAATTAGCTCATTATAGTATCCATGTAAGTGATACTTGAAAGGTTGAACTTTAGTCATTCAAATAGTTTTTCTTTAATCTTTGTTTCCTTAAAAATCACTCAGCACTCGGGAGGCAGAGGCAGGTAGATCTCTGAGTTCAAGGGCAGCCTGCTATACAGAGTAAGTTCCAGGACAGCCAGGACTGTTACATAGAGAAAACCTGTCTTGAAAAACCAAAACAAACAAAAATTCTCTTCCTAACTAATAAAAAAAAAACCTCAATCAAAATTATCTCAGCTTCCAAACTTTTACTTTTGTATACTACGAAAAGCATGGCAAATTTTTGTACCATACTTGGAATTTTGTTATTTTAAAATTGTATTACACATCATGATTAAAAAAGATTTCAATTTTTTTTATTTTTACATGTAATTATTTAAATGACTTATAAACACCAATAGAACTGGTAACAATAAGAGATTTATGTAGAAAAATATTCAAAATACCTGAACGTCCCAAGTATAAAGTCAGTATAAATTACAGTATAAAGTCAGGTTAGAAAAATAAGACTTTCCCCTTTAGACAGATTTATAAAACAAGGTTAATTTTTCTTTTTCAGTGTGTGTGTTTGTCAATGCATGTGCATGTAAATTCAGTTGCACCATTTGTGTGGGTAGGTCTGAGGTCAACCTTGGGTCATTCCCTAGGAGACATTCAACTTGTTTTTTGAAACAGGGTCTCTAACTGACCAGCAGTTTAGCAGATACGCTAAGCTGATTGGTTCATCCACCTTTACCTCCCCAGAACTGGGATCAAGCATGCTCTGTAACCAGGTTTTTTGCAGAGGTGTCAGGAACGACACTAAGGTTCTCATGCTTGCACGACTTACAGGAGTCCATTCTCTCTTTAATCCAGAAAGGCCCAGGGGAAAACACACTCAAAACCACTCTTGTTCTGTTTCTTCCTTTTCCTTGTCAACAGCTTCAGGAAAAGTCTTTACTTGTAGAACTTGTTTCCTCAAAAATCTACTGGTAACTGGAGTCTTTTTTTTTTTTAAAGAAATTTATGTATGTATTTAGCAAAAAATGAGCTTTGCTACAAGCATCTTTTTTTCCTAATTAAAAGAGGATTTCATTGGGATAAGGCCACCCCATTACAATACTGTCAAAAAAGAAAACTTGTATGGTACTATATAACAATACTATAAAATAGACACATTCACATACCACTCTCTTTCCCTTTCTCTCTCTCTGTTTTTTCTTTCCTTGTCATCAGCTTTAGGAGGACTTTTTCTCATTAGGAATCTATTTTCTGGTATAGGAGGGATCTCTTCTGGACGGACGGTAGACTGGGGCTGCGCATCAAGATTTTCCGCTTCACTTTCACTAGATGGGCTTAACAGGTAAAATCAAAGTAAGTTACATTTGGCTATTATGAACCTACCTAAAATTTCCAGCTGTTAGCATTCTTCTCTTTTTGAATTACATTTTCAGTTAGTGTGTGTATAAGCATGCATGCCATGGTACCCATGTGGAGTTGAAAACAACCTGCAGGAGTCAGTTCTCCCTTTCACTCTGTGAGTCCAGGATAAATTCAGGTCAACAGGCTTGGTGGCAAATGCCTTTACATGCTGAGCCATCTCATCAGTCCAGCAGTTCTTTAATATCAAAATATGTATATCTACCCCTTTTAAAGATGTGATCATGTGGCAAAATAAATTTCTTCCTCATTCCCCAACAAATCAACCAGCCAACTCAACTAAACAAAAATCCATTTGCTATCAAACTCTATCTTTCTAAAAGAAAGATCTAAACTATGGGACCCTGTAGGCAATATATTCTGATAAATTTAAAATACAGGGTAAGGCTGGCGATGTGGTTCAGTGGTGGAAAGCACTGGCTGCTCTTCCAGAGGGCACAGGTTCAATAGGCAGTACCCACATGGCAGCTCATAACCATCTGTAACTCTAGTTCCAGGGGATCTGATCCCCTCTTCTGAAATTCATGGGCACAGCATGCAAACACCTACAGACAAACAACAAAATTTTTTATATAAAATAATACAGGCTAAGGAAATTAGTCACTTTAGAGATAAGAGGTATAATTAAGTTTTAATATAAACACATTTTAAACAAAGCAGAAAATAAAATAGTGACTGAATCACCTGCTCTCAATCTATATATACACTGCTATCAGGGCAGAGAGATAAAACAGGACCTGTATATGTACTGCTACAAAATAAGGGACATAACCACTGGTTTGCTGTAATTCAAAACTGTCTCACAAATCTCTTCAGAATAAAAAATCCAAACCCAGAATGATGTTGTGCACCTGCAACTATTGCTACTTGGGAAGATGTAGTATAACAGTTTCCTCTGAGATTCAAACATTCCATCCTGCAGGAAGCTCCTTAAGCAGGAAAGTAACCACCAACTCAAAATAGCTTCAGGAAGTCTCTGAAACTGATAAGATTGACTGGGCTCTCCCTGCATGAGTAAGCAGAGCCTTGCTGCAAAGAAGACTCTGAGAAAAGACAAACTACAAAAGATTCTCAGACCATACACCTGCTGCCAGAAGCAGCAAAAACTGGCCAAGAAGCCTGGAAGAGGTTTAGATCAACTGAGGCACCTGACCTGGAAAAGACACTCTCCATCGCTGAGCAGCCTTCAGGCTGTGCAGTGTGCTTCACATTCCCAGCTTTGTGAGCTGTCACCTATGCTGCGGTGGGTTTTGGTGATATGGCTGTCTTTGAGTAATTTCTGCTTCTGTAAGTAACCTCAATACCACTCACTAGTTCACCAAGTTGGACTTTGGTCTGTTGTGGGCTCCCTATCTGGGGTGATTAAAGGTATGTGCAGACATGTGTGTTGCATCTCCCCAGGAAAAGTACTTTCACATAACAGTGGAGAGGGTAGAAGGACTATGAATTTGAGGCCAGACTAAAAAAATAAAAGCCCTGTAACAAAAAACCAAAAGCTTCATTCCACGGGGAGAACATAAAATTAACTGAGCGCTTTTGTTGCATGATTTCATGACACTGGTATAAAATCTATTTTAATGCTCTTATATAAATTAACTTAAAATCTTTATAGGCAATATTATTAGCATTGTAAAGACCTCTTCTTGCTTTTCTTTCGCTTCTTCTTTTCCTTCTTATGTTTTCGGGAGTTTTTCCTATGTTTCTTTTTTCTTTTTCGGGATTTTTCTTCAGAAGCGCTTTCAGAATCAGAAGAATCCGAGGAGGACTGAGAATCACTTGAGCTGTCTGAATCACTGGATGATGACGACGACGATGACTTATGCCTTTTCTTTTCTTCTTTCTTGACTTTAAAAACAAAAAGATTCCACTGAATAATTTTTAGGCACACTTACTTAAAAAAACAAAAAACGTTTTCTACAGATTTTTACTGAGGCCAGTATTAGGTTATTTTGTTCATCCAGTCTTCTCAACTCAGTCAGGACTCAGTGTTGGAATACAGATTTTCAGATTCATGAGCCAAAATTCTATTAAGCCAAAGTACTTCTGAAAATAAACAAGCTCCAAAGTCAAAACCAAGTTAATTTTAAGAAACATCTGAATAAAAAAAAATTAAGCAGAGTAACACCTAAGAATCCCCAGTTTCTAATGTTATTGTTTTCCACTTCTATTTTTGAGACAGGAGGTAGTACCAGAAAAACATCATTGTGTCAACATAGGAAGGGACGTTTCATTGGCACTAGGCTTAAACATCCATGACTGAATTCCTCAAATAAATAGAAACAAAGCTTTAACTGAAGCACAACTTGATTGAAGCACAATCTCATAATCAGAAATAATTTATCAATAATAAATATGTTTTAAAAGTCTCTACAAAAAAGTCTCAAGTTGAAATTTTAATTTGATTAGGGAATATTTTTGAGACACTACATAGCCCTAGCTGTCCTGGAACTCACTATGTATATCAGGCTGTCCTCAATCACAGAAACCTACCCACCACCTCTACCTCTGTACTGGGATTAAAGGTGTGTGCCATTACACCTGGCTAGGTAATCAATTTTTTGAAACTTACTTTGTTATCGTTATCATGTGCTATGATGTGTGTGCCATGGTGAGAGGACAATTTTGTTGAGTTCCACTTTTAGGTAGATTCAGGGACTGAACTTAGGTCACCAGGCTTATATGGCAAGCACCTTTACCTGCTGAGACATCTTGTCAGCTCAGGAAATGATTTTTTTTTTTCAAGACAGGATTTCTCTGTGGCTTTGGTGCCTGTCCTGGAACTAGCTCTTGTAAGCTAGGCTGGCCTCGAACTCACAGAGATCCGCCTGCCTCTTCCTCCCGAGTGCTGGGATTAAAGGCGTGCCCACCACTGCCCGGCAGGAAATAATTTTTTTAAAAGTTTCTGAAAACTTGGATGCTTTAAAGAACATATTAACATAAGTAAAGCTTTCAGTTAACATAAGTTATCATATATACTGCATATGAACTTTTCAATAGGTACAATATGACCCATTTAAAGCTGTGCTAATTCAGACTAGGATGTGTTGTGGAATATTTAAATATGTAAATTTTTACATTTGTTTTTGCTACACTTAAATTAACGATATAAGGATGTGTTACATTTGTTTATGCTGCATTTAATTAGAAAAGATGTTCTATTTCACCTACCTGTGTAAGGCACTTGATTGGTCTAATAAAAAGCTGAATGGCCAATAGGTAGGCAGAAGAGGGATAGGCGGTGCTGGCAGGCAGAGAGAATATATAGGAGGAAAAAAAAAATCTAGACTTAAAAAGAATGAGAGAAGAGAGGAGAGAAGGCGGGGAGATAAAGAGGGAGATGCACAGGGCTAACCAGGCAGCTCACAGCCAGCAGACACAGAGTAGGATGTACAGAAAGAAACGTTAAAAAAACAAACAAACAGCCAGAGGTAAAAGGTAGATAAAAATAAATAGGTTAACTTAAGTTAAAAGAGCTAGCCAGAAACAGCCTAAGCTAGGCCGACGATTCAAAGGCAATAATAAGTCTTTGTGTCATGATTTGGGATCTGGTTGGTGACCTAAAACAAAAACCCTGGTACAAGGATGGATTTGAAAATAAGTACTCAGGCCAGAAATGGGTCAAACACATACGTAAGGGGGAATTTCAATAAATTAGCAAACATTAAATAAATACTTGAATCCATTAGTACACAGTGGTATTGATAAATTAAAATATAAATAAATCATTCAGCCTTTCCAATATGATTTCTATCAATTAACAAAGGGAAGCTGCTCTTTATCTGGACAGCTCCAGGAGTAAGTGACAAAGGAACTATTGTTAAGAGTATCTTTTGGCAACTTCTAATGAGGCACTGAATGAACACCAATTGCAGAGCAGGGAGAAATCAACCCTGTGTGACTTCTAGTCTCATAAAAACAACAACAACAACAAAAAACAAACCTGGGGGTGGGGGGACATGACACAAAACAAAGCCGAACCTCATCAGTTTTCTAGGTTGACACAGAAACATAAAACCATGTAAAGTACACTTATAAGAAATATTACATGAAAAATTGAAAGCTCCTGCCCTCAAATGAGCCTACATCTCAACTTCCCAAGTAATTGTGACTACAGTTATGCCTGCCACAAACTAACAACAAAAAAAATCCAGTATTTACAACCAATCTCAATGTTCAAACCTTATTTGAGTCCAGATTCAAAAAAATAACAAAATTATTATTGATCCAACAGATCTGAATGAACATTGCCAAGTTACACACAAGGAGTATGTGGGTAAAATCATGGCACTAGAGCTATCTTTATAAAGAGTCACTTCTTAGGAGAAAAAGCAAAATTATCTGTTGATAAAATGTACATCTGGAATTTGCTTCAAATAGGAAAACACTTGAGAGTAACGACTCATACATATCTATGAGTTTGAGTCTAGCCTGGCCATACAGCCAAATCCTGCCTTAAAAGTACAGGTCAGTCATCCTTTCATGATAAAGGTCTTGAGAAAGCAGGGATATAAGGAACATACCTAAACATAATAAAAGCAATATACAGCAAGCCATCAGCCAACATCAAACTAAATGGAGAGAAACTCCCAGCGATCCCACTGAAATCAAGAACAACACAAGGTTGTTCACTCTCTCCATATCTATTCAATATAGTTTTTGAGGTCCTAGCTAGAGCAGTAAGACACCAAAAGGAGATCATGGGGATACAAATCGGAAAAGAAGTCAAACTCTCACTGTTTGCTGATGATATGATAAGTTTACATAAGAGACCACAAAAATTCTACCAAGGAACTACAACTCATAAACACTTTCAGTAATGTAGCAGGATACAAGATTAACTCAAAAAAATCAGCAGCCTTACTGTACACAGACAATAAAAGGGCTGGGAACAAAATCAGAGAAACATTACCCTTCACAAAGGCCACAAAATAGCATAAAATATCTCGGGAGTAACTCTAACCAAACAAGTGGGAGACTTATATGACGAGAAGTTTAAATCTTTGAAGAAAGAAATTGAAGAAGACACCAGAAAAATCTCCCATGCTCTTGGGTAGGCAGAATTAACATAGTCAAAATGGTAATCTTACCAAGAGCTATCTACAGAGTCAATGCAATGCCCATCAAAATCTCAGCAAAATTCTTCATAGACCTCGAAAATACAATACTCAACTTCATATGGAAAAGCAAAAAACCCAGGATAGCCAAAACAATCCTATGCAATAAAAGAACGTCTAGAGGCATCACAATCCCTGACTTCAAACTCTACTACAGAGCTACAGTAATGAAAACAGCCTGGTATTGGCATAAGAAAAGACAGGAGGACCAATGGAACCAAATCAAAGATCCAGATATCAATCCACACATCTTCGAACACCTGATCTTTGATAAAGAAGCAAAAAAGCCCGGCAGTGGTGACGCACGCCTTTAATCCCAGCACTTGGGAGGCAGAGGCAGGCGGATCTTTGTGAGTTCGAGACCAACCTGGTCTACAAGAGCTAGTTCCAGGACAGGCCCCAAAACCACAGAGAAACCCTGTCTCAAAAAACCATAAAAAAGGCACTGGGTCCGAATCCTCAGGGCAACCAAGCGGGCGGGAGTTCCTTTGTTTCTATAGCCTGCCTGCACCAAGCAAAGTAGGCGCTTTGTTTACGAGCTACCCAACCAGCACGGAGACCTGATCTCTCGGCGCCAGGAGAGCCAACATTGGGGTGAGTTTCTGACCCCGCGGCGCCAGCCCGGGACAGGGAACTCAGAAGTTCCTCAACCCCGTATCCTTCTTGGGCTCTCTGCAGGGCCTCTACTCCCTGCATACTGCCTCTTTCTTCCTATCCCACCCAGCTTGCATCCAGAACCCTCCCCACTTCGGCCCCCCTGCCCTCTATCGACACATAACATCACCCAGCCCAGCCTGTCTGGGCACTGGGTCCGAATCCTCAGGGCACCCAAGCGGGCGGGAGTTCCTTTGTTTCTATGACCTGCCTGCACCAAGCAGGGTAGGAGCTTTGTTTACGAGCTACCCAACCAGCATGGAGACCTGATCTGGGTGCCAGGAGAGCCAGCATTGGAGAGAGAGCCATCATTGGGCACGGAGATCTGATCTAGGCACCAAGAGAGCCATCACTGAGAAGGTACATCAGTAGGCAAGGAGACCTGATCCAGTAAAAGAAGAACCATAAGGGAGCATTTGGAAGAAGAGATGGGCAGAAGTCAATGCAAGAATTCACCCAACAATCTGAAAAACAACATGAAGCCACCAGAAACCAGCGACCTCACAACGCGAGGACATGAACACCTTAATCAAGAAGAAGTAGAAAAGATTGACTTCACGAAAGTAATTGACGCCCTTAAACAGCATGTAAAGAACGCCCTTATAGAAATGGATGAGAAATATAACAGAAAGTTTGAAGAATTGAATAAATCAGTGAATGATACCCTAGGAAACCAAGGAAAAACAATCAAACAGATAATGGAAACAGTTCAAGACTTGAAAACTGAAATGGAGGCAAAGAAGAAAACACAAACAAAGGGCCGTCTGGACATGGAAATTTTAAGTAAACAAACAGAGTCTACAGAAACAAGCATAACCAACAGAATACAAGAGTTAGAAGAATCTCAGATTCTGAAGATACCATAGAGAAAATAAACACACTGATCAAAGAAAATAGCAAGTCCAACAAACTCTCATCACAAAACATTCAGGAAATCTGGGACACAATAAAAAGACCAAACCTAAGAATAATAGGAGTAGAAGAAGGAGAAGTGCAGCTCAATGGTCCAGAAAATATATTTAATAAAATTATAGAAGAAAACTTTCCCAACCTAAAGATATACCTATGAAGATTCAAGAAGCATACAGAACACCGAATAGGCTGGATCAAAAAAAAAAAAAATCCCCTCGCCATATAATAATCAAAACACAGAGCATACAGAATAAGGAAAGAATTTTAAGAGCTGCAAAGGAAAAAGGCCAAGTCACTTATAAAGGTAAACCTATCAGACTTACACCTGACTTGTCCATGGAAACCATGAAAGCCAGAAGGTCCTGGATTGATGTACTGCAGAAACTGAGAGACCATGGGTGCAAGCCCAGACTATTATACCCAGCCAAGCTTTCGTTCACTATAAATGGAGAAAATAAAATTTTCCAGGATAAAAACAAATTTAAACAATACGCAGCCACAAATCCAGCCTTACAGAAAGTAATAGAAGGAAAATCACTAACCAAGGAGTCCAACAATGACCACAATAACTCAGACATCTAGAGACCCTTCACATACACAACTCAAAGAAGGGAAACACACAAACTCGACGACTAAAAAAGTGACCGGAGTTAACAACCACTGGTCATTAATTTCACTTAATGTCAATGGACTCAACTCACCTATAAAAAGGCACAGGCTAAGAGATTGGATAAGAAAACAGGATCCAACATTCTGCTGTTTACAAGAAACACACCTCAACCACAAAGACAGGCACCTACTCAGAGTAAAGGGCTGGGAAAAGGCTTATCAAGCAAATGGACCTAAGAAACAAGCAGGTGTGGCCATACTAATCTCTAACAAAGTTGACTTCAAACTTAATCAATCAGAAGAGATGGAGAGGGGCATTTTATACTCATAACAGGAACAGTTCATCAGGATGAAGTCTCAATCCTGAACATCTATGCCCCTAATATAAAAGCACCCACGTACATAAAAGAAACATTGCAAAAATTCAAGGCAACCATCAAACCGCACACACTAATAGTAGGAGACTTCAACACTCCTCTCTCACCAATGGACAGGTCAATCAGACAGAAACCTAACAGAGAAATAAGAGAATTAATGGAGGTAATGAAGCAAATGGACTTAACAGACATCTATAGAACATTCCACCCAAATAGGAAAGAATATACCTTCTTCTCTGCAGCTCATGGAACCTTCTCGAAAATTGACCACATAGTCGGTAACAAAGCAAACATCCACAGTTACAAAAAAATATTAGTAACCACCTGTGTCTTATCAGATCACCATGGATTAAAGTTAGAATTCAACAACAATGCTACCCCCAGAAAGCCTACAAATTCATGGAAACTGAACAGTCAACTACTGAACCATACCTGGATTAAGGAAAAATAAAGAAAGAAATTAAAGTCTTCCTGGAATTCAATGAAAATAAAGAAACAACATACTCGAACTTATGGGACACTATGAAAGCAGTCCTAAGAGGAAAGTTCATAGCACTAAGTGCCCACTTAAAGAAAACAGAGAAAGCTCACATTGGAGACTTAACAGCCCACCTGAAAGCTCTAGAAAAAAAAGAAGCAGACTCACCTAGGAGGAGTAGAAGACTGGACATAATCAAACTGAGGGCTGAAATCAACAAAATAGAAACACAGAAAACAATCCAAAGAATCAATGAAACAAAAAGCTGGTTCCTGGAGAAAAATCAACAAGATTGACAAACCCCTATCCAAACTAATCAAACGGCAGAGAGCGAATTTGCAAATTAATAAGATCAGAAATGAAAAGGGGGACATAACCACAGACACAGAGGAAATTCAGAGAATCATTAGATCTTACTACAAAAGCCTATATGCCACAAAACTGGAAAATGTAAAGGAAACGGACACTTTTTTAGATAAATACCATATACCAAAGTTAAACCAGGACCAGGTGAACAATCTAAATAGACCTGTTAGTCGCGAAGAATTAGAAGCGGTTATCAAAAATCTCCCTACCAAAAAAAGCCCAGGACCAGATGGTTTCAATGTGGAATTCTACCAGAACTTCCAAGAAGACTTAATACCTATACTCCTTAATGTATTTCACAATATAGAAACAGAAGAGTCATTGCCAAATTCCTTTTATGAAGCTACAGTCACTCTGATACCAAAACTGCACAAAGACTCAACCAGGAAAGAGAATTACAGGCCAATCTCACTCATGAACATCGACGCAAAAATCCTCAACAAAATACTGGCAAACCGAATCCAAGAACATATTAGGAAAATTATCCATTATGATCAAGTAGGCTTCATCCCAGAGATGCAGGGCTGGTTCAACATACGCAAATCTAAACTGATCATTTCATTAGATGCTGAAAAAGCATTTGACAAAATTCAACATCCCTTTATGATAAAAGTATTGGAGAGATTAGGGATACAAGGGTCATACCTAAATATAATAAAAGCTATATACAGCAAGCCGACAGCTAACATCAAATTAAACGGAGAGAAACTCAAAACCATCCCACTAAACTCAGGAACACGACAAGGCTGTCCACTCTCGCCATACCTCTTCAATATAGTGCTTGAAGTTCTAGCAATAGCAATAAGACAACATAAGGGGGGGGATCAAGGGGATTCGAATAGGAAAGGAAGAAATGAAACTTTCGTTATTTGCAGATGATATGATAGTGTACATAAGCGACCCCCAAAACTCCACCAAAGAACTTTTACAGCTGATAAACACCTTTAGTAATGTGGCAGGATACAAGATAAACTCCAAAAAATCAGTTGCCCTCTTATACACAAAGGATATGGAAGCAGAGAGGGAAATCAGAGAAGCTTCACCTTTCACGATAGCCACAAACAGCATAAAATATCTTGGGGTAACTCTAACCAAGGAAGTGAAAGATCTAATTGACAAGAACTTTAAGACATTGAAGAAAGAAATTGAGGAGGATGCCAGAAAATGGAAGGACCTCCCTTGCTCTTGGATTGGGAGGATCAACACAGTAAAAATGGCAATTCTACCAAAGGCAATTTATAGATTCAATGCAATCCCCAAAAGGGTCCCATCAAAATTCTTCACAGATCTTGAGAGGACAATAATCAACTTTATATGGAAAAACAAAAAACCCAGGATAGCCAAAACAATCCTATACAATAAAGGATCTTCTGGAGGCATTACCATCCCTGACTTCAAACTCTATTACAGAGCTACAGTGATGAAAACAGTGTGGTACTGGCATAAAAACAGAGAAGTCGACCAATGGAATCGTATAGAAGACCCAAATTTTAACCCACAAACCTATGAACACCTCATTTTTGATAAAGGAGCCAAAAGTATACAATGGAAGAAAGAAAGCATCTTCAACAAATGGTGCTGGCATAACTGGATGTCAACCTGTAGAAGAATGAAAATAGTACTCCATTGTGTAAACTCCATTGTGTATATTTACACAATGGAGTACTACACAGCAGAAAAAAACCGACATCTTGAATTTTGTAGGAAAATGGATGGAGCTAGAAAGCATTATTTTGAGTGAGGTAACCCAGACATAGAAAAACAAGTATCACATAATTCATAAGTGGTTTTTAAACATAAAACAAAGAAAACCAGACCACAAATCACAATCCCAGAGAACTTAGACAACAATGAGGACACTAAGAGAGACTTACATAAATCTAATCTACATGGGAAGTAGAAAAAGACAAGATCTCCTGAGTAAACTGGGAGCGTGGGGACCCTGGGATAGGGTTGAAGGGGGAAGGGGAGAGGCAGGGAGGGGAGCAGAGAGAAATGTAGAGCTCAATAAATATCAATTAAAAAAAAAGTAGAAAAAAGAAAAAGAAAACCACATGGGGGGGAAAAAAGAGGCCGAACAAGGATAGGAAGATAACAAATTTGAGGCCATTCTGACTGCAGAGTGAGTCCTCGTCTCAAAAAACAGAAGCAAAACATGGCCAAAGGAAAATATCAACACTCAAACTTTCATTGGTGATATATCAAAAAAGAAAACAAAAGCGGTCATTGAGTTTTACTTAGATTAAATTGTTGAGAAATAAAAAATAAGTAATAACCTTTCACGATACCCACAAACAGCATAAAATATCTTGGGGTAACTCTAACCAAGGAAGTGAAAGATCTATTTGACAAGAACTTTAAGACATTGAAGAAAGAAAAATAGTTTGCTCATGAAAATACCAGGAGTTTTTGCTCATGAAATTATCAGAAGTAGTATAGCTTATACTTTTTGAATGTGCCTATAAAGGTATTCAGTCAAGTAAAGTTCACTTAGTATGCAGACAAGATTATGCATAAGCAAAATTTCCTGAAACATCATATGCACTAGAACAAATGCACATTTTCAAAACAAGCATTCTAGCAGATGTGACCTATATCAGAATGTGAAACAGAGGTTGAACGGGGCGTGTTGATGCTTATCTTTAAACCCATCACTTGTGTGTGTAAATCTCTGTGAATTACAGGCCAGCCAGGGCTACACAGAGAGATCTAACCTCACCCCCCAACACCCAAAGAGGTTGAAGAAAGTAGTAGAGAATAATTACCTGCAGAGCACATACAAAATGATAAACATTGTGCAAAATTCTTTCCAAGTATAATTTACTTACTGTATACTATGGTTATGGTACCTTGTATATGGCTTCTGAGGAACCATAACTGAAGTTGTGGTGAAATAGACACATATGTGCAGGAACACACACACACAAAATTAGAAAAAAAAAGTAACAGCACAAAATATAACTAATCCCACAAAACCTTCATGCTTTATATACACTTCATTAAGAATTTTATGCCAAAGATTTAGAATCTTTCTGCTTATTTGAACAAGAATTCCCTAAAACATGGACCTGCTCTTACCTTTAGACTTTGGGATCAGTTCCCCACAACTGAGTATCCGCACCTCAGCAAACGGCTTGCTAGCAGCGTCTGTCTTCTGGTTTTCAATCTCTCTGACAACTTCTTGGCCAGAGATCACTTGCCCAAAAACAACATGATGCCTAGAGTGTTAAGTAAAGATGTCTAAATAAAATCTTCTTACTTTAATAGCAACAAAGTTGTTGTGAAATATTAAAATACGTTGTAAAATATTAAAAACTTTACCCATCTAAATGAGGAGTTGGTTTCGTTGTTCTTTTGGAAGTCATCAGATATAAGAATAAAAAACAAAGAGACAAAGTTAGCATCTCTAAAAAAAAAAAAAACAGTGCATGGAAACAAGAAATTGTGTTACCTTTACACAGCAGAACCTCATGAGTGCAAAGGATTTTCCACACAATTAAAAAAAAAAACACTTGTTCTGAATATAAAAGCAGTGACTACTTATTATTGACCTGCATGTAGTTAACATTTGGTATTATTTCTATCCACCCGTTATTTCTTAAATGTAACTGGGTTTCTTAAATATTCCTGATTGTATGATGTTCTACTATATTGATATTACCAAAATTTACCAGATCATTCTACTAGCTCACGGGTTTAACAACAGTGCTTTTCACCCTAACATTTAACAGTTAAAGTTGAGGGTATTAGAGGACTTAAGATGGGAACAGTCACTGTTTGTGGCCCCGAAATGTATTTGTTCAACCAGTATAGAAACAGTCCACTTAAGTCTCATACATTTAAAAATTAACTGCCAATATTTAACTGTGGATTCTTTTGCATGAAAACCCAAGTTCCAGAGCTCTCGGAGTATCTAAAAATCATGGCACCTAGCACACAGTAAGTGACTAGTGCTCAGTGTTCCTGCTTAGAATCCATGTTCAAACAAGTTTACTTATGGAAGTTGCCTTCACCAGGCAATCTGTGATATAAAGAAAAATTCTGTGTTGAAGAAAAGTAGCATTAAAACAGATCAAGTCCAAATAAGAACATGATGGTACATGTACTGGGGGAAGCTAAGATGGAGGATAACTTGAACCCAGAAGTTCAAAGAGCCTTGAGCATGAGATTCTTTCAAACCAAACTCACCTAAAACTAAAGCATTTTTTGTTCAATGAAATTTTTGCAAGCACTGCCCTCAACTCCTTTTTATTCCCAAAGTCAAACTTAAAATGATGTATTTAGAAGCCTGGTACGTGGTTATGTACCAGAAACGTGGCACAAAATCTCTCACAACTAGACAAAGTCCTTGGTGTACAGCATGAGTTTGATCCCTAGCACCCACACAAAAAGCTGGGTATAGCTGGGTGGTAGTGGCACACACCTTTAGTTCTAGCAACTGGGGGACAGAGAGAGGCTGAATTCTTTGAGTTTGAGGCCAGGGTGATCTACAGAGCGAGTTCCAGGACAGCAGGGCTACACAGAGAAACCCTGTCTTAAAAAACAAAACAAAAACCCCCAAACAACAAAACAAATGAAAGCCAGGTACAGTGGTGGATGGTGCCCAAGTTTGTCCTCTGACAGGAGAAATGCCGTTAAGCCACCTCTCCTACTTTCTTGGAGAGCTCTACCATCTGAGATCTTTAGTAACTGGTTCTACTATCCCCCTTAGTAATTCTTTTTTTCACCTCTCTTACAATTTTTCTCTTATAATGGCAATGGGGAAAGTTAGAAGGGATACTTTAGACCTTAAATACTTACATGAAGAACTGTGAGCCATTTGTATCCTTCCCTCTGTTGGCCATTGATAAGAGAAATTCTTTGTTGTGTTTAACAGCAAAACTTTCATCTAAAGAAAAGAAAAATTTTCAGTTATGTTAGAAGCATAAGCTCCAAAACACTTATTTTAGAGGCTGGCAAGATGGCTTAGTGGTTAAGAAGTTTGTTGTGGCCGGGCAGTGGAGGCGCACGCCTTTAATCCCAGCACTCGGGAGGCAGAGGCAGGCGGATCTCTGTGAGTTCGAGACCAGCCTGGTCTACAAGAGCTAGTTCCAGGACAGGCTCCAAAATCACAGAGAAACCCTGTCTTGAAAAACCAAAAAAAAAAAAAAAAGAAGTTTGTTGTACAAACATAAGGACCCAACTTCAGATCCCAGGACCCAACTATGTAGAAGACCAAATTGACTACTGGACACCTCTAAGCTCAGTGCTGTGGGAGGCAGTAATAGAACTGCTGGGCTTGCTGGCTGATAGTTTAGCTTAAGGCTAAGTGACAGACCCTGTCTAAAGGAATAAGGCAGAATGACAGAGCCCTGATGTCTTCCTCTATTCTGTACACATGTGCAAATGTTCCTATTTGCTACACTTGTACACATACATCACACTCAAAAAAAATTCATTTTTCACTCCTGTTCATAACAGAAATGTTCCTGTTTGTTTATTTGAGACAGGGTCTTGTTATTTAAGCCAATTTGGTCTCCAAATCCTTCCTCAGCCTCCCTAGTGCTGGTATTACAACCATTGCTACCATGCCTGGCTGGAAGTGTTCATTACTGTCAAACACAACACAAACAACGAAGTAGGTTACGAAGGAAGAAAGAAGCAATTATGAACCTAATTTTTTCTTCTCTATATTTTTAGATTTAACACTAATTTTTACCCCCTGGCATAAAGGATGAACTCAGTGTCCCATGTACGCTAATCAAGCACACTATCACTGAGTCTAAAGTACATAAAATTTCTATGCCTTGCTTGCCTATCATGCACAAGGCCTGGGATTTGATCCCAGCCCTGTTATTAAAAATAAACAGCAATACAGTAAGAGAGTCCAGACAAGATTCCTTTACAGTTTATCCATTTCATTGTGAGCATGGATAAACATCAGTCTAGATTCAACTTCATTCACCTTCACCATAGCATTATTTACTTCAATGGAAAGAACTTGTCTTCCAATCCTTGATTAGAGAATGCAAAAAAGTAAGCGAAATTTGAGATAATATTCTCCTGAATACCAAAAGTGAAACATAAAACCAATTAAGTTATTTCTACTTATCTGCCTTTAGTTGTATGAAAACTCAAGGTCCAGACCTACTATAATTTATAATGAGTGAAAAATACTAAAAACAATTTAGTGCTCTTCCAGAGGACCCAGGTTCAATTCCCAGCACTCATATGGCAGCTCACAACTGTCTGTTACAGGGGAATCTGACAACTTCACATCAAATCACAAAAAAGTTAAATAAAAAAGAAAAACAATTTAGATGTATAAATTTTACCTTCAAAGAATCCTCCATAAATAGATTCTCCTCCTCTTCCATTCCCTAGAAATGAAAAAAAATCACTCTTAGATCTCAGGATAGTAAATTCAGCCAAACACTTCTCAATTCTGAATCAATAACACTCAAAGGACTATAACAAATTATAAGACATCAATATAATGCCAATAACAAGATTGGAAACTGCCTTTCTCCTATGATACTACAGTAAGAATACGACAAGTTGCCAGGTTGTGATGGCGACACCTTCAGTGAGTTCCAGGACCCCTACAGAGAAACCCTGCTCCCCCCACAAAAAAAAGCCAGGTGATGGTAGTGTATGCCTTTAATTCCAGCACTCAGGAGGCAGAGGCAGGTGGATCTCTGTGAATCAGGAGGCCAGTCTGGTCTACAAGAGCTAGTTTCCGGGACAAGCTCTAAAGCTACAGAGAAACCCTCTCTCGAAAACTGGAAAAAAAAAAAGGGGTGGGGTGGGGTGGGGTGGGGTGATGCTGCTGAAGAGAAAGCTCCAGTGGTTAAGAGCTCTGGGTTCAATCCCCAGCACCCACATGGCAGTTTACAACTGCCTTTCTAACACCAGTTCCAGGGGATCTGACACCCTCACAAAGACATGCAGGAAAAAAACAACAATGCACATAAATATTTAAAAAAAAAAAAGTATGTTCTTTAAAACAAACCAAAACTAACAAGCCTATTAAGATTCATGGGGGGCTGGAGAGATGGCTCAGCGGTTAAGAGCATTGCCTGCTCTTCCAAAGGTCCTGAGTTCAATTCCCAGCAACCACATGGTGGTTGACAACCATCTGTAATGAGGTCTGGTGCCCTCTTCAGGCTTGTACCCAGACAGAATATTGTATGCATAATAAATAAATAAATATTTAAAAAAAAAAAAAGATTCATGGGAAAAGACTCAGGGTAAAGGTGCCTGTCACCAATCTGACAGAGTTCAATCTATGGGACCCACATGCTGGAAGGAGAAACTTTACACTGCAAACTGTTTTCTAACTCCACATACCATAGCACATTAGCACCCACAATAAATAAATGTTAAAAAAAAATCTATAGGGAAAAGATCTGTCAAGTGAGTATACAAGTCTCTTAATAAAATGACACCTTTTCATAGTGTCCTTAAAAATAATATTGTTTTTCTAGGTGATTGTGGTGCACACCAGCACACAGGAGGCAGAGGTAGGCAGATCTCCATGAGTTCAAGGCCAGCCTGATCTACAGAGCTCGTTTCAGACAGGCTCCAAAGCTACAGAGAAACATAGATAAAATTGAAGAAAAAAAAAAAAAACAAAAACTAGAGAGAGTACTTCAAGCTGTATAAAAGTCAAATTCATATGGCAGATTTAGAGGCTATAATGTTTGTTTTGTGTTCAGAAGCAAACCCGTGAAATTAATTCATACATAGATACACTGGTCCCGAGGCACAGCTGAGCAGCACCTAACTAGCATAGACAAGGCCCTGGGCTTACTCCCTAGCACTGGAGTAAAAGGGGAAATTCCCTTCTCTGTTTTCATCTTTTCTATATTTCTGTGAGTATTCCTATGTACTTCACCAAAGACTTCAATGGAGTAAGAAGAAAACCAAACTAAAACTTCCATATGGAGCTGGAAAAATGGCTTGGCAGTTAAAAGCATACTGTTCTCACAGAATCCCCGAGTTCAGTTCCCGGCTCCCACGTCAGGCAGCTCACAACAGTCTAATAACTTCAACTCTAGAGGATCTGACACCTTTGGTCTCTTCAGGCACTTGCACTCTGGTACAAACACAGTTAAAAACTAGTAAAGAAGTCATAAAAATAAAGATCCTTTATGGGCTGCAAGACTGCTTAGTGGAAAAAGGGCACTCACACTTCCAAGTACAACCTGAGCTTGATCCTTAGAACCCATATAGTGGAGAGGACAGACTCTTAATATAAATTGTTTTCTGATTTCCATGTCCTGTTCAACATGCACAACAAAAAACACCCAAAACCTTTATGTTAACCAAAACATAAATATGTCTTCTCTTCTGTGGGACTCAAAGTCTCACCTTCACTGAAGTCACCACCCTGAACCATGAAATCCTTGACAACTCTGTGAAAGAGACAGCTCTTATAATGTAATGGCTTCTGAGTTGATTTCCCTGTCCCCTTTTCACCTGGAAAAAGAAACATTCATAGGTCAACAAGAAGAAAAGACTGAAGTACTACAAAAGCCTCTATTTTTCTGGAGAACACAGAAATCAATCACAAATAAATCCTATTACAGCTAATATTTATTTTTTAATTTGTTAGTTAACTTGGATTTTTGAACCCAGGTCTCAGTATGTAACTCAAGCTGGCATTACACTCACAACACCCATCTCAGCTTCCCAAAGGCCGGGTCTACAGGAGTACAAATCACACCTTGCCTATGGCCCAGACTGGCCTTGAATTCATGCTCTTGACTCAGCCTGGGTTCTGGCATTTTATGTATTCATCCACATGCAGGTCTCACAGCTAATATTTCTAGGAATTATTAGGGCAATTGAAAATGAAAACAAACCTGTACAAAGACAACGAAAATTCTCACACGTTTTGGGACATACATCAGAAAATAATTCAAAGACAACTCTTCCAGCTGAAAAAGAAGGTAATTGGTTTAAATGTCTTGATTACAATTTTAAAGACTAGTATGAAAATCTTAATTAAAAACATTAATATTCTTACCAGGTTGATTATTAATGGCAATGTCAAAAAAACATCGAGGACGCTGGACCTTTATTCCCATGGTTCCAACACTTCAGTCTGTAAGTGTATATGATACAGTTTCAGGCAAGCAGACTAAAATAGCAAAGATTTTCCATTAATACACAAAAGTCAATTCTACTGCACATAAGTTACAAATATTATTTCAATTTATTTTCCATTTGTTTCCATTGGGTAACTCATGACTTTTAGAGATTAAGACTGTACTTTGAAGAAAATAAAAAAGACTTAAAAGGTTAAATTAATTACTAGGCAGGAGTCGTGCTAATCTCTATTATTCCAATTTTAGTAAATGTGCTCCTGAAGAGAGCATAGTCATTATAATAAAATAAATTTCTTTTTTTGGTTTTTCAAGACAGGGTTTCTCTATAGCTTTGGAGCCTGTCCTGTAACTCTGTAGACCAGGCTGCCCTCAAACTCACAGGTATCCACTTGCCCCTGCCTCCTGAGTGCAGGGATTAAAGGTATGCGCCACTACCACCAGCCATCATTATAATATAATAAATCTCTATTTTACCAACCAAAGCCAGAGTGCCACCCCACAGAGAAAACTGTATTAAGAATGTATAACTAGTGAACAGAATATGAACACTGCCTTTAGGTGGGGGGAAACAAACAATAAAAAACAAAACCCACCAAGGACAATTGAGCCAATCCTTTTGCTCCTAGGAAACAAAAAATGAGAGCTCTAATTAAAATGTGAGATAGTAAGGAAAAATATTCAAATTTCCCAACAAAACCAAAATAAATCATCTTTGAAGAAAAGGAAGAGGTTTTTGTTTCTGAGGCAAAATCTTACTCTGTAGCTCTGGCTAACTTGGTACTCACTATGTAGCGCAGGCTGGCCTCAAATTTGAGGCAATCCACCTGCCTCAGAATCCCCAGTGCTGAGATGACAGGTGTGTACCACCACTACACCTGATCTGGAAGGGTAGTATTTCGATGATACTAATATATGGTAGAGAGAATTCTGACCAAAAGCACATTAAATTTTACACGAGGCAACTTGTGATCAAGAGGAACAAACAGCCTATGACAGGCACGTACTAATGTGTGAGACAGCATGTAGACAGCTTTATCTACAGCAGGTACCTTTTACTTGACATTCTTCTTGTAAACCATTGATTTTAAGGACTTAAAATGTCCAATTATAATGCTTGGTATGGAATGACGCAGTAAAGTGAAGAGCAGATGTTATTCAGCAAGTACTGAATAACAGCCAAGCTAACAGACCAAACACTTTAGTCAAAAAAGACTAAAACACTTTTGTTTTTATTTAAATGATCACAACTAGATTTCTAAGGTGCCTCAGCGAACAGTCTATGACAATTCATGGTAAGCAGAGCCCTGAAAGGTCTGCATTCTTTACTATGAAAAGATTCTTCCTTTTTGTCATTCTTTTTTTTTTTTTTTTTGGTGCTGGGTACAGGCAACCTAGGGCCTCACACATAGTACTTGTATTCTACCACTGAGTTATACCTCTGTATACCTTGGCTGATATTTTTAATTGAGACAATAGTAGATTTACATCTATTACAGAAAATAACTGAAAGATGGGCATGCATGGTGACACAACCCTTTAGTCCAAACATTGGGGGACTAAAGTCAGGATAACATAGTGATAGTCTTTTTACTATCCTTTAATTCCAGCACTCAGGAGCAAAAGGCACGTGGATCTATGTGAGTTTAGGGCTAGCCTAGTCTACATGGTTTTGCAAGACACCCAAAGCTACATAATGAGACCCTGTCTCAAAATAAGACAAAAACACTTAATGAATAATGGTGACACAAAAGATGGCTTATATACTATGTCTCTAAAGTTATTAAATGGAGTTGAGAGATAGTACAGTGGTTAAGAGCTTTTCAAGAGAACCGACATTTGAATTCCAGAATTCATATGGTGGCTCCCGACCATCTGTTAACTCCAGTTCAAGGGGACTTAATGCCCTCTGTGACCTCTACAGACACTGCACACACATGGTGAACACACATATATGTAGGCAAAACACCCACACATATAAAATAATGTTTAAAATAAATAAAATTACTAAGACGCTGTTACTAATCATCACTAAAGACTTAACAATTGCTAGTCATAAATAGGATGTTTCCTCTACATTTATGACTCAAATTTTACTTAATAATACCTAAAGTCTGAAACAGTAAGACAAATATTTAATCAATATCTCATTTTTTCGAGAAAAAGATTATTAAGATAGAAATTTTAATTTAAAGAAAAATTGAGTCCATAAAAATTTCAAAAATGGTTCATTCAATCCTGTGCTCCCAGCACTCCAGAGGGTTTTCTGTCTAAAACAAATAGCAAGATCCATTTCAGGAGGGAAAAATTAGTCACCAATTGTCTCAGAATATGATCAGATCTTTTGTGAATATATATTTGTCACAAATTTGCTTAGCCTGAATGAATTATAGCTAATATTATAAACCCAGATTTGAATTTTTCTGAAAAATAATTACCACACCTGGGACAGTGTCCCATTTTTGTACAGCAGTCCGTATATACTGCTCCCATTAGATGGAATGCATGTTCTAGTTTCACCTTCTTTCCATTATTGCTTATGAACTGTAACCATTTATCATATACTTGATGTTATAAACTCACTTTGCCTACCTGACTTCCACAGAAATTTGAGTGACACTGAATTTACTTATTTATTTTCTTATTAGAGATTTTTTTTTAAGGCAGGGTCTCCCAATGAAGCTCAGGCTAAACTTCAACTTTCAATCCCCCTGCTTCTCCCTCCTGTACTGTGATTACAAGAGTGCACCATGAGACCTGGCATGGAAATACTTTTAAAATAAGAAATAAAGTCAGTAAGTTCACACACAACACAAAACCTAGTTATACAAATAACATGCAAAGTCCTAACTATAACTGTTACCATTTGTATTACTTTACTTTCCATGCAAATGATTAAAATATTATTTAAAGTGTTTATTAATCATTTTGCATGTCACCAATAAATAATATTTATAAAACAAAATGCTAAACTTCCTCAAATATATTTCAGAAACATCAATGAGTGGTCACAAATTCATTTTGCAGTTTCATATGTAAACAGATTTCCATATTCACACTAATGGGTCTTTAAGCCTAAAGTATATAGGCAACCAATTATTAGTCAGTATTTTAATTAGGTAATAAGTAATGTAGTGACTTTATCACATTCAAAGAGTTATCTGAAGTTTCAGAATCAGCATTACATTGAGTCTCACTCTTAGAGGAACAGACAGTGGATTTTTTTTAAATGATTAAGATGTCAACCAAGTCTTTCTTTGCACCTTCTCATTCTTCTGGTTATGTTTCTTGAGATTCAATTTGGCGGGGCTGGAGAGATGGCTCAGTAGCTAAGAGCACCAGGTGCTCTTCCAGAAGACCTGGGTTCAATCCCCAACACCCACATGGCAGCTGACAACTGCCTGTAACTCTAGTTCCAGGGGATCTGGCATCCTCACACAAACATACACGCAAACAAAACACCAATGCACATTAAAAAAAAAAAAAGATTCAGTTCAACCACAGTATTCTGGGACTCACTCTTCAAGTTGAATGGTCCTTCCTCAGTGAAAATTATAAACTCACCTATAAATTCTACTAAATCAAAATCTTTTTGTTTTTTGGACTGGTTTCACAAAATTTTTTTCTTAAAAATTTTGAGACACAATCTCCCATAGTTGTCAAAGATGGCCTGGAATACACTCTTTGGCCTATGCAAGACACAAACTTAGAATCTTCCTGACTCAGTTTTTCAAGTACTTTAAATTATTTGTGCCACAAGTCCCTGCTAAATCTTTGTCTTCTACACAAAGCACAATGCCTGGGCCAGGAACTTCATCATCAAATAGAAAGAATGTTAGTTAATGCAAATATGCCTGAAAGCACTTGTGTTCTGTTGTTAGCTTTTATTTTTGTTTTCATTTTTAAAATAAAATTTATTTAATTTTATGTGCATTAGTGTGAGGGTATCAGATTCCCTGTAACTGAGTTACAGACAGATGTGAGCCATGTGGGTGCTGGGAATGTTTGAACCTGGGTCCTCTGGAAAGACAGCCAGTGCTCTTAACCACTGAGCCATCTCTCCAGCCTTTTATTTTTAAAGATCGTTTTATGTAACCTGGGCTGGCATCTAATTTACTATGTAGCTTGAGAATGACATTAAACTCTTGATCCTCCTGCCTCCACCTCTTAACTGCTGGAGTGACAAGTGTGTACCAAAACACCCAGACAGAGCTTGTGTTTTCTATAGCCTGCATTGCTCTCTCCTTATACATGTGCTTTTCACAAGAGATACTGCTATTACTGACTCTCCCAGGGTCCACCAGTAATAATCTTATCAGTCTGTACTGCTAATGAAATTGAGTCTGCTCCCTACATCCTCTTATTGGGATGCTCTCTGTTAAAGTGCTTTGTTGTTGTTTTACCATTTCTTTCCTTTTTCATTTCTTCAGCTCAAAACCCGATAACAAGAAAAATAATATGTTCTTATCAGCTAGGCTTATTTTTTAAAATTTATTATTTCTTGTTGTTTTGAGACAGGGTCTCTTTATGCAGCTCCGACTATCCTGGAACTTGAGTTGACCTAGAACTTAGGAGATCCACATGCCTCCGTTGGGATTAACCCATCTGCTATGTTTGTTGACAACTAACAACTTTCTTATAGGACTCAGGTAAGTTAATTAAAACTATTTCAGATCTTTAAGACTGTGTCTTTTATATATGCACTTTTTAAAAATTATGACACTTTATTAACCAAAAAGAAAAACAACACACTATTTCATTCACAATGACAATAAAATTGTGGAAGTGCAACCACTCTTTGTTACCATGTTCTGTAAGCCCTTAATGGAATAAAACATTGCATTTACAAGCAGTACACTTAAAACTACTATCTCCTTTTTTGACATTCTAAAAGAGAAATATGTTAAATGTGGTGGGTGGGATACATGAAAATGAAATGTCATTCATGGAAAAATTCTGGATATCAATGTAATGACCTAGAAATTCTTAATTTTTTAAAAGTAAAATTTAAAATAAATAACTCACTAAAAAAAAATCCTGAACAACTTTTTAACTGTAGCACCTTTAAAAAACTTTATCTTGTTTAATCTATAGTGTATAAATTACGACGGTATTTGTGAAAAATATGTGGGATAATAGTCTTATACACTGCAAAGATTTGTCTCTCGTATTGGTTTAATAAAACGTTGATTGTCTAGTAGCCAGGCAAGAGTATAGGCAGGGCAACCAGACTAAGAGAATTCTGGGAAGAGGAAAGGCAGAGACACAGACACCAGACAGATGCAGAGGACGCAAGGGGAGTATGCTTTACTGAGAAAAGATACCAAGCCACATGGCTAAACACAGACAAGAATTATGGGTGAATTTAAGTCATAAGAGTTAGCTAGTAATAAGCCTGAGCAATAGGCCAAACAGTTCATAATTAATATAAGCCTCTGTGTGTTTACTTGGGACTGAATGGCTGCAGGACCGGGTAGATTCTGTCTATAGGGACTGGTGAGTTGACTCAGCCATTATGGGTACTTGTTGCTCTTACGGAGAACTAGGTTCAATTCCCAGCACCCACATGGTGGTTGATCCAGAGGATCTGGAGTGCCAGGTAATCTGACATACTCTTCTGGGGCACCAGGCACACATGTGGTACACATGTATACATGCAGGTAAAACACTCAGTGCACATAAAAATTCTAAAAAAGAAAATTATGTGCATATAAACATAAAGCCAATACTCTAACTACTGATTAGTGCCACGTTGTAAACAAGTTTTCAGAAACATTAACATCTAGTAATGAGTACCATTATTTTGTGTTTTCCACATTACTTTGACATTTTTACTGCATTTATTTATTTAGCAGGTGGAGGGCACACGCCATGCGCATGTATGTAGATCAGAGGACAACTTAAGGGAATTGGTTTTTCCCCTTTTACTATGTAGGTCCCAGGGATAGAACTCAGGTCCTGAGACTTGGAGGTTTTTACCTGCTGAACCATTTTCAGTCTTCTAAATTACTTCTAGGATTACTTCCAAGGAGGACTAAGTTTTGAATACAAAGAGAAGGGACCCTTTGGTACAGTTTTGGTATTTTTAAAAAATTTAATTAATTTTTTGAGAATTCTATACATAAGTATTGTATTTAAAAGTTTCTATCTCTCCCTCTCCATGTCTTCCCACAATTTCTCTCAAACCGTAACTTCTGTATTATTGTTACACACATACACACACCCCACTGAGTGCATTCAGCGCCACTCATACGTGCATGTTTCAGGACTATTTGGGGCTCATCTCTGAGGACAACTTACTCTCCCTCTCTCAGCAGTCATCTTCATCTACGGTTAGTCTTCCCCATCCATACTGGCATGTCAGTTGGTGCTGCTATTATGCAGGTCTTATTTAGATAGTAATACTGGAGATTTCTTGTTGTTTCTTGCATTAATCTTTCCTATCAGGTCTAGAAGACATTATCTTGAAGTTTAGATATTAATTGTCCTCCAAGGACCAAATGTTAAAGGTTTGGTTGCCAGTCTTTAGGATTACTGGGAGATGGTGGATCTTTTAGGAGATTGGGACTAACAAAATAAAGTTGGGTAACTGGAAGGGAGTCCCTGGAGGTAGTATTGGGACAGCCCCTCCACCCTCTGTTTCCTGGACTCCAAGAAGAAGACGTTTTACTCTACTGTGTATTCCCCATCATGTAATGCCTTGTCACAAGCCCAAAAACAATCGGTCAGCCATGGCCTGAAGCCTCCACAACTGAGTAAAAATATATCTCTTTCTTTAAAAAGATACCTGCAAGGGAATTATACTGGCTTCTTTAGTTCCCTCTTAAAGTATTCACATGGATCAAATAATAAATGAAAATTAACTCAAAACATTTGCATTCATTTATGAATATATGCACTGCTGATGAATTAAGTAAAACAAGCCAACAACTTGTCAGGAAAGACACCTATGCTCTTCCAAATAGTACTGTTCTCTTTAATGTCTTTGCTATACTCAAACCACTGGCAGTTGAAACACAACACTTAAACAGGCATCTGTAAACTGGGGGCTTAGTGTGTGGCCAGTGATCCAACACTTGCCTCACAGACGGTCTTGGATCCTACACACAAACACAAGGACAAGGGCTAGGAATACAGCTCAGTATGGTAGAGTACGTGCCAACAACGCCACCAATCCAAAACAAAGCACGAAATTTTCCCTATCAGTAAAACACAAAGTTCCAATTAAAGTAGCTTTCTCTAAATATTTAAGTACAAAACACTGCCTGCAAATCTCAAGATCCAAATTTTGGCTTATAGGAAGAAAAACCGTTTTTGCAAAAGCCACATTCACCCCAACCCACCTAGGGAGCAAGCGCGACAATCAATTCAAATAAGCATTTTAAAGCAACTGTTGAGCCATTAAACAGGAAAGTAAACTCTTGCAGAAATAATTACAACCCACGTATTAAAATTAAAGAGTGGGGTCCCTCAGTCCCTAAGAAAATGATTTGTTTGTCTGAGGTAAGAGTCTCATCAAGTTGTTCAGGCTGGCCTTGAACGATGACCCCTTTCTTGAGTGTGGAATTATGGGCGTTTTGAAGCTCTATCTCAGAAGTTAAACTTTTAGGTTTTAAAAAAAAAATCTATAGAAGCAGCAACCATTCTAAGTATCTGTGCAATTTCTGGATTTGATGGCAGTCTTTTAAAACTTGTAAGACGTTTACTCTTCCAGTAACTCTTACAAAAGGGCAATTACTCGTCAGCATTCTTTACACAATGCGGGTGACACAAACACAAGCATGTATTTTATCCTTTCCGGTCTTAGCTTCTGAAAGTTCATATGAACTTCCGTATTTCCAAAACATTCTATTATTTTTTCAGACTCACGGGTGACCAAACACAAGCAAAAAGAGATCCTCGCAGTGCACCGAATGCGCTCGTATACGCTAAGGGAGGAAAGCAAGCGGCGTGCGCAAGGTCGTGCTTGTCAGGTTCCCCAAAACGATCAGACACGGCCAGCGGCTAACGGTGACTCTCTTCGACATCAGAGTAAAAACAGCAGGGCCCAAAGCAGGACGTTTCTCCGAAAGGCGAAGCGGCTCAGAAACCATCTTCTAAGCGGAACGCTCCTCCCCAAAGGCCCGGCCGCTGCCAGCTGCTCGGGAACGTGGGAAAACTTCTAGAGAGCCAAGGCTAAGAGCCCGCACTTGAGTTTTAGGAGAATCCTTAACATCAGGGGCCTGTGTCACTTAGGCGCGCACGACCGCCGCTGTCCCTACCGGAGGAGAAGGTCGGAGGACGGCAGCTCGCTGTCGATTTTATTCCCGGGGACTCTGGCTCTGTGCCCGTTCCTCCCTAACCCTAACCTGACAGGCCCTCGCGCGGCGCCTCCCCGTCCCCCACGCAGATGTCCCACCTACCGTAGCGCAGCAGCGCTCGGTCTCCCGGTGGAGAAGCAGCATCCAAAACGCACCTAGCTCCCGGGCGCCGAGGCCGCCGTCGCTGCCGCCATATTACAGCCTGTGCGGCAAAATGCGTCAGGGAGGAGGTGTGCGCCGGGCCGGGAGGGCGGGGGCTGGAGAGGAAGAGCGCTTTCCTGCGCCCCGGGGCTCGACTGCCAGCCGTCCCGGTCGCCACGGGACCGTAGGCCGCGCCGCTGTCCCCGGGGCCACCCCTCGGCGCCTCCACAGCCCGGGGACCTCGACGGAAAGACGGTTACCTCGGCCCGGCCGCCCTCCCGCCCGGCCGCCGCGGCTCCGCCCCTCGCCCTGGGCCCTTCCCGCTCTCGTACCCGGGGACCGCCGCGAGTGACGCCACGCCGACGGACGCCTTCGCGCCTCTCACCTGCACCGCCACCGACGTCTCGTCTCCCGGCCCGGCCCCCGTAAAGCGCTTCAAATCTACCGCCGTCAGGAAAGGCGCTAAAGCACACTAACCGCCTCCCTCCCCCACGGCCCAGTCCAGGCGTGGAGGGACAGCGTCGCGCCGGAAGTGCGTCAGGGGTGGGTTGAAGGCGTCTCCCGGCGTTCCCTGCCTTACGTCACCATCTTCTCCTTGAAAGTGTAGGCTCTTTAAGCCTTTTTAAATACACGCCTGACAGGTAGCGTAAGGTTCTCTGAGAGTTGATTGGGTAAGTGTGTCTCCGTCAGACTGTCACAGCGCTCTCGAAATGAAGCACTTCACTTTATAAACCTTGGCATGCACTGTCAGTATATTTAGAAAGACGGTCTGCCTTCCAGGAGCTTCCGATTTTCACTTTCAGCAAATGCTCAAAACCAGTAACAAAAAAAGAGCTACTTTCGTGGCGTGGTAGTGCACGCCTTTAATCCCAGCTCTCGGGGAATTGTATTTTCAGAGACAGTCTTATTATATAGCCTTGGCTAACCTGGAACTCTATGTAGACCAAACTGACTTCAAACTCACAGAGATTCGCCTGTCTCAGCCTCTAATCCCAGATTCTGGGATTATAGATGTACACCACCATGCCTGGTCTTTTTTTTTTTTTTTGTAGATATATGTTTGTGCCTATCTGTATATGCACTGTGTGTGTAGCTGCCTGCAGAGAGGTCAAAAGAGGGTATCAAATAACCCTGGAAAAGGAATTAAAAGTGGTTATGAGCTACCCAATATGGTGCTCCTTCAAGAGCCGCAAGTGTTCTTAATGACTAAGCCATCTCGCCAGCCCTTGACCATTTGATTTAGTTCTCGATGATGGAATTAAGAATCAAAGCGGCGTGCTGGTTCAGGCCTTAAAACATTTCTTCATTCCAGGCGGTGGTGACACATTCCTTTAATCCCAGCACTGGAGAGGCAGGCAGACCTCTGCGAGTTCGAGGCCAGCCTGGTCTACAAGCGCTAGTTCCAGGACAGGCTCTAAAACTACAACGAAGCCCTGTCTCGAAAAACAAAACAAACAAACAAACATATTACCGCTTATTTCCATCTGCCATCTGTAATCCAGCGCATCATATTCTAATCATCCAACGACATGGACCTGGCAGACGTTAGAATAACATGATGGAAGGAATTCAGATTCCTGACTAATTAAAAGACTTGCCTTTCAACAGACCCATTCACCTAAAATCTTAATTTGTAACAGAAATATATATATATATATAGTATATATATTTATATCTATCTATCCTTAGTATATATACCATAGTACTAGATATACCATAATACTAGGACAAAAAAGAAGAAATTTCAGTGGAAAAAATTAAGTCTAGGAAGCTGGGAAATGGTGGTGCATGCCTTTAATTCCAGAATTTGGGAGGCAGAGGTCTACTGAGTGAGTTCTAGGACTGCCAGACTGTTACACAGAGAAACCCTGTCTTGAAAAAATCAAACAAAAAAGATGTGTTCTCTACTAGATTGAGAGCAAGAGCATGTCAGGATCCCAGAAGCTTATTCCATATCCTTCCCTACTAATTCCATTACCGCACCCCCTGTTGTGTGATAGAACTTTTCCTGGGGAGATGCAACACACACGCCTACTCACCCCAGATAGGGAGCCAACAACAGACCAAAGTCTGGAGACCACCAGAGTCCAACATGGTGAACCAATGAGTGTTACTGGGGTTGTTTACAGGAGCAGAATTTACCCAAAGGCAGCTATATCACCAAAGCCCACCCCAGCATGAGTGACATCTCCCAAAAGCTGGGACTGTGAACCACTCTGCACAGCCTGCAGGCTGCTCAACAGTTGGGAGAGTGTCCTTTCCAGGTGCCTTGGTTGGTTTAAACCTCTTCCAGGCAGCTTGACTGGTCTCTGCATCTTCAAAAGGCAGCTGGTCTGGTCTCAGAGCGGCTTGGCTGAAAGTCCCCAAGTTGTTTTTGCAGCTTGGCTCCCCTTCCTGCTTCAGGCAATCTCCTCTTTTATTGCTGACTCTGGCAGCAAGGGGGCTTAGTGAATCTGATCAGTTTCAGGAACTTCCTAAAGCTATTTTGAGTTAGTTCCTCTCCTGTTAAGGAACTTTCTGTTCAGGATGGGATGTTTAAATCTTGGGAGGAAACTATTGCCCTGCTTCTGTCCCCGCTCTGGGCTTGTCCTGCAGCCCTGGTCGATCACTTATGTGGTGAGCTATTAAAGTCTTTGAAACCTATACATGCTTTCTCTCTCCTTCCTCACGGCGCACAATGGATCAGGTGTAACACTGACTGACTTACTCCATGTCCTTACTATGTGTGCATAGTAAGGCATGTGTACCTATGTAGGCGTGTGTGCATGTTTATGGTGCTGGACACTGAGTCAGGATCTTGTTCTTGCTAGGCAGGACATCTACCACTGAGCATTGTCTTGGCAGTTTTTAATTTTTAGTGTGTTTTATATTATTGGTAGCATACTACTGTGAGTTGAGTAAGTATTAAAGAAAGGGACTTTATTTTGGCTTATGGTTCTGTATGTCTCATCTTCTCACAGGTCCCCACAGTCTCTTTGACTCTTGGTCTGCCTCCCACTGCTCCTCTGTCCTGTCATTGGAGCTTGGACCATACATTTTCCCAGGATGGTCTCAAGTTCATGGGCTCAAGAGATCCTCATGCCTCAGAAACAAGCAGCTGTGGCTAACAATACCTAACTAATTGTAAAAATTTGAACATTCTGTACAGGATTTTTGTTTTTTGAGACAGGGTCTCATATAACCCAGACTGGCCTCAATCACTATATAGCCAAGGATACATTCAAATGCCTGATTCTCCTCTTGTATCCCCCAAATTCTGGAATCACAGGCATACACCAGTACACCTTAAAGGTTTTGGCCTCAATCACTATATAGCCAAGGATACATTCAAATGCCTGATTCTCCTCTTGTATCCCCCAAATTCTGGAATCACAGGCATACACCAGTACACCTTAAAGGTTTTGTTGTTTTGGTTTGATTCTTATAGCATTAAGAACTGAGCCCAAGGCTTCATACATGTTAGACAAATGTTCTAGCATTGGACTATATCCCCAGCACTCCATAGATGTCTAAGATCTAACAACTTCAAGAAAACCAGCCTACAAATCACAATCCCAGAGAACCTAGACAACAATGAGAACTCTAAAAGAGACATACATGGATCTAATCTACATGGGAAGTCGAAAAAGACAAGATCTCCTGAGTAAATTGGGAGCATGGCGACCACGGGAGAGGGTTGAAGGGGAGGGGAGAGGAAGGGAGGAGAGCAGAGAAAATTTATAGCTTAATAAATTCAATAAAAAATTTTATTCAAATCCACAAAAAAGAAAAAGAAAATCTAACAACTTTCTAATCCCTCCCAATCCCATTTATTCTAAAGTATAAATTGCTGTGAGTGCTACCACTAAAATAGGTTTTTTAACTTTGGTGGCTGCACAGACCTATATAGAACTTAGAAGATTGAAGTAAGGGAGAGTGTTGTGTAGTAATTTCATCTGGATGGAAAAACATTCCCTCCTGGATGTAAGTGAGGAATAGACTCACAAGCAGTTTAAGAACTTGGGGGCTGGAGAGATAGCTCAGCAAACTGGAGCTCCTGCTGTGCAACCCTGAGGTCCAGAGTTCATATCCTGACACTCACATAACAAGAGAGAGACTTCCTGGGTAAGCCTGTAAGCCCAGCTCTGAGTAGGGTGTAGAGATAGGAAAGTTGCTGGGACTCACTACTGGCTTCCAGCCTAACTGAGAAAATACAAGCTCCAAATACAAACTTACACACATAGACATAGGCACACACAAACATTTTTTCCTTTTTTTTATTTTTTGAGATAGGGTCTCTCTGTGTAACAGCCCTGGCTGTCCTAGAAACAGCACAATTCACATACGCTATTGTAACCCCATTCGTCAGTGAGGCTTGCCACCCTATACCACATAAGAAAGCCATTATGAAAGTCCTCCCCCCACACACAAGAATGCACCGCCCTCAGATGGCCCAGCCTCAGTTGCTCATCTTATCATCCATAACAGAGAGCATGCAACTGCTCCTCTCAAACACCTCCTTGGCCGGGCGGTGGTGGCGCACGCCTTTAATCCCAGCACTCGGGAGGCAGAGGCAGGCGGATCTCTGTGAGTTCGAGGCCAGCCTGGTCTACAAGAGCTAGTTCCAGGACAGGAACCAAAAGCTACGGAGAAACCCTGTCTCGAAAAATCAAAAAAAAAAAAAAAAAAAAAAAAAAAAACACCTCCTTGGTTCTTTCAGATCCTGCCTAGGCTCCTAGAGTGTTGTTCTGAAAGACCCTCCAAGAGTGTCTTTCCTCTGGGGAGACCCTTCCCAAGGAACAGCAAGACCACTTGTACGGATGCAAACAGCAAGAGGTTTCTTCAGATACACAGGTACCTGGGGCGACAAAGTCTCTCGGAGGACTTGTGCGCCTCCAGGTCGGGGTAATGGGTTTATACATGTTTTGGGGAGCAAAAAGCACGGTACAGAAGCGAGAAGCGTAGTTACAGGGTTTTTATTGGTTAGTTTGAATGTGGCCGAGTTCAGGTCGGGACAAGGTCCCTAGTTCCCGAGAATTCAGATATAGGCTGCCTTGGCTCTTATCTAGGGCAGACAGGGTGTCTTTCTCGGTATTCACCGTTCCTCGCCGCCTGGGACAGACGATGCCCAGCCACATTCTCGGTATTCCCCGTTCCTCCCCAGGCCCAGCCACAGGTGTCTCTATCTCGTTTTGGCAGCTTTTAAACTGCCCTTTGTTCAAACCCTGAATATTCAGTACAAGCCTTGTAAAATGGCGTTACCGGTGCTACGTTGTTTAACAAGCTGGGCGGGGGGGTCTTTCATCTGGTGCTAAGCTGCTTAGCAAGCTGGATGGGGGTCTTTCATTCCCCCGTGTCTCTTATGACTTTGAATGGAATCTTCCATTCAATTGCTTTAAGTGGACTCGGGAATCTCTAGGTCAAATTGCCTAAGCTGGTGATACTGTTGAGTTAACACCAGAGCCTGTATGACTGATAATCTTTTTTTTTTTTTTTTTTTTTTTTTTTTTTGATTTTTCGAGACAGGGTTTCTCCGTAGCTTTTGGAATCTTTCTTACATGAATTGGACTAACCGGCTAAGGATGCAGGGTCCAAAGAGTAAGATTAGGAAGATGATAATTAGGGGTCCCATAATGGAGGAGACTAAGGTGGTAAACCATGGGGACCAATTAAACCATCCTTCAAACCAACCTTGTCCTGATTCAAAGAATTGCTGTTTTTGTTTAATTCTTTCCCTGAGCTTGGCCATGTTATCTCGCACCAGCCCAGTATGATCTGCATAGAAACAACATTCCTCCTTTAAGGCTGCACATAACCCTCCTTCCTGCAGGAACAAGATGTCTAATCCCCTTCTATTCTGTAAGACTACCTCAGAAAGGGAAGTTAAGGACTTTTCGAGGGCGCTGATTGATTCTTCCAGTGCTTGGAGGTCTGTATGCATTGCTTGCTGTAGTTGCCTAAATTGGGAGGTCTCCTTCAGGGCAGTGACCCCTGTTCCTACCCCCGCAGCGACACCTCCAACAGTGAGTCCTCCAAGCAGTAAGGCTAATGTTAATGACACAGGCTCTCTGCGGGGTCGGGTCATACCCTTGAACTGGCTGTAAATGTATTCTGGTTCATGATATACAATCTTTGGCCATAATTCTATCAACACACAGTAATCAGAGGCCGAGTTAAGGGCCTGGGCGGACACACATGGTGTCAAACCTGAGTTACAGGCCCAATATGTTCCATTGGGGCCTGTCAAGTAATATGAGCCAGGGCTGATTTCCTGAGTCGAGTTGCATAGAGCCTGATGGGTACTGGGGATCGTTCCTATGCAGAGCCCTTGACCTGATACCTCCGACAAGGTCAGTTTATGTTGTGGCCCCGAGGCACATGCACTTGGGGCAGTGGTTTGGTTAGTGAGGTTTCCTGTAACGGCCATCCCCTCATAATATGGGGGTCTCGAGACCAGGCATAACCAACATTCTTGTGTCTTACTGGGATTAGTATAATTGAGAGTCAGGAATGCTCCTTGCACCAAGTTGAGCAACCTGTCCCCAGTCCCCGACTCAAAAGAGAATCGACTAGTGGAGGCCTTGGTGGTGAGACTCTGGGTGTTAACATTAGGCAGCGAGGTGGTTGTTAGGATATGGGGGAGGGGTGCCGGAGGCTTGACCGGCCTTGCTTGGGAGGATAATCGCTGTTCTGTCAGAACCAGGTTTGGCCCAACAGGACGGGTTATTATCTCAGCCTTGAGCCTAATCTTAAAGGTTATTCCCCTATCTGTAGAGGACATATACCATCTGAGGCCCCAGGTGTACCCTCTCTGCCATTCAGGGGCCGCTTTACCTGATTCCGTGAATGAAATGTTAAGGGGTAAGCAATATCCAGTGGAGCAGACAAAGCCTCCGGGACTGCGCATGCAAGATTGTCCATTTCCCCCTCCACTGGGCTTGTTCCAGCCTCGTCTTACCTGGATTTTGTCCCATGAGGACGATGGGTTCCAGTACGCACTACCCGTAGTTTTACATCCCCAGGCGGCACAATAGTAATCATCATATCCTCCACAGTGATAAGCAGAGGTGGGGCTTCTCCCATCTCTGGGGCAGACATAGAAGTCATGAGAGGCTAGTGCACATCTCTCCTTCGGGGAAGCACATCCCACAGGAAGGGGTGTGTAAGCGTACATTCTTCCGGTTACAGAAGGGATTCTTACTGATAAGTTTTGGGCCTCCTGGGTTATTATGTCCCAGTCATTTGATCCTGCAGCTAACTGGCAAAAATCGGGTGTGAGAGTAGGCCACCAAGTGTTAAGTGCATGGTTGCCCTGAATTTCCCAAACAATCTTTCCACTTGGGGACAGGACTTGCCGTTTTAAGGAGTATGTCTGGTGTGGGCTCCCCCCTAGGGTTGCCCCTACCAGTCCTAGCAGGGCCCAGATAGTAGTCAAGGGGCCCCACAGGTGAGTCTTAGTTTTAACGGGTTTTGGGTGCGCTGGATTCTCCATGGTGGGGTCGCAGTTGGCTCCTCCTCAGGGTGATGGGCTGCTTTGACGTGGGAGGCGTGGACCCAGGCGGCGATGCCGTCAACTTTCAGCACCGTGGGGGTGGTCAGCAGTACAGTGTATGGTCCCTTCCAGCGGGGTTCTAGGTTTTTGGTCTGATGTCTGCGGATCCAGACAGTGTCTCCTATCTGGAAGGGATGTGGTACCACTGGTTTGTCCAGTTGTTCCCAATAGGCTGCAGCTAATGGCCTCCAGACCTCTCTCTGGACAATCTGTAGTGCCTGCAAATGAGCTTCCAGAGAAGGGCTGTTAGCAAAATCAGCAATATTAGAGTCAAAGAAATTAATGAATGGTGGAGGTATCCCATATAGTATCTCAAATGGGGTGAGTCCATGAGGGCCCGGCATGTTCCGGGCGCGGTAGAGGGCTAGGGGATGGAGGAGCACCCAGTCTCTAGAGCCAGTTGCAAGCGTTAATTTGGTCAAAGTCTCCTTGATGGTTCTATTCATCCGTTCTACCTGCCCTGAACTTTGGGGTCGGTATGCACAATGTAATTTCCAATCAATCCCCAATAGCTTGGCCACCAACTGACTTACCTGGGAGACGAAAGCAGGTCCATTATCAGTGCCCTATACCTGGGGCATGCCATACCTGGGAAAGATTTCTTCCAAGAGCTTTTTAGTTACAACCTTTGCAGTCTCGTGCTTGGTGGGAAAGGCTTCCACCCATCCTGAAAAGGTGTCCACGAATACCAATAGGTATTTGTATCCATATTGTCCAGGTTTTATTTCGGTGAAGTCAATCTCGCAATGAGTTCCGGGGTGATGCCCCCGTACCCGGACCCCTGACCCCAACTTGGTCTTTCCTGCATTAACTTGTGCACAGGCCTTACATTTATTTGCCACAGTTTGTAAAATATCGTCTCTCCCTAGTAAGTAATAAATGCTCTCTTCTCGATCCAAGAGGGCCCTCATCTTTTTGGGACTGAGGTGAGTCAGCTTGTGTAAGTGGGTGATCAGTTTATAAGTCTGTTTCATGGGCATGACGGGCTTATTTTTGAATGTCCAATGCCCTTTTTCAGGATCGTGCTTGCCCCCCATTTTTCTTAGAAGATCTATGTCCTCTTGGCTATATGGGAGGGGGCAGCGTGGAATGGGTTGGGCTTTTCCTGGGGTCAAGGGAAAAACTTGGGAGGAGGGGGTTATCTCCCTGAGTGCCACCTCCTGGGCTGTTGCATCTGCCAGTCGATTGCCCTGTGCCTCCGGGTTGTGTCCCTTTTGATGCCCTGGGCAATGGATAATGCTCAGTTTCTGAGGCAGAAACAAGGCCTTAAGTAGGGCTAGGATCTCGGACTTGTTTTTAATTTCCTTGCCTTCCGAGGTTAGCAACCCTCGTCTCCCATAGATTTCTCCATGGATATGGGCCGTGGCAAAAGCATACCGGCTGTCTGTGTAGACATTGAGCTTCTTACCTTCTGCCATCTTAAGCGCCTGGGTTAAAGCGATAAGCTCAGCTCTCTGGGCCGAGGTCCCTGATGGAAGAGCCTCGGCCCAGATTACCTCCGTTTCGGTGGTCACCGCTGCCCCGGCTCTCCTCTCCCCGTTTTCCAGGAAACTGCTCCCGTCCGTATACCAGGTGAAGTCGGCGTCCCAGAGGGGCTGGTCCGTCAGGTCCGGTCTGGTCCTGTGCATTTCCGCAAGGATTTGAAGGCAATCATGGTGCTCTGCGTCCTCCGGCAGGGGGAGCAGGGTTGCCGGGTTCAGGGCAACTGCTGGTCGGAAGTGTACCCGGTCTGTGTCCAGGAGCATGGCTTGGTAATGAGTCATGCGGGCATTAAAGAGCCAGCGGTCTGGAGGCTGTTTGACTAGAGCTTCTACCGCATGAGGCGCTAGAATAGTCAATGGCTGCCCTAGAGTCAATTTGCCAGCGTCTTTGGTCAGGACTGCTATTGCAGCCACTATCCTAAGACAAGGGGGCCATCCCGAGGCTACCGGGTCAAGTTTCTTTGAGAGGTATGCCACGGGGCGTCTCCAAGGGCCCAGTCTCTGGGTTAGGACCCCTTTGGCATAGCCCTGTTTCTCGTCCACAAACAATTCAAAGGGCTTAGTCAAATCAGGGAGGCCCAAGGCGGGGGAGATCAGCAGGGCCTCTTTGATGTTCTCATAGGCCTTCTGTTGGGCCTCTCCCCAGGTGAAGAGGGTCCCTTGTTTAGTGAGTGGATACAGGGGTGCTGCCATTTCTGCAAAACCTGGGATCCAGAGGCGAGAGAATCCTGCCGTCCCCAGGAATTCCCGCAGCTGTCGGGGGCTCTGGGGGACGGGAATACTCATAATTGTCTGTTTGCAGGCCTCAGTCAGCCATCTCTGCCCATCTCTTATTTGGTAGCCCAAGTGGGTAACTTGCCTTTGACAGATTTGAGCCTTCTTTGCAGATGCCCGATATCCTAGGCTCCCCAGGGTTTGCAAGAGAGCTTTGGTGCTTTCCCTGCAGTCCTCCTCTGAGGTGGCTGCCAATAAGAGGTCGTCCACGTATTGGAGTAGGATCATAGTAGGGTATTGAATTCTGAAATCGGCTAAGTCCCTATGCAGGGCTTCATCAAAGAGCGTGGGGCTGTTCTTGAACCCTTGTGGGAGCCTAATCCAGGTTAACTGCCCAGATATTCACAACTCTGGGTCTTTCCATTCGAAGGCAAAGATGGGCTGGCTCTCGAGGTGTAGCCTCAAGCAGAAAAAGGCATCCTTGAGGTCTAGCTCTGTGTACCAGGTATAGGTTGGGGACAGCCCACTCAGCAAGTTGTAAGGGTTGGGGACCATGGGATGGATGTCTTCCACCCGCTTATTGACTTCCCTTAGGTCCTGCACTGGGCGGTAATCCCCCGTCCCTGGCTTCTTTACTGGGAGGAGGGGAGTGTTCCAGGGAGACTGGCAGGGAACCAATATCCCCTGGTCCAATAATCTCCTAATATGGGGGCGAATTCCTTGGTAGGCCTCGTGGGACATGGGGTACTGCTTGATCGATATAGGGGTTGCCGTGGCCTTCAGTGGGATCATTAGCGGTGCCTGCTGCATGGCCAGTCCCATACCCCCCGTCTCTGCCCATGCATATGGGAATTTCTCCAACCAATAGGTCATCATCAGATTCTGGGTTTTTTCAGGATCATACAGTCTGTATTCATCTTCTAGATTAAGAGTTAACACATGTAAAGGTTGACCTTGGGGCCCAGTAATGTGTGCCCCCATCTGCAGCACGCCGCTACTGCCAGCAGAAGAGACGACTGCAACAGGATCCTTCTCAGAACGCCCTTTATTGGAGCACTTACACTTGAGGTTTGAAAGAGGCAAGAAGACCCCGTCCCCGTGGAAGCAGAAGAATATATACAGTGCCAGACAAAGCCCTGACGTGTCATCAACCCAATGGCTCAGGCCAGATTGGAGCGATAAACGTGCTAAATAATGATTGGCCAGATCGGATGGCCAGATCGAAAGACTCCCCGCGCTGGAGGGGGGAGCTTGTGCACATGCGCACAAGTTCTCTCAAGTTTGACGTGGAACAGCAAATGGCGCCCAGGCTCCGTGCCCACGACATGACAGCGCCATGGTGCGCGCTACATCTGACAGCGCCATGGTGCACGCTACATCTCCCCCTTTTATATTTTAAAGCAGAAACCCGATCTAGTTTGAGACCTCATGATGTCCCCAACGATCAAGGGTTAGGGTGCGCTGTGCGCGTCATGCTGTGTATCCTCTCATGTGCAATGGCAGCAAGGCCTATGAGGTGCAAGGACTACCAGCACGTTTAAAAAACAATGAGAACTGGGTGTGCCTGTCCCAGTGCAATGTCTCTAACGACTTGGGGTGCGGAGGCCACATCCAGTTATAGGTCATGCTTGAGGCTAGCCAGCCAGACCTGAGGGGAGATGCCATGTTCGAGGGCGGCAAGGGCCTGGACTATAATTGCTTTGTCCCGAGCTTGCCGTGCACGAAATCGGCGCAGAAGCCAAAGGCAGAAAAACACGCCAAGGCAACATATGGCACCGAAAACGCCAACCCCCACCCACTCCTTAAAGAAAGAAAAAGCGGATTGCAGCCAATCAGTAAATTGTCCAAAGGTTATGGGCTGTATACGAGTATCGTTCAAGGTAGCAATCTGCAACAGCTGGTCCTGGATCAGGTTCTCCGCTTCCTTGGACCAGTTGCCGGCAAGGAATTCGCCTAGGATCTTTGATTCATTTCTGGAATTATCAAAAGAAAGTGGGGTTATGCATACATGCTTTTGATACGAAATGCAACCCATTTGAACCAAATCAGCCAAATCATTAATTTGACTTTGTAAAAAATCAATTCTTTGATTAGCTGCCACTATGCCTGACAGCATGTGTCTATTTATTCTGCTTTGAGTATCCAGCACTGTAGCGGCCTCTGCAACCACATTATTAATGGTATCTGCAGTTTGTACTTGATTGGTCATAGCCACTGCTGCGGTAACCGCGGCAGCCGCTGACACCGCTATCGCTGTTACCATAGCGGCGGTGAGTCCCAAATCCCTTCGTTCTCGTAAAAGAGTAACGAGTGGGAATGCATCAGGATCCGTTTTAACAGGAATTGGCACGAATGTTGGTATCCTCATAACCACTACAAGGTTCCATGAAGCATTCCAGCATTGAGCTAGAAAGCAATCGGTACTCCTGCAATCTACCTCTTGGGTAGCATTAGTAATATTAGTTAGCAGAAACACAAAAGGAGAAGGCACACACACTGGTGCTGCCGCCAAGGTAGTATTGGCCAGCTCCTCCTCCTGAAGTACACGAAGTCGCCTACCAAGGGATGTTTCGGTTACTATACCAGAAACATTAATCAGCCGGGTGGTGAGCTTTTGGATTTGGGCTAAGGCGGAAATGTCTGCTGTTGCTCCTGCCTCATTGGAAACCAACCATTGATACCAGGACCACCCATCCCCTATGGTTGAACTTTTGTTTGACTGATTATAAAAATATCTCTTCATAGACGGAGAAAGGGAGAATCCCTGTGAAATCTGTAACTCCTCCCATGTCCTGCCCTGACAGGCAGTATAGGTGGGGGGGGGGGAAGAAAAATCTGGGACACAATGTGGGGATGCTTTAAATTTAGTGCTATTATAATCTCTAAGAGAGGGATCTTTCATAGGCACCAACAATGTGGTATTCATAGCCAAGGTGGTAACGTTAACTGAAGTTGAATTACTGGATGTACCACCGCCTGATTGGGCACCCTGAACAATCTGATTTAAAGCTGATGCCAATATGCCTATATTCACCTGACTATAAAGCAAGGGATCCATCCAATTAACCAAATTCTTTTGTTTTAACAGAATGCATGGGGTTTTATGTTCCAGGGAAAAACAAAAGGTCCCATGAAGCACAACTTTAGTTGAATTAAATCGTTCTATCTTATCATCTCTTGGGACCATACAAGGGGCTTCCATATCGCATGAGGTGGAAACCAAGGTGGGAATAATAGAGGAATTAGCGTGAACAGACATAGGTATTGGCCATGCCCTGGTTACTGCCCACAGTTGCGTCATTTTCATCTGTATCATTGGCGTTCACAGGAGGAGAATCAGCACCACGAGAGTCGTCCTCATTGTCCTGTATCCGTTTCAGCTCTCTTGTCAGTCTTGCCGGGACCCAAACCGGTTGTTCCTGGCCCTGTGGAAAAATACAAACAGCTCCCCTGGATCTAGCAATCACTGGATCCGGGCCACACCATGTGTTATTTAACACATCTTTCCACTTTACTTCAACGTTTTCGGTGGGTAGAGCCCCAGCATGTCGGCTGGCCGCTGATCGTCCCTGATCATCAAGGTTTAAAAATGTGAAAAGGATGCGACCTCTTTCTAATGGTATCACATATGGACAACAGAATGGAGACCACGGGGCTCCTGCCAGAGATCATTGCAGAAGATTCAAGTTGATTTATAGCATTGACCACATAATGGGAATCTGAGTAAATATTAAGAGGACCTGTAAAGGTGAGAAACACCTCCAGAACCATTTGACACTCCACTAGTTGTGGCCTATTTGGCTCAAAATGTTTAATGACTGTCTCCCCTCCCTGGACAACATAGGCTCCCATGCCAGAACTTGACCCATCAGTATATACAGTGACTGCATTATCCAAGGGGCAAGGCTTGGTCACCTTAGGAAAAATAACTGGATGATTCATGACAAAATGTAACAGTTTATCGGATGGATAATGATTATCAAACCTGCCAGAAAATGCACAGACAAGAACAGCCCAATCATCTAGTGTTGCACTCAAGACTTGTATTTGTTTAGGGGTATATGTGTAGGGATAAGTCCCGCCCCTTAAGGGGCGTGTTCGCCTCGGGCTAATGTCTGCCTATAAATTTGGTGAGCAAGCTCCAAGCTGCTCGCTTCTGCTTTCCTGGTCTCCGCGGGAACGGTGGTTCTGTAAGTCTATTTCTACATTAAAGCTATATATATATATATTTTTACACTCTGTCTGCATTCGTTTACGCCGCTACATATATGGCTGGATCAACAACTGTGGTTGCATAGCAAAATGTGTTAAAGACATCTTTATACCCATCATGGCAATAGACGCCACAGCCGTGGGATAATACTCAATTGTTTTGCGGATGGAGGCATGAGCATGTATCCATAACAAAGGCCCATCTTGCCAAAGGACAGCTGTGGGTGCTGACTTAGTATGCAAAACACACAACATTAATTGTTTATTCGCATCATATCGTCTTAACTGTGCATTCTGAATGGCCTGTTCAACCCTCTCCAAGGCCTCTCTTGCGTCCTGTGTCAGCATTCGAGGGGACGTCACTCTTGGGTCTCCCTCCAAAATTTTAAATAGGGGTCTCAACTCAGCTGTAGTGAGCCGAAGGTACGGCCGAAGCCAGTTGATATCACCCAGCAATCTTTGAAAATCATTAAGTGTTTTAAGATTGTCAAGTCTCAGACTTATTTTCTGCGGTCTTATAGCTTGTGGGGTTATAATAGCTCCCAGAAATCGTCCCACCTCTTCCTTCTGTACCTTTTCAGGAGCAATTTCCAGCCCACATTTCCTAAGTGCATCAACGGTGGTAGAAAACGCCAAATCAAGCACATCATTAGTAGGGGCAGCTATCAAGATATCATCCATATAATGGCATAATCTCAAATTTGGAAATTTTAAGCGCACTGGCTCCAAGGCCTTTTGAACAAACAACTGGCACATGGTAGGGCTATTGGCCATTCCTTGGGGCAAAACCCTCCATTGATACCTTGCATCAGGTTGTTCATGACTAACGGATGGAATTGTAAATGCAAACTGAGGACAATCCTCCTTGTTCAAGGGTATCGAGAAAAAGCAATCCTTCATATCAATAATAATGATCGGCCAATCTCTAGGAAGGCTAGAAAGCAAAGGCAATCCCCTTTGCACTGATCCAAATAACTGCATTTGCTGATTAACTGCTCTAAGGTCATGTAGGAGCCTCCATTTCCCTGATTTTTTCTTGATCACAAAAATAGGCGTATTCCAAGGAGATTGAGACATCTCCAGGTGCCCCAGAGCAAGTTGCTCTTTTACCAATTCTTGTGCTGCCTCCAATTTTTCTCTAGAGAGGGGCCACTGAGGGACCCAGACCGGGATGTCAGTGGTCCAGGGTATAGGGATGGCATCCTCAGTGGCCCCTAGGAAAAACCCAGGCCTTGACGTCCAGGACTCATTGAAGGCATAATCGGTTCAGGGGTGCCCTGAAGCCCCTTCCCTAGTCCCTTGCCCGGAACATATCCGGACTGCAGCATTAACTGTTGACTAACATCTGAACACTGTGTAACAAGTTTTATTCTCATCTGACTCAAAACATCTCGCCCCCATAAGGAAATGGGGAGATCAAGCACGAAAGGTTGAAATAGTCCCTTTTGGAATTCTTCATATGTCCAAGTTAATTCTTTAGCACTGACCTTTGGCATATTGGCATACCCCAGGCCCTGTAATGTTTGAGATGATAGCTGAAGAGGCCACCGTTTCGGCCAATCCCCCTCTCTAATAATGCTGCGGTCTGCACCTGTGTCCAGCAATCCTTGAAACGTTTTGCCTTCTATATTAAGGGCTATAATCGGCCTTTGATCTAAACCCATAGACAGACAAACAGGATCTGTGCCAGTGGATCCAAACCCTTGATCCCCTCTATTCATAGCCTTGGCTGGAAAATGGTTATGCAGACTAGGCAAGATCAACATTTGAGCTATGCGATCCCCTGGGGAAATAGCTGTAATGCCTCTTGGGGAGGAACACATGATCTTAACTATGCCAGTATAATCAGGGTCTATAACACCCGGGGTTACTACCAGCCCTCTCAGAGCAGATGATGAATGTCCTAACAGTAAGCCCACAGTGTCTCTAGGCAACGGACCTTTAAAGTCTGACTCGATGGGCTGCACTCCCATCTGTGGTGTCAATACCAGCCTGGTGGCGGCACAGATGTCCAACCCTGCAGAGCCCGCGGTTGCCCTTCGGGTTTCTGAGGTGGCTGCTCTGCCTGATCTTGCAATGCCCCATACATTTGAGGGCCCTGGGGACGTGGGCCCCTCTTGCCGTTTTTTGAACCTGGTGGATTAGTAATGGGCCGGCCAGAATCTGATGGATTAGTAATGGGCCGGCCATTGATGTCTTTCACCGACCGGCATTCATTTCCCCAATGCCTCCCCTTTTTGCATCTCGGACAGAGGCCTGGTTGATGTCCTCCACCTCCCTGCCTCCCTTCTCCATTCGGACATGTTTTTCTTATATGACCCGGCTGACCACATTTAAAACAGACTCCTGGTCTATTGCCAGACATCCGGGCAGCAGCCAAAACAGCAGCTGCCAGTCCAGAATTAGTCAATGGCCCTCCTATTTCCCTGCAAGCTTTCATCCATGCTTGGAGTCCTTTTCCTTTCCAGGGGGTGATTGCCCTCCTACATTCTTTGGTACATTGTTCATAGACGAGTTGCTCTACTAAAGGCATACACTGGTCCATGTCGCTAAATACTCTTCCTGCTGCCTCCATCATTCGAGCGACAAAGTCTGAAAATGGCTCTGCTGGTCCTTGTATTATCTTGGTTAAATTACCCGACACTTGGCCCCTGTTAGGCAGGGTTTTCCAGGCCCGTATGGCTATTTCATTAATTTGTTGGTAAACTTGAATAGGAAACACGGTCTGATTGTTTATCCACTGTCCCTGACCTAGTAACATGTCTGCTGTCCAGGCAGCATTGCCGTTATCTGCATTAACACGGGCCTGTGCATAAGCATAGTCGGTATAAATGGACCTGAAGTCCAAGTATTAGCCTAAAGTAACACACGCCTTAACAGTACTCATCCAATCAGCAGGTGTCATTGCCGATTGTCCTAGGCGCTCTACAAGTCCGAGCGTGAAGCTCGCAGACACTCCATAAGTCTGTGTGGCCTCAGCCAAGTCCTTTAACTGTTTATAAGCAACCAGCTCATGAAACCTCTGCCCTGTGTTGGGATCCTGAAAGACGGGGAACGCAGCAGCCAATCGGCTCCATGTGCCAGGCTTAATGAAGGAAGCTGACGTGGCAGGAGGTGCCGATGGGCCACTCCTGGTACCACTAGCTCTAGGTGAATCATATGGCGGGGGCTTAGTACGCTCCGGACTACACTGTCCCCGTTCATACTGAACTGCAGCTTCCTCTAGATCTTCCTCTAGACCTTCCTCCTCCACCTCTAATTGGTCCTCATCCTCGGAGGACTCATCTATACAAAATTGAGGAAATTCCTCCAAGAGTGGATACTGCGTATCCTCTAGCTCCCTGTCTTTCTCTGGAGCTTTCTCTTCCCTCTTCCGAGAGCTCTTGTCGCCCTCCCTCTTCCGAGAGCTCTTGTCGCTCTCCCTTTTCCGAGAGCTTTTGTCGCCCTCCTTAGGCCTATGTTTTTTGTGTTCTCCTGTCTTTTCTTCCTTGGTATCTAGCTCCGACATGCTATCCTGGTAGTCTGAAAGCGCTCTTCGGCCTTCTTTTACTGCCTCGATGCATTTCCCGTCCCGCAAACAGGCTCGTACCAATTTCCATAATGGATGACTTCCCGGCCGAAGCTTACTCTCCGCCTTGCTGCCTCGAGGGCCCTACCTAGCTTGTTCCAGCAGGGGAGATTGATGTCCCCCGAACCTCCAAACCATGGTGCTACTCGATCCACATCCTCCAAAAACTTTCTTACGGTACCCTCGGAGATTTTTAGATCTCGGTCCCTAAGCAGCCTTTGGATAGGGCGCGAGAAAGGCGCCATGCCAGCGGGTCCAGACGCTACATTTCCCATGCTGTACGTTATCTGCACACCTTATGCACGAGTTGAAATGCCTACCTATCTACACCGGGCTTACTTTCAGTTTCACTTACTGCCGGTCCCAGCAAATACACTCTTGACTGGCTCTATGAAAACGTGGAAAAAAGGCAATGGGTCAGCACCAAGACGACCATACCCCGAATGACAGGGGCTCCCCAGAGCGGATTCACTCCTCCACTCAGCACGTCAGAAGTAATACTCACGGAGAACTCACCGGCGCCGCCGCTCTGAGCGTCTAAGTTCTGAATCCTCCTGCTTCCGCAGGGGTCTCTGCCTGATGCCGTGATGGAAGTCCCGGGGTTCGGCACCACTTGCAGCACGCCACAATGCAGCATGCCAGCAGAAGAGACGACTGCAACAGGATCCTTCTCAGAACACCCTTTATTGGAGCACTTACACTTGAGGTTTGATTTTTTTTTTTAATTTTTCGAGACAGGGTTTCTCCGTAGCTTTTGGTTCCTGTCCTGGAACTGGCTCTTGTAGACCAGGCTGGCCTCGAACTCACAGAGATCCGCCTGCCTCTGCCTCCCGAGTGCTGGGATTAAAGGCGTGCGCCACCACCGCCCCGCTCACTTGAGGTTTGAAAGAGGCAAGAAGACCCCGTCCCCGTGGAAGCAGAAGAATATATACGGTACCAGACAAAGCCCTGACGTGTCATCAACCCAATGGCTCAGGCCAGAATGGAGCGATAAACGTGCTAAATAATGATTGGCCAGATCGGATGGCCAGATCGAAAGACTCCCTGCGCTGGAGGGGGGAGCTTGTGCGCATGCGCACAAGTTCTCTCAAGTTTGACGTGGAACAGCAAACAGCGCCCAGGCTCCGTGCCCACGACATGACAGCGCCATGGTGTGCGCTACACCCATCCCCTCAAAATATATCTGTGCCTGCAGTTTGGTGAGCAAGTCTCTCCCTAGTAAGGGGTATGGGCAGTCAGGAACATGCAAGAAGGTGTGAGTCACCTTACCGGTTGCCAGCTGTACTTTTCGGTCCATTGTCCATCGGTATCTTCTTCCTCCAGTGGCCCCCTGGACCCAGGCTGATTTATCACTCAAGGGTCCCGGGGCATGGGTTAACATCGAATGCTGGGCCCTGGCGTCTACCAGAAAGGTGACGGATTGCCCCCCAACATCAAGGGTTATCCTGGGCTCGGGGGGGGGGGGAGGGGGGCTCCTGACCCCGACTTCCCTAGTCCTCCAAGGTCAGCAAGGAAGCCTGGGGTTTTGGCTTCCTTGGTCCCCTCGGTCTCTTAGGACAATCCTTAACCCAATGTCCTTTTTCTTTGCAGTAGGCACATTGGTCTTTGTCCACTCAGGGGCCTCTTCGGTCTCCTCCCTGCCTATCCTGTCTTTGTCCTGAAACTACGGTGGGCAGCAATTTACTAATTTCCTTGTTTCTCTTGCGATCCCTCATGTTTTCTCTTTCCTCCGCCTCCTTTCTGAGCCTCTCGTCTCTTTCCTCCTGAGTCTCTCGCTTATTGGAAATTCGCTCTGCTTCCTTCAGCAAATCCTGGAGTGAACTCTCTTTAAGATTATCAAGCTGCTCAAGTTTCTTTCTGATATCTGGGGCTGACTGCCATATGAAGGACATAGAAATGTTAGTAGCCTGACCTGGGTCCTCTGGGTCCTATGGAGTGTATATGCGGTAGGCCTCCTTTAGCCTCTCAAGGAATACTGAAGGTGACTCCTCAGATCCCTGCATTACCTGCTTAACCTGGGCCAGATTAGTGGGACGTCTAGCCGCCCCATGGAGACCCGCTATGAGCAACTAGCGATAGAGGCGTAGGTGGTTCCTACCTTTGGCCATGGTAAAGTCCCAGTTGGGACGTTCCAGGGGGAATGCTGCCTCGATCTCATTGGGCAGCTGAGTGGGGCGACCATTATCCCCAAGCACATTTTTTTGGGCTTCTAGGAAAACTCGTTGTCTCTCCTCAGTGGTTAGCAGGGCCTGCAGCAATTGCTGACAATCATCCCAGGTGGGTTGATGAGTTACTAGAATAGACTCAATCAAAGAGGTTAGCATTGAGGGATCCTTGGTAAAAGATGGGTTGTTATTGCGCCAGTTGTAAAGGTCAGACGCTGAGAAGGGCCAATATTGAAGCTGGCCGTTTGGTCCCGCACGCAGCGGAAAAGCCCGGGACGTAGAATCTGGCGGCTGCTCTCTGAGTCCTCTCAGTCGTCTGGCCATAGGGGAGGGAGCTGGTTCGACTGGGAGTTCCGGTGGCTCAGCCTCCCTCTGCTGCTGTTCCGGCCCTGGCTCCTGATAGGGAGGGGGTTCTTCCGTCATCAAATCTACCAGGAGGTCCTCCCCAGGAGGCAGGACCGGGGGTGTCCCCGAAGTTTTTTTCTTCTTTTCCGTTGAACTCTCCGCCTGCGTGGGTTTCGTGAGGGCTGAGTAAAGGGAGGATTTGGTAGGGGGCCGAGTGGGCGTGGGGAGCAGGGGTGGGGGAAGGGTCAGGGCAGAGGGAGCTGTGGGAGGGCGTTTGGGGGTAACAAAGGGTTTGACCCACGGGGGTGGGTCATAAGCCAGAGCTTCCCAAGTGACAATATATGCCACCTGATCCGGGTGTCCGTGTGGCCCTGGATCCATCACTTTGGTTTTAACCTGTGAAATGAGGTCAAGATTAAAGGTCCCGTCCCGTGGCCATCCTACATTGAAAGTGGGCCATTCAGACGAGCAGAAAGCGACCCATCTCTTTTTGTGAACGTCCACGGATTGGTTTTTGGCCGTGTCCTGGACATTTCTCCAGTGCTGTAACGTAAGACTTAAGGGGGTGGTAACAGACTGTCCCATTGTCTCAAATAGGACCACACCGAACACAGACCCTACGAATAGCAGACACACACAGAGACAACACAGTCTTGCAGCGCGACTTCAGCGCAAAACCAAAAGCAAATGCTCAGATGGAGACAATGAGAGTCCGGACCTCTTATCTCCCAAAAGAACCACGTACCCTTCGGACAGCGGGGGTGCCCCAAAAAAGCCCGACTCGGGTACCGGGGTTCAGTGAATACGGATGAGCCAAAAACTTGGCTCCAAATGCTCCTGGAACGTCTTCCAGCGCTGCGGTCGGGAGTTTCTGAACCCGTCGGTTCCTTCACGGTTCCACTCAAATACCAGATGATACAGCTGGGTCGTATGGACGCGGCGCAGTGATCACAATGACAAATAGTGACGCAGAGACAAACACAACAGAGATCAATCGCTGGCCAGCTTACCTCCCGAAAAAAAATGGGTCGGTGGTCCCTGGGCGGGGTCTCCAAATCCCGGACGGGCCCCCAAATGAAAGACCCTCCAAGAGTGTCTTTCCTCTGGGGAGACCCTTCCCAAGGAACAGTGAGACCACTTGTACGGATGCAAACAACAAGAGGTTTATTCAGATACACAGGTACCTGGGGCGACAAAGTCTCTCGGAGGACTTGTGCACCTCCAGGTCGGGGTAATGGGTTTATACATGTTTTGGGGAGCAAAAAGCGTGGTACAGAAGCGAGAAGTGTAGTTACAGGGTTTTTATTGGTTAGTTTGAATGTGGCCGAGTTCAGGTCAGGACAAGGTCCCTAGTTCCCGAGAATTCAGATATAGATAGGCTGCCTTGGCTCTTATCTAGGGCAGACAGGGTGTCTTTCTCGGTATTCACCGTTCCTCCCCGCCTGGGACAGACGACGCCCAGCCACATTCTCGGTATTCCCCGTTCCTCCCCCGGCCCAGCCACAGGTGTCTCTATCTCGTTTTGGCAGCTTTTAAACTGCCCTTTGTCCAAACCCTGAATATTCAGTACAAGCCTTGTAAAATGGCGTTACCAGTGCTAAGTTGTTTAACAAGCTGGGCGTGGGGTCTTTCATCTGGTGCTAAGCTGCTTAGCAAGCTGGATGCGGGTCTTTCAGTTCCTTTTGCCGGGGAGACGTGGAGAAATGTCTATCCATTTCAGTGAGGACATTGATGACAGAGCAAAGGAACAGTTGTTCCACTCACGTCTATCTTAGTGAACCCATGAGTTTACTGGGGTTACATAAAGGATAACGAGTGGCTGAGGAGCAACTGCATCAACAAGCAACTCCCTCAGCCTAGGTGACAACTTGCAAAAGCTGCTTTGGGGCAGCTCAGTGGTCTCCTCTCCCCCAGTAGCTGTTTAGCTCATCTAACCCCAGAGAGGGGTCCTGTAAGCTTCACAGCTCTCTTACCAATCTTTGCAATTTTTTTTTTCGAGACAGTGTTTCTCTGTGGCTTTGTAGCCTGTCCTGGAACTAGCTCTGTAGACCAGGCTGGTCTCAAACTCACAGAGATCTGCCTGCCTCTGCCTCCCAAGTGCTGGGATTAAAGGCGTGCGCCACCATCGCCTGGCAATCTTTGCAATTTTTAAAAGATGTATTTGAAGTCAAGCAGTGATGGCACATGCCTTTAATCCCAGCACTTGGTAGGCAGAGGCAGGCGGATCCCTGTGAATTCGAGACCAGCCTGGACTACAGTTCTAGGATAGGCTCCAAAGCTACATAGAGAAACCCTGTCTTGAAAAACCACACACACACACACACACACACACACACTCCAAGGAATTTGCATGGGACAAGAAGTGAGCCTGTGACAGATCTGAAGGATTTAGACTAGTATATATGTTGGTTTCGTGAAGCGCTAAAGTATTCAGGAAAGAATGAGGGGAAAGGCGTGGGTGTGGGGGGGGGCGTGGAAAGCATTTGGGAACTGTCTGAATCACTTAAAAGCAAATTGGCAGAATTGGTTTTATCTGGAGTTCTAAGAAAAGAAGTGACAAGAAGCCAAATTCAGTGTTTCTAAGCAGTAGGAAGATAACCAAGACTGTGAGGGTTGTCCAAGAGATCCCAGACATTACAGGCTATTGCTGCCCCCCTTGGCTCCCCCGAGAGGTGGAAGGTAAGTGTCTATTGTTGACTTACCTTTGCTTCAGACAAAGGGCTCAGAGGCCCCTGACCTGAAAACCTCTTCTCTGGGGGCTAGCTTCCATGGTACCAAAAGGCTGCATGACAGCTTCCAAAGGCAGGAAGGAAGCAAACACATCCTACCCACCTACGATGCCTATGAGCCACAAGAAGTAGGTGAAGCAGTGGCAAGCTTACCTTGGTGGTGTCCAGCGGCTCTCTAATTGGACTTAAGACCCACCAGGTGCCTGCACAGCTCAGAAGAGGGCATCGGATTCCCTGGAACCAGAGTGACAAGTGGTTATAAGGGGCCATGTGAATGCTGGGAATTGAGCCCTGATCCTCTGGAAAAACAGCCCATGATCTTAACTGCTGAGTAGTTATTAATTTTTAAGCATTTAAAAAGGTAAAACATGCATTTTGCACATAAGGGAAATGTTTGATGAACGTGTAAAGCTATGTATATACATCTGTATATGTGTGTCCATGGGGTCAAAGGACAAACTGAAAGACTTGGCTCCCTTCTTACATGTAGGTCCCTGGTAGGGAACTCACATCATCAGGCTTGGTAGCAAGCGCATTTACCTCTTAGGCCCTCTAGAATCATCAAAAAAAAATATTTTGTTGTGTATATTACAAATCTGTCAGTGCTTCAGAAACTGGGGAACATCTTCGTCGTAGAGATGCACTTAAGGGACCAGTGTTTCCTCCAATCACTAAGAACGCTTCAGTCAGTGAGAATGAAACTACCAAGCCCAGAATTCTCTGTGCACATAGTTCCGCCTGTGCCTCTCGCGGTGCCCGTTGGGACATGTAGTTTAAATTTCTGTGGTGCATGCCGCCTTGGGGCTGCGTTTCTTCCGCTCAGGGACACAGTTAAAGAAAGGTGTCTTACCAGGAAAGGCTAAACACCCCAGGACGCGATTGGTGAGCCGGAGACGCCAGCCTCCTCCTGTTGCTGTCGGGGCCTTGGATGATCCCTGCCTTCTGAGCCGTCGGGAGCAGCGCTGTCGGGTCCGTGGAGGGCGTGGGGGAAGGACTTGCGGGTTTGTCAGCGGCTATGCCTTCCGCACCCGGCTTGGTTCCGCCCGGGACGCGCGGTTTAGTTTAGCAGTCGCGGTCTCCTTGCGGGTTTGGGTCTCCACAGGAGACCGGGGCAGGTCGAGCCCATTGCCGTCTGGTGCTGGCCACCTAGGCTCAGGGTCAGCTCTCCTGCGGGCCAGATGCACGAGTTACCTGTCACTTATAAACCGTGTGCGGCTCACGCCTGCTCACCGCAAAGCCAACCAGTCACACTCCCCAGGCCTCGCCTACAGTTAAATGGTTTCCTCAAGGTCACCTTTTTGTAGTCGTGGATCGGCTGCCGGTGAGACCCTATCTCCACAAACAAGCAAGCAAATACCCTAAAACAAACACAAAAGCCGATTTTGTTTGTTTTTTCTTCTGCCGCGTTTGTGGTCAGAATTGAGCCCTTTAAAAATTGGGGGCCGGAAGAAACCCCTTTTTCCTGGATGTCTCATTTTGAATCAAATCTAGCTGGTTTAGACCAAGAACAAAGTATGTAGTCCAAACAAAAAAGGAAAATCCTTGTTGCTTGAAGTTTGACGTTAGGGGGGTAATTTGATATTAATGGAACGAGTAACCAAGGTAAACCAGTTGTTTTGCAGATTCTATTGGAATGGATTTAGAGCCATCAGGATGGAAATAAAACACATTAGTGAAAGGCAGTTTTTATGCCATCACAGAATACCCGACTTCTAGCTGCAGATGGACCAAAGAAAACCTGTGCTAACAAAGGAACAGAAGCCTGTATTTTGGAGACCCATCCGTTATAAATATGTTCTGTCTCAGAGGCCTCTCTCTACTCTCTCGGAGAGCGGTTCAGTTCCGCCCCTTCACTTTTGAGCCATTAATTACTCAAATGCAGAACTGTACAGATGAAGAACAAGTATTTGATCTTATCGAAAGAAGCCCGGCCATGCTTTCAGAGCCGCAAGTGGGTTGTGCGTTTAATATGCTCTGGCAGTTTCAGAAGCAGAAGACTAACTTGGAAAAAAACATTGAGTTTGTTAGAAACCATCCCCAGTTTCTTACTCTTTGCAACGCAACGGCGAATCACATCCAAGCAATGGGTGATGACACCCTCGTGGATGTGCTATACAGTATAAGACAGTAAGTTGCTTTTCAGTTTATGAAAACAATTCTAGTTCATATCTATATATATATTATATATATATATATATATTTCCTGAGAATCTTTTTTAAATGAAAAACCATTCTTCCAGAAGACGGTTTTTCTTATACTGAAGGATATTTGAAGAATATTTTTTTGGTACCAGTTAGTGATATAGTTTAGAAAGCCAGGAAAGTACAGATGACTGGCTTTCCGTATGTGTGATTGGTTGATTGTGGAATAGTGGAGAAACGTGATTGGCTAACGGCAATGAGGATATCATAGGTAAGTAGGTTAAGTCAGATTAATGTCTGCTAACAAGCCAACAGTTATTGAGGTTCTATTTTTATTGATCCATTTGCAGTCTCTTGGCTTTCATAATTAAAAATTGCTTTGCCTTGTTTTTATTGAGGTTTGGTGTTGAATCCCATCACCCTCTGGTTGAAGCACTGGTTACAGAAGCGTGGAAAAGGCTGGAAAGGCAAGTACTCTGGGCTTATCATATAAGATCAGGGTTATCTGGGGGATGGGGGTGTTATCAAAACAAAATAGAGGAAAAGAATGAAGTTTCATAGGGAAAGAATGCACTGGGCCTGGGGATGTAGCTGACTTGATAGAATGTGTGAGCATATACACAAGACTGAGGACGCCATCCCCAGCGACACAGCAAACCAGCGTGTTAGGGCACTGTAGAGGTGGAGGCTTGTCTTAGGGCTACCGTTGCTCTGAAGAGACACGGTGGCCCTGGTAACTCTTACAAAGGGAGACATTTAATTGGGGGTGACATACGGTTTCAGAGGTGTAGTCCATTATTATCATAGGAGACCCACACCCACAGTGACACACTTCCTCCAATAAGGTCACCCCTATTCCAACAGAGCCATACCTCCTAATAGTGCCACTCTCTATAGGGGCCTGTAGCACAAATAATAAAAACCCAGAGACAGATATTAGGATTCAAGATGAAGATCAGAAAAGCAAAGTGGCCAACCACTGGTTCTTACCTCTACTTCAGACTGAAGTGGGTGATCCTGCCTCCACGAACCCTCAGGCTGAGACCTGTCTCCCCCGGTTCTATATTCCTCTGTAGTGCTAGGATTAAAGGCGTGCACCACCACTGCCTGGCCTCTATGGCAAACTAGCGCGGCTGCTGGGATTAAAGGCGTGTGCAGCCACTGCATGGCCTGTATGGCTGGCTAGTGTGGCTGCTTTGCACTCTGATCTTCAGGCAAGTTTAGTTATTAAAACACTAAGTAATATACCACTATAAACGCCATTTTCTTTCATACCACCACAAGGCTGAGGATCAGAAATTCAAAATCATCCTTGGCTTCACAGCATGTTTGAGGCCTGCCTGGGCTAAATGAAACCCTGTCTCAGAAGAAAAGAAAAAAAAGTTTAAATTCAATTCATTTGAGGATTTTTAATTGTGTAAAAACATTCTTTCTTTAATAAAGAAAGGGAACTGTAACACCCGGTTCTGTGTTACCCCCTGGGTACAGTTTGCACGCCACTGTACCGTACGCGAGCGGGCAAGGGCCTGGAGATTGAAGGAACACACTAGAGACCTGGGTCATTCGAAAGGAGATCAGCCAAAAGCCGTTTATTCAACTTTAGGGAAATCCTTAAATACCTCGGTGCTTCACTAGGAGTTCCCCCAGGCAGGTGGGAAATTGCCACACCCAAGATGGAGTAAACAGTGCCCTACAGCTAATCACCAGGTGGGGCAGAGGGAGCACAGGAACAAACAGAATGTTTTCGCTGGCTGACCAGAACCTGTCCTCAAGATGAACCCCAGGAGCAGGGGCAGACCCGGGCCCTACAGGGAACTATTCCAGCTGTTCCCTGTTTCATTCAGAGCAGGCCTCAGTATGCTTTTCCATAGACGTTAGGTGCGGCAAAGCCACAGGTAGTCACTAGTTGCTTGCACTCTTGAAGCGTTCTGCTTTAGAAACAGAAGATTCTAACTGACTCCAGAAAACAAACAAGCAAACGAATAAGCTTAAATTTCGGGGCTTGGGAAATGACCTGGCAGTAGATTCCTAGTGCCCATCTGGCAGCTCACGGTCATCTGTCACTCCAGTTCTAGAGAGTCTCCTCTGACCTCCAGGCCACGGGTGCAATACGTGGTATGCAGACGTCTGCTCAAACAAAACACCCATACATGTTAAATAAAAGCAACAACAATAGCAACAAACACCCAAGATTGCAAGGGCTACGAAAGGAAATAAAGGAAGACACGAGTTTGGTGGACTGGGGGGGGGGGGGGGAGGCGGCTGTGTGACACTTGAGCATCTCTGGTTTTCCTGTTACTTCATTTCTGTGAGACGGCAGTGACCGCAGGTTACAGTCGGCTTCAAAGCTTCTGGAAGAGTTAGCTTTACACCAGTTACTGTTTTTGTTAGATGGCACCTTTCACTCTTAGCTTGCTTCGTGTTGCTGTGAATCAATTTTGACTTCACCCAAAAGAAGGATAGAAAAGAAAGTAAGCTTGAGGTCCTCTGCTGTTGACGGTGTTGTCACAAATGCACTGTCCAAGCTGGACAGCTGTGTTTTCATGTGACCATAACTGATCGTCATCGAGAGGAATGTGAACTCTGTTCAGGATTTTCTTGTGAATACACAGCACACTCTGCAAGTATGTATGGGAAGTCCTCCGTGTATGAGAGCCGAGGCAGTAACAGAACCAGTTTAGGAAGCCTTCTGCACTTTCTACCTAGGAATCTGTGGTAGCCAAAGCCACTACTAGTAAGATAAGGCAGATGGAAGTCAAGGGAAGAACACTCAAAGTAGGAGAGTGATGGAGGATACTGAAAGCAACCCCAAGGACCAGCAAGGTGCTCTGTGATTGATGAAGATGCCTGTCCCTAAGCCTGTTTGAAAAACAGGACTGGAGAGATGTCTCAGAGGTTAAGAGCACTGACTGCTCTTCCAAAGGTCCTGAGTTCAATTCCCAGCAACCACATGGTGGCTCCCAACCATCTGTAATGAGATCTGGTGTCCTCTTTTGGCCTGCAGGCAGAGCACTATACATAATTTAAAAAAAATTAATTTGAGAAACAATATCATGCTAGGCAGTTCATGCTTGGAATCCCTGCACTGGGAAGGTATGAGGCAAGAGGATTTCTATGCGTTCTGGGACAACCTGAGCTACATAGTGAATTCCAGGCTATCCAGGATTGCAGAGGAAGACCTTGTCTCAAAAACAAACACCATAGGCAGTATCATCGCTTCCCCCAAATTCTTCTTAGAATTGCCAGCTCCGCTTTGTTATCCCTAAAGGATGTTGACTTTTTAGTTGTTTTTTCCCCCGTGTTTATTTATTCATTTTGCAGGGGCCATGGGAAGGGTGGGGCATGCACGCGTCACTGCTTGTGGAGGTCAGAACAACTGGCAGCAGTTGTACGGGATCAAGGTTATTGAACCTACTCACTGAGAAATCTTGCTGTCCTGTAAAAGGATTTTCACCCTCGCCAAAAGCTAGGATTTTGTTTTGTTTTGTTTTTGTTTCTCAAGACAGGGTTTCTCTGTAGCTTTGGAGCCTGTCCTGGAACTAGCTCCTGTAGACCGGGCTGGCCTCGAACTCACAGAGATCCGCCTGCCTCTGAATCCCTAGTGCTGGGATTAAAGATGTGTGCCATCACCGCCCGGCTAAGTTAGGGGTTTTTTCGTTATTGTTGTTGTTGTTGTTTGTTTTTTATAAAAATGAATTCTTATAGTACTCATGTATCTAGTTCTCATTGTGTTTTGAGGAGTCTTCCATAATATATGATTCAGTGGTTCTTTATTATTTAATTTTTTGAGACAGGGTTTCTCTGTGTAACAAGAGAAGAGAGGCCTGGCTGTCCTGGAATTTACTTTGTAGACAAGGATGGCCTTGAACTCATAGAAATCTGCCTGCCATTGCCTCCTGAGTGCTGGGGTATTTGCTACCACCATTGAGCTCTGTGGTTTCTTCTTTTTATTGCTCTGTTATGTTGTTCAGTGGCTATGTGGGATTTAGCCATAATACTGGAAATTTTGGCTCTTATGTGTTGTGCTGCTATGAACTTCCTTAGGTTAAGAATAGATTTTTTGGGTTTTTTTTATTTTTAAAAATTACATGTAGGGCTGGAGAGATGGCTCAGTGGTTAAGAGCATTGCCTGCTCTTCCAAAGGACCCGAGTTCGATTCCCAGCAACCACATGGTGGCTCACAACCATCTGTAAAGAGGTCTGGCGCCCTCTTCTGGCCTTCAGGCATACACACAGACAGAAAATTGTATACATAATAAATAAATAAATAAATAAATATAAAAAAAAAAAAAAACAAAAAAAAAACAAAAAAAAAAAAAAAAAAAAAAAATTACATGTATATGTATGTGTCCAGTGGGGGGATGTGTGTATTCGTGTGCAGGTGCCTGCAGAGGCCAGGGGAGGGTGCTGAATGCTGGTACTATCCCTAGCTGCAAGCCACCTGATGTAAGTGCGAGGCAGCCCACTGGGTCCTCTGGAAGAGCAGTATATACTCTTAACCACTGAGCCCTCTCTCTAGCCCCAACCCTGGTGCTTTTAATAAACAAAACAAACAATAGTAACAAATTAAAATGGAGTGACTGGGAAGGTAGCTCAGTGGTAGTGTGCTAGCAAGGATAGTGTATTCAAGCCCTGTTAGATCTCCAGAACTAACAAAAAAGAGAAGAAAGGGAGAGGAAAGCATTGAACTGTGTAGGGGTGCACTTTTGTCTTGCCAGTCACTTGAAGAAATTGGATTGTTTTTCCTCTCTAGAGATTTTTACTCATTTGCTAATATGCAAATGAATCAACATTCCATGTTACCTCAAAAAGTTAGTAAGTGAAACTCAAATTGAGTGATTCTCTTTTAAATCTTTCTGCAGTGCTGGACCTTAAAGGTCTCATCATTTGGTACTGTTGTAATAATGAATAATCAGCTCACCTTGGAAAATTTTGATGTGTTTTGGTTTTTTGTTTGCTTGTTTTTTTGAGACAGAGGCTGTCCAGGACCTTGTTCTGTAGACCAGGCTGGCCCAGAACTCAGAGAGATCTGACTGCCTCTGCCTCCCATGTGTTGGAATTAAAGGTGTGCACCTAGCTTGACATTACTTGTTTTTTTGTTTAGTTTTGTTTTTAGTATTGAGGATCAAACCCAGAACCAGGGTCTGGCATGTGCTGGGCACGCAACCAACCGCTGACTTACTGCCCAGCCCTTGAAAAACCTTCATCTTATTTTATAACTACATCATGTGTTCTAATTGATACTAATGATCTAATTTGAATTTCTTTTAACAGGTTTGATACTAATGTGCTCTCAATATTTTCTACTTGCCTGGCCGATCAGCATTTGTATTTCAGTCCATTAATGGGAAAAATAGCTGATATTGTAAACAGGAACTTGGAAACCATACAGGACTTAAGGTACATTTATTTGGGGCCTATGGGTGTGCGAGGATGCTGGGCTTTGGGTGCAGATAGAGATGTGTCAGGTGTCACTATAACCACATCTCTTGTGAGGTCGACATCCTCATCTACACAACAGCGACGGCAAGAGCTGCTTGGTAGTGTGGAGATCTCTGAGGAGCTAAGGTTTTTAACTTACCGAGTTGGCCTGCCGTGTCCGCAGCCAGATGCCACATTTTCATGTGTGGCAGCAGAAAACGTGGGATTGCCAGGTCAGAGCCAGAGGACTGTTTCTCACGATGCCAGAAAAAAGTAAAATAACGAAACAATTTATGGCATGAAGCTGTATGCTTGCCAACTTCTTTCCATATCTGTTCATTTAATTTAGAACTGGTCATTTTTGCTAGGAGTATAAAAATCTGTGTATCTTCTTTTCTCCTTCAGGGCCTTGTCTGTCTTGATGGTCAGCATTTCTTCTATAATATCCCACTGTTTCCAAGAGAGACTCGTGAACAAAACAGAACTGCTTTTTGACAATGTCGACTCTTCCAAGGTCAACAATGCTAGACGGATATTACTGTTCCTCCGCAATGTCAAGTGCAGTTATCACCCACTCCTGGAGCGGTGCAACACAGTGTTTATAGGCAGTATGAGCAGTCTTGACTTGGAGGCCGTCTGTAGAATCTTCAGCCTGTATCAGTCCCTGCAGTTCCACAGTTTTGAGTTTATTGAAGTGGCGCGAAGGAGGCTAGTCGAGATGATCCCCTGGTCATCTGGCCACCCCGCAAGTTTTGTCAGATTGTTTACCACGTTGGGACCGGTGGCAGGGCCTGAAATAAGGAAACAGTAAGTTTAACTTAAAAATGTTCTATTTTCATGTTGGATTCTTCATGCTTAGCTCTCCTCGGAGCTCAGAAACTCACCAGAATCACCCCGGTTGGCTATGGAAGGGAAATAATCTGTTACAGTCTGTTCCTTCAGATGTCTGGTATCTTCCACAGTGGACTAGACAGAAGATGAGGGGCCCCGCCTCAGTATTTTCATCAGCCCTTCCTGGGTCTGCACAGAGGTGTGAGACTCCTGTTTAGGTTGCGGTAGTCTACACAGTGGGTTCTCTATCCTGTTATCTTCATCCTGCTCACGTGATGTCAAAATTCCCAGGTTGCTTCTGGTCATGCTGTTTTATCACGGGAATAAAAAACCTAACTAAGACAATGTTAATGATAATCATGTGTTACAGATATTTATTCCAATTCCAGAACAAGTAGTTCTGTTATTAAAAATGATTTTACACACACACACACAAAGATTGGCAGTAATTAAAAAAAAAATAAGAAAGCACACAGTGGGTGCAATGGTGCCTGGCTGTGATCCCAGCCTTGGAGGGAGTAGAGTGAGTTTGAGGCCACTCTGGGTTACACAGGGGGTCCCAGCTGAGCCCGAACTGCGATTCCTCCCCTCAGAACACTCAGATGCAGGAGCAGGTGCACCTACAGCTTGAGTGAGTTTAGTCTGCCTCATCTTTTTTAAGAAGTTCTGATTTCATAGACTATTGATATAGATATACATATCTGGAATGGTTGGTTGGATTTTTTGTTATTTTGTTGTGAGTTGAACATGGAAAGGGTCTTTCAAATATTAGACAAGAGCTCTTATCTATTTACTTTGTATTTGGAGACAATCTCACTCAGTTTCTTGGGTGAGTCTTGAATACTTGCAATTCTGTATCAGCCCCTCACACTGCAGAATTATGGGTCAGTACCTGGCATTTGGTTAGATATGATATATATAGGTTAGATCTTGCTCCATTTAAAATATTTAGATATTGCTAGGAGATATGTAAATATTAGTCTAATATACAAACATCATTTGGTTATCTCTTCCTAGACTATGAGGCTAGAGTTATGCAATAATAACTCTAATCCCTAATCAGCGTAACTATATGGAATATTCAGAATTATAGTAGCCTTTTTGTTTTGTTTTTCGAGACAGGGTTTCTCTGTAGCTTTGGAGCCTGTCCTGGAACTAGCTCTTGTAGACCAGGCTGGCCTCGAATTCACAAAGATCCTCCTGCCTCGGCCTCCTGAGTGCTGGGATTAAAGGCATGCGCGACCACTGCCTGGCTATAGTAGTCTTTTTAAAATATTTATTTTAAATTATTTGTATACGTGTGTGTGCATGAGTGTGCATGTTTACGTGCGAGTGCAGGTGCCGTGGGAGTCCTGTAAAGTGTTGGAGTCCTTGGAGCTGGAGTTTCAGGTGGTTCTAAGCCACCTGAAATGTATACTGGAAACCAAACTCAGGTCTTCTGCAAGAGTAGTACACATTCTTACCTACTGAGCCATTTCTTCAGCCCAGGAATTCATAGCAATCTGTAGATGCGCGGTGAAGAGCTTTCTTTAAGCAGAGTTCCCAAGAACTCCATAGTAGTGAGATATGTAGTTTTTCTGTTACCCAAAAACTGTTCATTCAAACAAATTGAAAGCCAGTTTTCCAACATTAAAAAACCTGTATTTTTGTTTCTAGGCTTAAATCAACTATGCTGTTGATGTCAGAGGAGCTGACCGGCCAGCAAGTGCTGACAGTGTTGATAGCCATGGAGGATATGGAGAGCAGAAATGCACACTTGATTAAAAAGTAGTCTTTCCTGAAGTTCATGACGCTAAGTTTAGTTGTCACTCATAAGTATCTGCTTTTTTTTCTGACAAATACTTGTGTCTAATTGCTTTGAAGTAATAAAGAATGAACATTGTTTATGTTCCCAAATGTTTGTGACTTCAGGACAGAGATGGGGTTCTTTTTTTTTTTTTAAATGTTTATTTATTTATTATGCATACAATATTCTGTCTGTGTGCAGGCTGGAAGAGGGCACCAGACCTCATTACAGATGGTTGTGAGCCACCATGTGGTTGCTGGGAATTGAACTCAGGACCTTTGGAAGAGCAGGCAATGCTCTTAACCACTGAGCCATCTCTCCAGCCCCAAGAGATGGGGTTCTTTACAGAGGTTTTCATTTCCTTTCCTGCTACTGCTAGACCAAAGCAGAGCATCGTAGTGCATGCATTGTAGTGCAGGCATCGTAGTGCATGCATCATAGTGCATGCGTAGAGCAAGGGCTGTGCTTTCCAGAACACTTGGCTGGAACTTTCCAGAACATAAGGACTTGTCTCACTGTTGCCTCTAACTTATTGGTAGTGTAAGATTTAAGAAGGAAAAAAAAGCCATTCAAATTGCATATGCTTAATTTTTCTTTATTATATGTTCCTTTAGTTAAGGTTCCACTGTCTCATTTCTCATGTTTCCCTCTTTCTCCTTTTCTTTCAATTATTTTTAGCTCATCCCCCGAGGGCCAGAATGTTATGGGAAAAAAATGAGATTAGTTTTGTTAATTGCTAGTAATTTATGATAAAAACTATTCTTGGCAACAGGATGTGGAATTTGATGTCTGCTCCATGAGCTTTATTTCTGTTTTTTCTGTTTTGTAATTTGGGAAGTAAAGCTATGCCCTTCTTTAGAAAAATATTCTGTAAAAAGATTGTATTTCTGAGTATTTGTCCTGCATGTATGTATTTGTACCATGTATCTGGTGCCGCAGACTCCAGAAGAGGTTGTTGGGTTCCCTGGAACTGGAGTTACAGATCATTGTGAACCATCATATGGGTGCTGGGTCCTCAACCCAAGTTCTCTGGAAGAGCAGCCAGTGCTCCTAACTGCTGAGTGACCTTTCCAGTCCCTAAAGCCATGCTTTTCGCCCCCTTTCAAATTCACACTTCATGACTGCCCCTTTAGTTCTGTTTCTGTCAGCCTCTGGAGACAGTTCTGTCAGAACAGAAGAGGAGGCATTTTTTACTGATCCTCCACAGAGCAGTGTGTGTGGCCTGAAGTCTGTCTAGTCATTGTTCAATAAACAAGTGAATGACCGGGCTATAATAATGTTCTTTTTAGGATTGCTTCGGTGCTATATAAACATTTGGATACCTATAAATCGATAGAGCTACTGAAGATAACACAAGCCTTGAGTTGTCTGCATTTCCAAAATAAGGAGCTTTTTATGAAACTTCGAGAATTAATTCTCAGGTAAGAGTTAAGCATTTAAAGAATAAAATATTCAATTAGTATTTCATTTAGAAATCTATCCTTGTTTGCTTTATAGTGTATAAAATAGCTAGAATTTTCTAGACAAACCTGAATGGCTTATTATTGACGTTCTGAGACCTGGGCTGTATCTACTGTGCCGTACTATCGTGTGCCCCTCGTGTGATCCCAGTACCACTAAACAACTAGGCAAACATATACACAGTTTCCCCTTTACCTTAATAGCTGAAAATGACTGTATTTTCTCTGCTTATGTAACATGCGTTCTCAGTTTTCCATTGATTTGGTTGAGCTAAAATGAAGCATTACTAATTTTACTTTAAGTTTACTAATAATGAATGACCAGTGCACTGTGGCTAGCATGGACTAGTAAGATTTTATTTCCCAAGCAATCAGTGGGGTTTGTGGGTGTGTTTGTCCTTTGTTCTTTTTTATATAGGAACTCAGACTCCAAAAACAACAAATAATAAAATCACAGCAACTCAGTTTTGTATTTAATGGAGATTGAATCATTTCTTCCACACTTCTAAACCTAAAGGTGTCTTAAAGTGGCCAGTCCTTAATTTGTTGTTTAAGAATTACTGTACTCACGGTGAGGTAGTTACTGCACAGATTTAGAAAACAGGGAGTAGAGAGTGAGGTCAGGTGTCTGTCTGTCTGCTTGTGAGCATGTGTCTGTCTGCCAGTGTTTTAAGACTATATATCTGGTATTCATAACTAAGAAGGGTATTGGTATTATTAAGGGTTGTCCTGTGCCAGGGCCTATTCAACGTCGCAGCAGCTCCTGGTGGCCATGCAGACACTGAGCTCAGATTCTTGCATAGCAGCAGCAGTGGCGGCAGCAGTACCAGGCTCTCTTCTGATGCTGACCTTTTCCCCAGTGATGGTGGTTTTCTTACTGCATGAAGTGTGGAGCATGGCTGTCACCTTCGCCTTTCCTTAGTGACCCCTAATGATCTGTCCCCTGTGAATTAATTTTAAATGAACCTGACTTTCTAAGGCCACCTCACCTTTTTAACAATTATATAACAATATTTTAATTCACATATTTTGTGTATCTTTTGGTTGTTGCTGGCATGTTGGTTATATTCTTTCTGTTTTTTCCCCCTTTTCCTTTATGTAACAGTCATTTGGAAGCTAGCGTCATGCCGAGTGAGATTTGTATTCTGGTCTCTGCTTTATCCATGCTTCCTTCCTCTCGCCTCGACCAGACAGCGCTGTCCCGCATTGAAGCCATTTTACCCCAGTGTGATTTCAAGGAGCTGAGTGATATTGTAGTGTCTCTTCTGAGGTGGATCCAGAATGATCACACATGCTTGGCCGGCCCTGCTAGACAGCAACTGAATCTCCTTCGGAAATTAGATCACTGGGGCCATCATCGATTACAGCAAAGCACCAGCTTGGATCTCCTGTGGGAGGAGCTTAAAGCTTTGAAAGGGGAATGGCTTCAGGAGTCCTTGGTTGAAGAATCAGTCGCTGCTTTGGAGCACTTTGTGGATGAAATCAATGGCACCAACGTTGCAAAGATCGCGTCTTTTCTTTCCAAAACTAACTACCTCAGCACCATAATACTTGATAGGATAGCTTCGGTGGTTGTCCAGCAGATTGAAAAGGTGAGATTTAAGTGTTAGACATGACTTTTACACTGTTCAGCTTCCAGAAAGCACATACACACATGGATATATAAATTATAAATACTTAAATACTTTCTAAACTTAGATGAGAGTAAAGTTCAAAATTTCAGCTCTGGCTTCTGGTTTATCAGTTTGTTCTTTTTCACTTTAAAGCCACTTTTGAGCAGGATGTGGAGGCACACTTGAGATCTCAGTGTTTGGGAGGCTGAGGCAAGAGGATTGCCAAGAGTTTAAGGTCCAAGTGGACACACAGACAGACCTTGTCTCAGACAAAAGGAAGCAGCCGCCTTGTTCCCCTCGCCATGGATTTGGAGAGAACCGTGGTCATCCTTTGATTTCTTCAGCCCTTAAGATCAGAAGCCAGAGAGGCTTTGGTTTGTTTCATTTTTGAGAGACAGAGTCTCGTTATGTAGCTCACAGTCTAGAAATTCCAGAAATTTTCTTACCTCTGCCTCCCAAGTGCTGGGATAAAGCATGTACCACTATGCCCAGCTAAGATCAGAAGTCGGAATTTTTTAATTGGAAGGCAATATTTAAAATATTAGGCATATTTTCATGGTAGCCAATAACTGATTTTTAATTTTCTTTTTTTTTCTCTGTAATCCTGGGTATCACTATTAAACAATTGCAGGCTGGCAAGATGGCTTAGCAAACAAACACACTTGCCTTCCAACAATGCGGGTCTGATGGACCCGAGTTTGCTGCCAAAATCCTTGTGATAAACATGGAAGGGAGAGCCAACTACACAAAGCTGTCCTCTGACTTACCCTTGTGGATGTGGCACACACACTCATGCATGTCTCTCTCTCACACACACACACACACACACGAAATCGAGGGAAGCGTGAAGACTGAGAAAATAAGGTATTTGCTGACACTCGCATTCCTAAGTTGTCACTGTATACTTGTTTCTGAAATTACATTGGCTAAGCTGCCTTATGGATCGGATGAGAAGACCCTTTCTTACAAAATCCTTGTCTGTATGTTAGGATGAGGTCTTTATTCAGAAGCTAGTGCTTTTCACAATGAACATAAAAATGTCTAACTTGTTTAGCTTTGTGCCCGACAGGTGCTTAGATGAGTGATGTCTCAACAGGGAACAACGAAGTGGCTGTAGATCGGTGGTCGCTTGCTTGGCCTTCGGTCCAGCCCTCAGTACTGCCAGGCAGCATAGCTCACTCCTGGGATCTCGGCAACTGACCTTGAGCTTGGGCTGTAGAGTGAGACCCTGTCTCAAAAATACCAAAGGATGGAAAGTGTGTGGAAGAAAGATGCTGGTGGCTATAAATTAAGGGACTTCCTTGGCTGTAGAAGGATGTTATTCTGTTCAATGCACTGATGACGTGGAAGTAATTGGGGCTTCTTCCTGTTCATTTCCAGTGAGGAGTGGATCCCACAACAGGGTTTTCACCTGGCTGCTTTGCTCTTCTGTACTAACATTTTCACAGTTACTAATAGTTACAGATTTAAATAGATCATTGCAGGATGCAAAAGTGATACATTTGTAATTTCATTATAGGCGTGTGAGAAAGACTTCGTCTAAAATGGTAGATTTAAAATTAGTTTCGCTGAAGCCAATGCTAAATTCTTGTTTGTTCATACAGATCCATCCCTTTTCCATCCCCGCTACTATTCTTCCATTCAGTATTTTGAACTATGATCCACCTCAAAGGGATGAGTTTTTAGGAGCGTGTGTCCAGTGCCTTAATTCTTACAAAGGTAGGTAAAATGATTGGCAGTATAATGGGTGAATAGGTTCTTGTTCATATGACCTAAGAGCTGTTACAATGGCCTTCAGTAACCTGGTATTCATAATAGCCGGAAACTCTGTGCTACAGATGTTTAAAGCTGGGCGTGGTGGTGTATATCAGCCCTTTGGTGAGGCAGGAAGGTTGCTTGTTTGAGACCAGCTTGGGCTGGGATGGACTTCTGTCTGCCTGTCTGTCCATCCATCTGCCTGTCTCCCTACCTGTTGTGTCTTGAAAAAATCTGTCTCAAGAGAAGTATCCATTTCTCTGAAGCCTTTTTAGTATGAAAATGTGAGACTTGTGTAAGAATTGAGCAAGAAGCACCAATATAGCCACGGCGTGGACTGGATGATGTTACTGTTTTGTCCTGCTTGCTTTATTTATCTCTTGCTCGTTCCCCCACCCCATCTGTTTTAAAGCATGCTATCCTGTATTACTGAAGCACACCCTTGCCCAGAGTTATGAACCTCTTATATCAGCACACACCGTGAGCACACTAAGAAACTCCAGTGGTCCCTGCATACTTAAAGAGTCTGTGTTTAATGTCTTCCTAATCTGTACCCCAAATAACCACTCCAATGTTTACTTTGGTGGTTACCTGTTTCTCATAGTCTAGAGTACCACCCTCATACACTTTTAACTTAGTGTCGACATCTGGGGAGAAGCTTTCAATTCTTTCCTTTTTGTTAACAAGGTTTTCAAGGACCTATTAAAATTGAAGGAACAAATATCTGTGTAGTATATCCCCAGTCTAGCTTGAACTATAGCATTCTCCTGCATATGACGAGCCTTTGAATTATCCTCTCTATATGCTTCAGGGAAAGGGAACATTCTCCTTGTAGCCCCTATGCCAGCATTACAACCAGGATAACCAACCGTGCCATCTATTACCTAGACCATCATCAAAGTTTCTCATTTGTTACCAATTTTTTTGTTTCCCATATAGGGAGATAGGGAGGTTATGTGTGCGTGTGTGCATACTGTGTGTGTGTGTGTGTGTGTGTGTGTGTGTGTGTGCTTCTGGTATGTGAGTGGCAGAAGACAATCTCAGGGGACGTTCAGGTACTTGGCTTTCCCCTTGTGAGTGTCTTTTGTTTGTCACTCCGAGGGCTTCACTCACTGGAAAAGCACTTGCCCAGCATGGATGAGACCCAGGTTCAATGCTGGTACTGTAAGAAACAAATGAACGAACAAATAAACCCAATGGAGTGATGATTTTCCTCATTTTGAATGCAGAGTAGGTTTTTATAAAAAATAGTTTTTATTTTAGATTCACTTATTGTATGGTGGGGGCATATGCCACAGTCTGGGTACCGCGTGTGTGTGTCAGTCAGAGGACAACTTGTAAGAAGAGTCAATTGTGCCTAACTATTTGCTTTGCTCATGATTTGGTCTTTTTTGTAAAAATAAAATCAGCAAAGAAATCCAAAAGGAAAGATTATTGTTTGGTTGGTTTTGGAGACAGGCTCTCACATGAGCCTAGGCAGACCTGCAACTGTAATGTAGCCACGCTGGTCTCAAATTTGTGCAGTCCTCCTGCCTCAGCCTCCCAAGGACTAGGATTATAGCAGTGTGCTACCACATCTGTGAAGATTTTGGGTTCGTCTTTTCTGTCCTTCATTAGAATTCTTGTGTCAGTGCATCATGGTAGTTTTCCCTTCCCCTGCGTAAGAAGGCTCTCAAGTGAGGCAAATCTGGCAAAGCCTTAGCTTTATCTGAACTGCTTATCTATATGTACATGTGAAACAGCTGTATGTTATAATTTTAAACTCATTTTTTAGGTAAATTGGATCCTGTTACATTAGTGTTTGTTGGTTTTTCTTTGGCCACGCTTGAATATTTTCCAGAAGATCTGCTAAAGAAAATGTTCACCATCAAGTTCTTAGCCAGATTAGATTCCCAACTTGAAAGTATGTATCTGCATTTTAGTTTTAGAATTTACTAAATGTACCTTGTATGCAAGTATCATTTGTGTCCATACTGAAGCATTTAAAGGCTAATGATATTATTTCTTGCTAATAAAAGCATTTTATGATTAGCTGGGGGGCAGTGTAATGGTAGAATGCTTGCTTAGCATTTGTTAAGCCGTGGGTTTTATCTCCAGAATTGGGAAGGTGGGGATGTGTGTATACATATATGCAGATATACTTGTAAATATATATAATATAAAATAGTATAACACACACACACACACACACACACACACACACACACACACACTATACGCAAGGTTTCAGAATATGGGAAGCTGAGGCAAGAGGATTGAAAGTTTGAAGCCGACCAAGCCACCCAGGGCCTTGTATTGAGATCCTGTCTTAAAAAAAATTATGAATATAATGAAAACTTTTATAAACACATAAAACATCAGAGTTAGATTCTTTTACCAAGTAAAACCAACTTTAATGGGGAGGTGCTTTCTTTTCCTTCTTTTATTTGGAGAGGATTGAACCCAGGGCATCTTGCATGCTAACCACACACTCTACCATTAGGCGGTACTCAAGTGCTTAAAATGTTTCTTTTGTGTCTTCCTTTTGGTCCCATATAAATACTTATGTATCAAAGTATGTTTTTAAATAGATGGAGATCTTAAATTGCTTTTTAAGCTGCTGTTTTCATTGAACTATATTCTGAATGTCATAAAATATTTTTGATGTCATATTTTTACTGGATTCTTGGCATACCATTATATAATTATAGTGAAACTTCTGTCATTTAAAACTGTTTTAAAAAGGGCAGTGCTGTGGATTAACTCCAGGGCCCTGTGCATGCATTGCAGGCATGCACTATAGTTATATCCTGGGACTCATTTCTCATTTTACAGGTTGTTTCCAATTCATTACAACTAATAAATGTCATACATGACCATAAATTGGTTTCTTAGGATAAATTCTAAAATTGGAAGGAAGTCAATGAAAATTCTTGTTGGCATTTTTTAAAATGTAGTGATATAGCTTTAAAATTAGCAATGTGCAGAAATTGGTCTTTTTGTTGTTGTTGTTTTGAGACAGCATTTCTCTAACAGCTCTAGCTGCCCTGGAACTCAATTGGTAGACCAGGCTGACCTTGAACTCAGAAATCTGTCTGTCTCTGCTTGCTGAGTGCTAGGATAAAGGCACGTGCCACCACTGCCTGGCAGAAATCAGTCTTAATCATGTTATCAAATATATCAACTTAAAGATAAGAAGCATTCACAAAGGAAGTGACTTTCTCATGTACGGATTCAAGTATCAACCAACAGTGGGGGTCATGGTGTGAAGAAATGAAGTTTCTGCTAGGTCTAGGCTATCCAAATCCATCGGTAATTTGTTTTTAATTTCAGTTTTACCTTCAAGTCTAAGTGCAAGGGTCCAGTTCCGCCTTATGGAGTTAAATAGAGCCGTCTGCCTGGAATGCCCCGAGTTTCAGACCCCGTGGTTTCACGATCGCTTTTGTCAAGGACACTTTAACAAAGGTTTGTTTTCTTTTGGAAAGAGAGTATAGTTAATTCCAGAACAGATTATTAGGTAATACATTGTTATCACCATTAAATCTAAATATGGTGAGAGTTTCCAGAAGGGCCTATGGTTTGTTAAATAGTTTTGTAAGTGGGTTTCGTTTTGCAGGAATTTCTTAACCAGGACACCGACCACCTGAGCAGGCACTTATCGTCTATGGCGTTTGGTGTTATCGCACATGGATCCCATTAGGCTCTTACCGTATCTATTTGCTTCTCGCGTGTGCCAGTGGTTGCACACCCAGGCGTGTGTGCAGGTCCGAGGACAGCTTTCTGAAGTCAGCGCTCTCCTTCCACCTTTATCTGGGCTCTGGGGCTCAAACTCAGCTCCTTAGGCTTGGGAAGTGAGTGAGCCCTCTCACAAAACTGCTGAGCCACCTGGCCAGCCCTGAGGCTCTGGGTAAGAATTTTTATGTTTCGATTTGTAGAATAAGGATGGCTTTTCATTTTCTTAATTTTTCTGAAGATGTTGGTGTTATGACTGGAGCACAACAGCAGATCTATAAGATGCTAGCAGAAATCCTCGGCGGACACAGATGTGTAAAGGCTTCAACTCTTTCGCCGTATTACCACACAGTGGGTAAGTGGCCGGACACCGCCAGCTCCTTTCGGACCACACTCACTTGGATCATCTTCTCCTGATTAGTTGGAACTTTAGAAAGGTTTCCAGCTGTTTGTAAAAATTTGTTTTTACTTTTACATGTGTAAGCATTTACCCACATTTGTGTAAGTGCACTAAGTGTAGCCTTAATACTTACATATACCAGAAGAGAGAGCCATACCTGTGAAACTGCACTTAGTGACAGTGATGAGTGCCGTGTTGGTGCTGAAACCCAGCCCGGGTCCTCTGCAGTGGCCTTCAGTGCTCTTCATCCCTGAGCCCTCTCTCAAACCCCAGGTTTATAATTTCTTTTCAAAATTTTTTTTTTGTTTTTAAAGATGTATTTATTTATTATGTATATAATGTTCTGTCTGCATGTTTACCTGTATGCCATTATAGATGGTTGTGAGCCACCATGTGGGTGCTGGGAATTAAACTCAGGACCTCTGGAAGAGCAACCAGTGTGCTCTTAACCTCTGAGCCATCTCTCCAGCCCCCTTCTTTTCAAATTTTTATTATGAAAATTTTCAAACAGACAAAAGTAGACAAAAAATATAATAATGAATTCTCAAGTTCATTCCCATAGTCCAACTTTGATAACCATCAATATTGTCATTTTCAGAAAAAAATTAAAGTTGATCTTCACCAGTGCTAAGTAAAATCCAGATTCAGGTTCACTAAACATTTCTGGATCTTCAAAACATTCTGGGTGGTGGTGGCACACATCTTTAATCTCAGTACTCAGGAGGCCAGCCTGGTCTACAAAGCAAGTTCTAGGACAGCCAGGGCTACACAGAGAAACTCTGTCTTGAAAAACAAAAAACAAAAACAAAACAAACAAAAAACCCACCAAAACCCCAACAAGATCCTATCCTCCCTGGACATGGTGGCACATGCCTATAATCCCAGCTTCTCGGGAGGTTTAGGTGGAGAGCAAGAACCTGTCTCAAAAACAAAGAAAGAAAGAAAACCAAAGCACACAGCAGGGCTTTGGAGAAAGTGTAGGCCTTTGCTGCTCCCTCCAGCTGCACCCCTGGTTTTCCTGTTTGGAAAGGTTGCTGCACTTTATAAGGTAATGAGGTCACTGCCTGCATAAAAACCATCACCTCCTAAAGGCTCTCCTCCTGATACCGTCATATTGATGATTAAGTCCCATTATGTAAATTTCAGGTGAGACCATCTGTCCTAATTTGCTTTCTATTGCTGTAAGGAAACACCATGATCAAAAGCAACATGGTGAGAAAAAGGTTGATTTCATCTTACAGCTTGTTGCCTGTCATCCAGGCAAGGCAGGGCAGAAACGTGGAGGCAGGAACTGAGGCAGAGTCTTCGGAGGGTGGTAGGAGGCTTTGAAACCCCAAAGTCTGTGCCCAGTGATGCACTCCATTCAGCAGGGCCACTCCTAAGCCTCCTCAACTAGTGCAGCTAGGGCCATGTGTTCAAATCCTGAGAATATGGGAACATTCATTCAACCACTAAATAGAATAAAGCTGGGTGCTGGTAGTCCAGTTATGGAAGAAGCTGAGGCAGGAGGATGACTTGAGCATTGGGATTCTTAACCAGCTAAGCAACATAGCAAGAGCCTATCTCAGAAATGCAAAGGGAGAATAACTAAATTTAGTATTATATAGCCTCCATGGTTGTTTCATATATATATATTTGATTTACTTGTTCAAATTTGGATACAAATATTGCATTAGGTAATTTGTCTTTTTTTCTTCTTCCATTTTTCTCCTACCTTCCCCCCTTATAATTTATTGGAGAACTTTCCATCATCTAGACTCCTCTGATCGAACCCCTTTGGCATCGTTTAATGTGCTCATGTTGCTCTCACCTTTCTGGTAAACCAGTTAGAGGTCGATGCTTACTTAATTGGACTCTAGCTTTAATTTGTCTCACAGATGGTTATTATTGCATCGCATCAAATCCCATCACTCATCAGTGGGTCTGTAACGCTCTTCAGGCTGACTCATCTGTGAGACAGTTCCCTTGTGAGCGTTTGCCCTGCTGACTTTAGTCGCCATTGCCTGTCGCTCCTTGCCTAAATCTAGCATCTGTTTTTTGGGTTTTTTGTTGTTGTTGTTTTTTTGGTTTTGTTCGAGACAGGGTTTCTCTGTAGCTTTGGAGCCTGTCCTGGAACTAGCTCTTGTAGACCAGGCTGGTCTCGAACTCACAGAGATCCGCCTGCCTCTGCCTCCCAAGTGCTGGGATTAAAGGCGTGTGCCACCACCGCCCGGCTAAATCTAGCATCTGTAAGGGAGGCCAGAATAGCAAGTTTCTGCACGCACTGTTCCTTCTACATTGATGGCTCCGATGTGTCTCTGAAAAGCATTTCTGTGTCAGCTTAGTTACTGTGCATGACGTTCATATAGGAAGGCTTGTCCTTGTTGTATAGATGTGTTGTCTTAGTACATCTTTTTTGAGACAGTCTGGCTATGTAGCTTGCTGACCCTAACTTGTCCTCCTTCTGCCTCAGTCTCCCAGTTACTGAGATTCCAGGCATGCATCACTATGCCTGGCTTAAAGCAAAACTCTCGCATATGATTTGACTTAGCTCAGTGCTAAGTGTAGCCAGCTATGTGCTGTACTTAATACTTGCTTGGTATTTATTGATTTTCAAAGAAAAGTATTAATTGGATGCTACCTTACAAAATGAGTTGGATAGTCAGAGAGTTCTTTTTGCTCTTTTAAATACATGTGTGAATATATATGTCTATGTAAATATGTTTAAAATATACTTAAACTTTTGACTGCTAAAATTTACCTAATTTATACTATTGATTCTTTTTATTTTTAAAATAAGATTTTGAATGCATTTTGGATAAACGAAAAAAACCTCTTCCTTATGGAAGCCACAGCCTAACTCCAGGGAAATCACCGGGAATATACTGGGAGTCGAATACTTCAAGAGTTGAGTCAAGGCTTCCACCAGAATCTGAGAGGTAATTTATATGTTAGTTTTAGGGTATTTTTTTGAATGGTTATATCCGGCATTATATCATAGCCTCCTGTATTAGGGGTTGGTTTTAGCACCTGCTACTTTCCTTCAGCTGTCCATGGCCAGCAGTCTGTGTAACCAAGTGGTGGCCTGGTTATCCTCAGTCAGGTGTGCATTGTTTTCTTCTTAGCACCCCATGCTTCTCCACTTGGGGGAGCACTTAGCCACCTCTTTCGCATTGCTGCTCTACTCACACATCCAGTTGGACCACAGCTATGCTGCTTGACTTTATGGGTAAATTCTTTATGGGAGTCTGTTGGACTTCCATAGGTGCCTGTTGGACAAAGAAACTCATGAGTTTTACGAGATGTTTTGTTTTATAGTTTCTTTAAATGAAAAGGTTTGACTTCAGTCACTAATTTCTTAAGTAGAAAAATAATTTGGAGCTGGGTGTGTTGTGTGCCTGTCGTCCCAGCACTTGGGTAGTAGAAGCAAGAGGTAGTTCAAGGCTAGCCTGTATTAGTCACTTTTCCGTTCCATGTGCAAGGCTCCTTAGACAAGGAAGAACTTATTTGGGGCTTATGGTTCCAGAGGGAGAAGAGTCTATCGCCATCGAGGCAGGAAAGCATGGCTGCAGGCGGGCATGGCCACTGGAGCAGCTAGCTCACATCCTGAACCACAGGCAGAGACAGAGGGAGCAAGTTGGGAATGGCGTGTGGCTCTTGAAACCTCAGAGTCCACCCCTAGTGACGTACGTTCTCCATCAAGGCCACACCTCCCCAAGCCTCTCTAAATGCAGCCATCAAAGGGGGACTAAATATTCAAGTTTGAGAGACTGGGGACAGTCATTCAAACCACCACAGTGGTGGTGATACTCTGTCTCAGAGAATGAGCAAGATAAAAAAAAACCCTTTTGATTATACTGAGGTATAGTCATTGAGCCTTTGTTAGTGTATATGAATGCATGCATTCTTTTTCCTGACAGGCTTGTGGTTTCTGGTTACTTAAATTCCCATTTTGAGTTTGGAAGTAAGCATTTTTATATTTTGTAGGATTGCTTTAGAATTTTTGGATGTAAGAGCCTTTTGTTCAAACATTCATCACTTAAAAGGAAAATCTGCTATGAAAAAACGACATCTGGAAATTTTGGGCTATCGTGTTATTCAGGTATGGAACAGTCATGTAATTCAGCCTCTAAACAGGCATGGTGGATTGGGTAGGGCCAGGCGTGTCTACAATCCCAGAGATGGGTGGTCGGCTGCAGGCTCCACCAGCCTAGCTGTGGCATCTATGGTGCCTGTTCTGTATCTAGGTGGTGTCGGCTTCGTGCCCACCTTTCTTCATTTTTTTAGCACAAAACAATCAACAGCTACAAATACTGGGTGATAGATCATGTATACACTCTTAGCTCATAACTTTAGAGACCAATAAAATAATTTCTGCATTTGATAACATTTTATAAATCTCTGAAGCTATCATTAGAAACCTTATATATGCCCTTATTAAAAGGAGTTGGCTCTGCCCATCATGGGAGAGCTCTCTTCCCCTACCCCATACTAAGGAGAGATGAGATGGTCCCACCCCTCACCACTGCCGTGGGAGAGCTGGCCCTAATGGCAATGACATGGATGTAGGGAAGCTGGCTCCACCCCTCGCCTAAGGTTGGTGGCTCCAGTGCCCCCAGCTGACCAGCTCAGCTACCACCCAGGACCTGGAGTACGTGAAGGGACTGGTCCTGCAAAATGATAGCCACAGAATCCGTGACTGGGGCGACAGCAGGATATCTGAGAGGAGTTTTGGTGAGGGTCCAGTGATGATGGCTTACCAGAGGCCAGAGGTCTTGGACCGGCCCAAGGGCTCATTGCCATGAACATTTGTGGGTAGGGCTGATTGAACAAAAGGGTCTACAGTGTGACACACCACAGCTCCCAGTGCCACTAGGACAAATGAAGAGGTGTTGGAGAGGCAGGAGAATTGGAGGAGTGAGGTAGTTTTTGTTCGTTTTGTTTTGTTTTGCTTTTTAATTAATGGGGGTGGTGGTGGTTCTTTTGTGGAGGATGCTGCAGATATGGATGGCCTGGGAGGTCAGCCGGTTTGGGTTCATGATGTGAAATTCCCAAAGAATCAATAAAGAAATAGATTATGAAAATAATTTCTGCATTTTACAACATTTTATAAATCTCTGAAGCTATCATTAGAAAGCTTATGTATCCCCTCACTAGACCAATAGGGAGATCTACCTAATGGTGGGGAAGTCTAATTAAAAACACTCGTAGTTGCTTTACACCTTGTATTCAAATGAACGGCTTACTTTGCAGGTCCCTTACGTTGACTGGAACTCTATGGCACTGTCCACACAGGATGCGAGGATGGACTACCTGAGACAACATATATTTGGAGCAGGCAAATCATGATTGAGTTTCCATTTAAAACAACCATGGCATACCACGTCTCTATTTCCTTTACTTAAGTGGTCTGACTCAATTAAACAATGCTAAGTGCAAGTAGTCTGAGTTGGGAGCACACCTGATGTGTTTGGGATTAACGAGCTCAGCTGTGGTTAGAGCAGATCAAGTGGGAAGTGGTTGGGAGTAAAAAGTCAGAAGAGACAGTCAGCAGCGTATGACTTCATGGCTCCCCCGGGTGAGACGAGAAGCCGGTGCAAAGCTTTAAGCAAGGAATGCTGATAATATACACAGTTCGTATTTTTAAAGTATCTTAAGTAGTCCTGGCTGGTCTTAACCTTGTGGCAGTCCTCCTGCCTCTGCTTCTTGAGTGCTGGGATTACAGGTATGTGCCGTCATGTCCAGCTAAGAACTCTTTTCATAAGTGAGTTAATCCCAATGCTCTGCAGGGAGAGGTAGGAAGTCTGCTGTGGGTTCGAGGCCAGCTTGTGGGACATAGTGAGTTTTAGGTCAGCCTAGGCCATAGTGTGAGACACTGTCTCACAACATCCACCCTAACCACCCCCCCAAATAAAAAAAATTCATAAAGCACAATTTTCAATGTTTCTATTTTTCCTTCATGCACGAATGTGTTTTATTTAGATCAAATCCAAGTCTACCTTTCCCTCCCCTCCCCAGCTCCTTCTGTGTCCCTCTCCCTGATCCCTGCTCTACCTCCATGTTTGTATGTGTAACCTAGTGAATTCATTTAGTGAGGTGCATGCACATGGGTGGAAGGTTGTCCTCCGTAGCCTGGCCTGGCCCTGACAAAAGAAGACTTGCTCCCCTGCAACTGCTATGTGTGAGCCCCCACTGTCCATGCTTGAATGTTGACCAGCTTGATCTCGTGCAGGTCTTGAGTAGGCAACTCTAGCTGCTGAGAGTTCATGGTTACAAGTGCCTGTTACTCCAGAAGACACTATTTGACTCTTAAAGTCTTCCTGCCCCTACATCCGGGACATTCTGAGTCTTAGGTGAGAGAGTGAGACACAAATCCATTCCTCTCACCAAGATGGGGGTCCATGGGAAGAGTTAGGTGAGAGTGGGCTGCTGTTGAGACAAATCCTACATCTGTTCAGACATGTTGAATTTACGGCCCTCTTCCAGCATCTAAGCGGAGGAGTCCGCTCAGGGAGTTTGGACATCACAGAGAGGTCTAGGCTCCAGAAAGAAGTCCTCACTGGTATTTAATACCACGTGGCTCCATGAAATCACTTTAAGATACTGTTGGAGAAGACTGGGAATGGAGGGGAGATGTGCTGACCAGAAAGAAGAGCCAGCTAAGGAGGCCCATGAGGACCATCATCCACAGGGATCCTGCAGCGCGATCTCAGCTGACAGAGCAGGAGGCTGACCCACCAGAACGAACGCGTGCTGATGGAGGCAAACCCAGTTTGCAGGGCGCTGGGTGGTAGCCTTTTGTATATCGGCTGTTCTTACAGTAGATCTCCACGGAGCCATCATCCCTCTCCCTTGGTGCAAGATCCAGCAGAGTATGGATCATTGCACCCAATGCTTTCCCATGTATTGGTATATTGGGTCATCTCCTGCCCCCCCCCCCACTCTGTGGGACCTCCAGTGTGAAATTTAGTCACTCAGTCAATAACCTTGGCTCCCACAGTCTAATCTCCGCTTCGTTCCCTGAGGTACATTAGAAGCCATCTCCCTGCAACTCTCTTCCATTTGGCAGGGCATGCAGTCAGGAAAGGAGTCTTCCATATAGATCATATTCAGGACCTTCACAGATAAAAGGATGTCTAAGCTCAGACAAACTGCCTTTGTTTTGCCTGTGTATATAAACTGGAAACTTTACAGAGCAGGAGGAGAACAGCAGGAGAAGAGTAAAGAAACTGATGCGGAAAAGTACTTAGTGGAGAGTTTCTTTTCACCCTGAGATCTAAGTCCTGTGCTTGCTGTGAGTCTTCTTCTGAACCCTGAGGAGTCGCTGAGGCTGGCACTCAGAGGTCCCTGGTATCCATCCATACACAGAAGTGTGGTCCTGGTGATGGCTAGTTCATGACTTACATGGTTGAATCTGATTATGGTAGACTGTGGAGTCTGTCTAGACACCAAGAAATACAGTGGGTGTAGAGCCTCCCAATCCTCCTCATGGAGTCTCTCTGTCTCCCAAGCTGGGCTCACACTTGTGTGTCCCAACAGTCAGCCTCTGAAGAAGCCAGGGTTTCAGATGTGTGCCACCAAACCTGGCTCAGTCATCTCTCTTGCTGTTGGAAATATGCCAAAGCAGCAGCCCTTTTATGGAATATAAAGCTATAAGTCAAACCAGTGACTGTCTACCATCCTTCACATTGTCTTCTGCCTCGGAAGTTTTAAAGATCACTCCCCGTTATAGCTGCTGTGGTAGATGTTGTAAAGGCTATGATTTATTGGGGTTTTTAACTTAAGCATTTTATATTTGGGGCTGGAGAGATGGGTCAGTTGGTAAGCATGCTCGCCTCAAAAGCTGAGAACCAGAGTTCAGATCCTAGAACCCACAGAAAAAAAGACTGGCATGTAGCATGAGTGCTCCTCCAGGAAGACAGGATTCAGGCAGGGGTGTACACAGGAGTTTACAGACCAGCTAACCTGCAGTCCACAGTGGAGAAGGGCAAGGAGACCGTGTCTCTGGAAGGTGGGAAGGGAAGACTGACACTTGAGCTTGCCCTCTGACCTCCACACATGCACGGTGGTACATGCAAGCATGCATACGTTGTATACAGATACACACAAAATACTACATTTTGATTTGGGAAGAACTAATATGCCAGTGTTACAGAAAGGAGAAAGGGACTGGAGAGATGGCTCAGCAGTTGAGAGCTCTTGCTGTTCTTCCAGAGGACCGGGAATTGGTTCCCAGCACCCACGTGGCAGCAAACAACCATCTCTAACTCCAGTCACCAGGGATCTGATGCCCTCTGGTCTCTGTGGGCACCTGACAGGCATGCAGTGGTGTACAGACATACACTCAGGTAAAATACCCATACACATAAAAATAAAAATTTAAAAGGGGCAGGGGGAGGCCATTTGGATTTGATTAGACACTTTGCCTTCAGATGAAACTCATTTATTATTTTTCTTAAACAGCATTTCCAGTCATCTTCGTTACAATGCACAAGATCCTTGTCATCGCTCACAATGTGAGGAAAGGGTTCTGTTACTCAAACATTTCTTTAGAATGTAGACATATGCATTTCATTGACAATAGAAAACAAGTGTAAATGTACCTTAATAATACAAAGGCTTAGTAAACAGCTCAGATTTAGAAAGCCCACATCTTTGAGTAAAGTTTAACAAAAGAACACTGTTCAGCTGAACACTAAAGCTCTTAGCAAACAATTCTATACTCGGCAGCATTGGAACAAGCAGTGACTCCGAGATCCGGCTACACTGTCAACCTCAGAGACTCTACATGAATCATTGTACAGGCTTAAAGAAAGACAGTAAATTATAGGCCTCTTGTCCCAACAAGCCACTTCTCAAACGGTTATTGTTGTCACCTTGTTTACAGTTTAGACAGTTTGAACAGATTTAAGCGTGTTGCTAGGCAACTAGCTCCCGAAGCATAACGTATTTCCTTCAACATCCCAGCCCATTCTTTTTTATCATCTTCATATCTGATGGAAGAAAAAAACAAAGAAACAATAAGCAGCCTTTAATGAGAGCAGTTTGTAAGTTTCTTTGTACTCAGTATAAAAATGGGGTCTCGGGGCGGGGAGGAACCCCACTGCCTCCTGCCAGACAAGGTGCCTCACCTGGTAACAGTTGAATCCCTTTCAATGTATGCACCTGTGAGTGAGAATATACCTGCACCATGGCCATTATATTGGAATCAAACCGCCCAGAAAAAGTCATGGACAGATGACCCACTGGACTATGGTCTCCAGATGGAACTTACGCGCCTGTGACCTCTGGGATATACCTTGTTTTCCATTAAATGTTTACTGGATCTGACACTGTGGTCAAAGTGTTCCCTGCCCTTTAGAAAGCATTCTTTGACTAAAATAGTTCGGTTGAGTAGCCACTGCATACTTAGGAGAATGGCCTAGCAGCTGTCTGGGTGGTAAAATGGATAGCTACTCTCACCTTTTTCTTTTTAAATAATCATTTGCTATCTGAATCATCAAACAATTGGAAGAATGAACAAATTAGATTTAATGAACTCATGAAAAACTGAATAGGCCAAACATTTCTTAAGTACTGTTTCCTTCCTTTTTTTTTTTTTTTTTTTTTTTTTTGGTTTTTTCGAGACAAGGTTTCTCTGTGGTTTTGGAGCCTGTCCTGGAACTAGCTCTGTAGACCAGGCTGGTCTCGAACTCACAGAGATCCGCCTGCCTCTGCCTCCCGAGTGCTGGGATTACAGGCGTGCGCCACCACTGCCCGGCTGTTTCCTTCCTTTTTAAAAATAATTTAAAAGTTATTATATTTTTAATGTACATTGGTGTTTTGCCTGCATGTGTGTCTGTGTGAGGGTATTAGATCCCCTGGCACTGGAGTTACAGACAGTTGTGAGTGCTGGGAATTGAACCCGGGTCCTCTGGAAGGGCAGCCAGTGCTCTTAACTGCTGAGCCATCTCTCCAGCCTCAAATGCTGTGTTTTCTTAGGAAATGAACTACTCTGAAGGAAAATAAGACATTCTGCCTTAATGAGTCACTCTTAAAGCTAGAATTGGGCAGAAAAACTCAGCTGTTCTAACTCATTTTAACAATTAAAGAAACCTGCCTAGGACTGGAGAGATGACTTAGCAGTTAAGAGTACTGGCTGTTCTTCCAGGGGACCCAGGTTTGATTCCCAGTACCCACATGGTGGTTCACAGTTGATAGTAACTCCAGCTCCAGGGGATCCAGGGCCCTCTTCTGACCTCCAGATACATCAGACATACACATATGCAAAACACCATACATAAAATAACATGTTTTAAAAAAAATTAAAATAACAACAACAAAACCAACCAAGAAGGTATTCTGGATGAGTTCTTAATCTCATAGCTAACCAATCACAAGTAGTACTTGATCAATAAGTGGCATATTCAAAAGTTCAGTTAGGCTTGAAGTGTATAGTTTACCACTGGGAAGGGGCATGATGGGAAAACCTGGCTTATTTACTGCAAACTTGCTTCCCAGTTAACTGGCTTATTACTTGGTTCAAAGCATTAGACTGAGGAAAACTTACTTCCATATGTCATTGACTTCAGTGGGTGCAAACTCTTTCGATTCCAGTTGGATCATTGCAAAACCGCCGATGGCGTACAGGGATCCGGCCAGGCTGACCAGACTGATGGAGCTTCTTTCTTGGGGAAATTCCGTCATCACTTCCCATCTAGGTGTTTCATTGAAAATGCAGTCAACACAAAATGCACAGAAACACACCATTTTGGTGTAATTTTGTTCATTTTAAAGGATATGTGTGTGTGTGTGTTCGTGCACACGTGCATGCATGTATACACACGTCCATATATAGGTCTAAAACTAAAACCGCAGAGGGTTTGTAGCTTTGTGTGCAGGTTTACACTTTTTTTTTTTTTTATTTTAGACAGGGTTTCACTATGTAGCTCTGGACTGGAATTCAAGAGATCTGATTGCCCTGCCTCCCAAGCACTGCCAATCAAAGGTGTGGCCCACAATGTCCAGTAGCGTTAAACTTTTTTTTTTTTGAGCATTTACCTCTATTCTCCAATCCTCAAGAACATCATTTTAAATTATCATTTAAATCTAGCTTTATGAAAATTCTTTGTGATTTGCAAATATCAAAATTATTTTGTAATCATATATATTTGGTTTCTCAAAAAAGTAGCAACATTGCTCTAAGTTTTTCAACACTATTGTAGGAATTTCAACATATGTACTCACCTAGTTTGTTTAAGCTCAAAAATTTAGAAAGATTACTTTTATATAAAAATAGCAGTCAAGTTAGTTGTTGGTGGTGTATGCCTTTAATCCTAGCACTCGGAAGGTAGAAGTAGGTGGATCTCTGTGAGTTTGAGGCCAGCCGGCCTACAGAGCAAGTTCCAGGACAGTTAGGGCTACACAGAGAAACCCTGTCTTAAAAATAAATAAATAAATTAATTAATTAAATTAAACTAAAAAACCCAAAAATCACTCAAGTATTTTTTCACATTAATTCAATAAAAACTTAAAAGTAAAATTAAGAAACTTATAAGGCACTCATAGTTTATGAGTGTTAGTTGTCAACAATAGAAAATATTTTAAATTTTTTGGTTTTAAGACAGGGTTTCTCTGTGTAATCCCTACTGTCCTGAACTCATTCTGTAGATCATGCAGGCCTCTATCTCAGAGATCTGCCTGCCTCTGCCTCCCAAGTGCTGGGGCTAAAGACTACCACCACCTAGCCAAAAATATCTTTTAATCTTTTTCTTATCTTTTTTGAAACAGGGTTTCTCTGTAGCGTTGGAGCCTGTCCTGAAACTCACTCTGTAGACCAGGCTGGCCTCAAAGTTACCAAGATCTGCCTGTCTCTGCCTCCTGAGTGCCGGGATTAAAGGCGTGCACCACCACTGCCCCACAATATCTTTTAATTTTTAAACTACGTGTTCCTCATTAATTAATTCTTTTAAGACATGTGTACCCATCTTTGTTCATACAACTTTTCAGAGATAAATAATGCCTTTGCAAAATGGCTGACTGTGTAAATTTAGCCCAGAGTCAGGCAAACAGTATATCAACATTAACTCATGACTCCTACATTTCAAGTGACAAACACACGGTGTGGGGAGTTAGAAATACTTTCTCTTAACCTAAGGTTCTTGGCTCCTCCACCCCCCATGCCTTAGAAGGCGTAACTGCCACCCAAATGCGACAACTAAATGGACAGGACTCGTTTGCACAGCAGAACAGCTCACTTATTGGTCTTGAGGTCGAAAGCTTCAACTGAAGCAGAGAGACCGTCCTCGGTGACACCCCCTGCGATTACAATTTTGCCTTTATGGATTGCCACTCCAAACATGGAACGAGGGGTCTTCATAGGAGCCAGATCTTTCCAGTCTCCCTTTTTGGGGTTGTAGATAAACATTCTGTTTGTACACTTCCTGTGAACAGAAAAAGACAACAAATGTTCCTTTTAGAATCTCTTTTTGGTGAAAGTACAAATCTACATTACTGTGGACGATTTTGCTAATGGATATACTTCAACACCATGCTAAAGAGTATGTTGAAGCTGGGTGGTGGTGGCGCACGCCTTTAATCCTTGCACACAGGAGGCAGAGGCAGGTGGATCTGTGAGTTCGAGGCCAGGCTGGTCTACAGAGCTAGTTCCAGGAGAGCCAGGACTACCCAGAGAAATCCTAGAAGGATACCTTGGATATTTTTTAGCAGTTGGGGCTGGAGAGATGGCTCAGCAGGTAAAGGCACCTGCCTCTTCAGCCTGATGACCTGAGTTCAGTCCCCAGATCCCACCTGGTGGAAGGAGAACCAGCTCATCAAAGTTGCCTTCTGACCTCCACAGGTGTGCTGTGGGAAGCGCACTCTCCACATTCTACAGATACAGGTAATGTTTTCTACTTATGCTTAACTGAATAAGAGAGCCTATTGGTCTCAATGTAGTACAATAGTTCTAAAGCAGCTAAATAAAGGACTGACTGTGTTCTCGGATAGCGGCTAAATAAAAGACTGACTGTGCTCATGGATGCTGCTTTTCTCCTGTCAGTATGCTTATAATTGAGGTATTGTGCCCATCTGGCAGCGTGCAACATTCCTATCTATTTGGTCTAGTGACTTTATAATGTCATTTTTGTTTTAAAAAAGAATTACATTTTCCTCTAATAATGTCAAAACTATATTTGCAATTTTTACCTGCAAAATATGATGTGAGAGCCAAGTCCCACTTCAGTATGTAGTCTCAAAACAAACACACACAAAGGCAGAAGCTCTTTCAGCACTCACTCCGACGTCAATCAGAAGGAAACCGTGGGCACTTACTTGTCGTCTGTCTTTCCGCCTAGACAGTAGATCATCCCGTTATGGGAAATCACATTATGGCCATAAACTTTAATAGGAAGATTTTTCACTTCACTCCATTTTGCAGCCCTAAAATCAGATGACAATACAATTCATGTTCCAGCTTGTGAAAATATGAGTTTGTTGTCGGCATGCTTAGGGAACAGGAACAGGCTAGGAGTATTACGTCAACTTACGCGGGATCATAGCATAAGACGGAGTCTAGCGAAGCTTCTGTTTGGAGGTCTTTGCCGGCAACCACGTAGATTTTGTCATCCACCTCTCCCAAACCAAAGAGACACCTGGCTGATGGTAGAGGAGGAAGTCCGACCCACTCAGATGTTATGCTGTCAAGCTGAAGAAAAGATGAGTTATGGAGATTGGTAACTAAAAAAAACACAATATTTCATGGAGTGTTGAAAATTTACAGAGACAGTCTAAGGTCTTGTAAAACTACAATCCCAAAGTATCATACTTTACCTTAGAATTACTAAAAAGAATGAGAAAATCTACTTGGCCTATGAAAAAATACTGCCCCTCCCCAATAAAAAAAACAAGACATCAAGAAAGGAAAGACGATACAACAGAATTGCTAGGTTAGCTAGAAATCTGAGTCTCTTGTTAAATTTTCTTCTGAAGTTGCCCTGTTCAGGTTTGAAAAAAGGAATCTCAAAACTTTGGGGAGACTGGGAAAGACGTGTCTGTGGCAGGGGTCACAGTATGCGGATGACCCCTGGATGCTATATTTAACACACTCCCACAGCCAGCACCCGCGACAGCTGGACTTGTCGCTCAGTCTGCAGACAACTGAGAATCTGGGCAGTATCTTTTCTGTCTTTTAAACATGGCTAGGTTCCCTGTTTTATTATTTTTGATACAGAAGAATACTCATTTCAATACCCCCACTTTGGGTGGAGACACCTTAAATAGCCTGTTTCTGGTTTGTGCTACGAAGTAACCTGGCTTGTCACCAGCCCTGCGATGGTCCCATTAGTGCCGCGTTCTGGTGATTCTGGCCTGGCTGGCTTTCGTTTTGGTATTTACTTTCCAAACTCCTGACATACTCCCTTTTGTGTTTTAGGGCAACACCACCAAGGAAACTCCTTCTGAGGGGTGCAGCTGCGATCTGTGTGGCACTTCCAAGTAGCAGAAGAGAAGGCCGTTAGGGCAACGCCACCAAGGAAACGCCTTCTGAGGGGTGCAGCTGCGATCTGTGTGGCACTTCCAGGTAGCAGAAGAGAAGGCCGTCATATTCATTGCAGACTTCATGTAGGCAGGAATGGGGAAGACTGTGGTAGCGATGGCAGCGACGTGGCACCTGTGGAAGCCTCTTTGTTTCTGGTCTAGTAGTGCCAGTCAAACAGCGTACTGAGAGCAAATGGCATGCCGTAACGTGGGTTTAATCCCCGTGTGCCCCGTGCTGGCTCCGCAGTCACTCACTGCAGCATCTAGATTGTGATTATATGATGTTTAACTTCTTGGGGGGGGGAAAAAAAACCTCTGGTCAAGAAGGTATCATGGGGCTCAGAGTACATCACTCAGCGGGGTGGAGAATCCATGTGCAAAAGCCTGAGTTTGATTGCTAGCCCAGCTGCGGATGGGGTGGGGCAAGTACTATGGCACAGAGTGGAAATCACAGCAAGTGTTTATGGGAGTCTGCCTGTGAGAGTTCTGTACACAGTGCTCAGACAGAAAATCTCATTTGGTCTTCCAGGATGGGCGTTTTCTCGTCTGTATTACAGGTGAGAGGAAACGGCCACAGAGAGATTAAATCACTTGCCTAACTTCACGCGGCTTTTTTTTAATACCATGTTGTCTAAATATATAGTTGTTTTGTTGTCTGTTTGAGACTGGGTGTCATTATTCAGCTTGGGTACTATTTTTTTTTTTTTAATGGATCAACAGCTATCACAGTTCCAAACCCAAGGGCCCAGTTCCCATAGGGACTCTGCAGTACCCACCGTCGTCTCTTCTCCTGGGAACACTTTCTCTAGCAGATGATCGGCAGGTTGCCAGCCCCTTCCGTGGATGAGCTCCCAAGATCTTTAACCCTTCCGCATCCCACTTTCCTCATTGTTAAAATTAGAGTTTATACCTAGACTATCTCAAAGCTTAGTGCAGTCTAGGACTATGTGAATCTGTTAATCCTATGGAGGGGGAAACAAACCTTAGTAAGTACCCAAATTCCAGTCTATTTGCAGCATATACCAAATAGCAATTCACTCTGAACTTAATACACCTCACACGGGCAGCCAAGCAGAAAAACACGAAACCTGAGATTCTCATACAAGGCTCTTGCATATGGCTTTAATTCAAGCATCTTGTTCCAGGTTTGTGGCTTTTAGAAGTGACAAGGGGGTCACCCTTCCAACTCTGTACAACTGTTTCAGTGGCTTGTGCTGAAATGGGTAACCTCACTTGAAATCAGAAGCACAATAAAGGTAAAAGGAAGTAATAGGATGGAGAAAATAAAGGTTAAAATGAGTACTCGAAAATCAGGAGAGTGTGGGCTCTGGGCATATTTTCAAAAGGTGTGTGTGTGTGTGTGTGTGTGTGTGTGTGTGTGCGCGCAAACTCTAACAATGAGCTAGGTCCTCAGCCTTATAATCAATATAGAATATGAAGTGGAACAAAGCCTGCAGGAGTGTTGGAGGATTATTCTCTGCTGTAATTGTCCCTTGAATCTATATATAGATTTATCTATATATAATTATATACCGGTCTGTCTGCCTACCGATCCATTCAAATACGTTTGCTGGTGTCTTTTGCTGGAACTTAGACAATTAAGAAACATGATTAATATACATTATTACTCCATTTTGTTGAGATTAGATGAGTTGGCAAAAGGCAGGGATTTGTGAAAACGTGGTATGGCTTGTACTTTGAGAGCACTCGGTGACTGTGGTTTGATATTCCACACTTGCTTATCTCTGGCCTTTCCACCCTAGGCCACGATTAGCTATGACCTAAACAGATTCTTACTGCGCTAACCACAAGCTATGAAGTATTGATACTGGCAATACTGGAGGTGCACATGAAGTCACTGAGTGAGTCAGAAGCTGCTAGGGACAGCCTACTGTTGTTATAAAACAAATTGTCCCCAAATAAACTAGAGAGGGTCGGTTAGATGAGGAAGATTTGCTTTCCTGGAAGTTTTATGGTTACACTAAACAGATGATTAAGTTATAATAATACCTACCTCTAATTCTGATCAAATAAAGGTAATATTGTGAACAATACCTTCTAAATGCAGTTCAGATAGAGATACGTGTGGAGGCAGGTTATTTTCCCTCATACAGCTCAAAGTGTACAGAATATGTACGAGTCCTTTTTCATTAAAATATTTTATACAGTAACAATAAGTAAGATATAAATGTTGCTTCCCCAAACATCCTGTTAAAGGGGAAAAGTACAAAAACAGACCAATTCTCACTTCTTGCAGCGTGTCAGGCACGTTGGTAAAGGCGAATAACTTTGTTTGGAAAAGATCCTAACCTATTTACTAGGCAATCGTGTTAAATATGATAAATTTAGTCTTTACTAAAATACGGAGCTTTGAAGAATTACAATTATCAGCGGTTGTACAACATTTGGAATCAAAGAATGGAAAGAAAATCCTGAGTCGTGAGTTACACGTAAGGACTTCCTTTCCTGTACCTTTTACTAAATATTAAGTCAAATTGAGTATTTCTGCCAGAACTCTGTAAGTATCAAAGTGTATGAGGGCACAGGAGGAGAGCGATTTGAGCAATATGTAAGCAGCCCCTAAATTCACCAACTGGCTAATACATGGTGAATAACAGCCTTGGTTTCCGTACCTGGAAGAAGTACGACTGTAGGGGCTGATCCTTATTTTCTTCATCCACGTACAGCCCTCCGACCACGTAGATCTGATTCTGTTGGGTAACGATACTGGAATGGTTTCTGGGGATCTGCTCTGCTAAGGCGGTAAGGTAACACTCGTTTTCCATGGGGTCGTAAGCTACCGCAGCTGTGTCATTGACCAAGAGGATGAGATCTTTAACGAACATTCCATGTCTGGGAATATCATTGAGGTAACCAGGAAGTAAGTCTTCATCCCCGACATCACCGTTCACCTCGCCGCCCCCTGCCTTCTCTGCGTTTTTGCTAGGTTCCGGGAGTTTGCCTGCAAAAGCATCTTTTAGAACTTTGATTTTCTTCTGGATTTCGGGGTTGCTTTTAATTATGTCATCTTTCTCGACGTGATCTTTGAAGTATTTTTCTGCCATGAGGCGGAAACGAATACAATCAAACACTTCACTAAGGCTTTTCGCCCTGTTTTCTTTGTCTGTCCGCACCCATTTCATCACAGCCTCAAACACCACTTCCTCCTTTTCTATGTTGAGACCATCATTTGAAATGACCGAGATCAGCTCCTGCGGAGACAGCTGCATGAAGTCTTCTTCCTTACAAATCTGCGCAAAGCGATCTGAGACAAAGTCCCGGGCAGAAATGGCGAGTCTTGGGCAGTCAAGGAGAAGACCCAATCTTAGGATGGCCAGACAGTTACCAGGAGCCAGTCGTTTCTGAAGGTAAGACACACAGACGGTGAAGACTGAGGGGATCTGGAAGCGGCTGGACAGGGCGAAGATGTCTTGCACGTTTGCGTCATTGAGATCGATACTGGCAGAGTACAGGTATTTGATGATCAAATCAAGGATAGCAGGATCCACGTTATCTAGCGTGACCTCCTTTTTTTTCTCCTCCTCAATTTCAGATAAGAAATACTCACGGAAGTAAGGACTGCAAGCAGACAATATCAGTCTGTGGCAAGGAAGACTTCTGTCGCCTGCTTTGAGGGTGCAATCGATGAATTTTTTCTCTTCCAGGAGATCTTTTAGACCATCCTGAAGAAGGGTGGACTGGTAAAGCCGGAGTTCCTCTGCAAGCTCCCGCTGGGAATCCATTCTGTGAGGAACCTGGGTAAGGAAGGGGACACTGAGGGTCTTCGCTCCTTGCTGCACACGGGTCTAGCTGTAAAAAGGCGGATCAGTCTGCTCCGCGCAGCCTGGAGCCTTTGCAATTTAATCCCACCGGCTAAATATAGACACCAGCTCTAACGACTAGAATTTAAGAGAGCTGGCTTGGAACGGAGAGTTGTTCAGCTGTCTGAGATTGAAAGTAACAACTGGAACTTCTGGTCACCAAGGAAACCGCTAAGAAACAAGACATTCAGGTGAGGTGGAAAACTTTGAAATGTAGAAAGCCTTGGAACGTTAAGTTAAAGGGCATCCACAAGAAAATGCTTACTGAACTAACAGAAAAATGGATCATAAAAGTGAGTCACGCCTCTAAAAATGGCCTAGTGGCAAGCCACTTGGCTTGAATTAGTGATGCCAAGGTCAAGACTATGAGGTGAGTTCATTTCAATTCTCTTAAGCTATGAGTCCAGTGGTTTACAATGTTAAAGCGCAAACTGGTCGTTTCTACGCAAAGCAGATAGGATTTTCTTTTTCAAGTAGGAAGCGGAAAGTTGTTTTTGTACTTAATAGTTTTATATAACCTTTTAAATGGCACCTCCATCATGACTGAAATAACAAATGCAGAGAAACTTAATTTACTAAAATATTCTAAATTATCTTTATTTTTTAGGTAGGTAAACTGTAATTACTGCTGAATTACCAAATTCATTCACACACTGTCTTGCCATACAGGGGATATAGAGTGACAAACAATAATACAAAAAAATAAGATAAAGACAGGTTTAAAAGGAATCAAGACCAGAGAAAAATAGTTAAGCCTTTGGGAAAGAAAAGACCCACACACTTAAGAATATTTTGTAACTTTTAAGTGCTAAAAAGAACCTTGCATGAAATAAAAAGTTAAAAAAAATAGAACAGCTGCAATCCTATGAGAAAAATGCTGTCTCTAGAGACACAAAGTCACCGTGAGCTACTGCACCATCCATGTCACTTAGAAAGCAGGCCTTGTTTAGGAAAACACGATACCGGAGTCACACTTTATGGTGCTGATGAGAGTGGAACACCATACAGAACCGAGATGTGATTTAAAGAGCCCAGCCAGGCCTAGTGGCACAAACCTGTAATCCCAGCATCTGTGAGGTGGAGGTAGGAAAATTATCAACTACAGCCTGGGCTGTATAAGACCCTGTCACTTCTCCCACGTGTTCCTTCATTTCTATCGAGATGATATTATAAATTTCTTCATGAAGTCCTTTACTATACAATCATGATCACGTCCTAAACTCAGTAAAGCCACAGAGAAGCTAAAGTTTCAATGGCTGGGGTTCTTACATGTGCCCCCCCTGTAAGCTCAGTGAAGACTTGGCTTTTGTGCTGCAGGCCTGTGTGTTCAGTCTATACAGTGCCTAGGCCTCACGGATGGTCCTTGAGTATCTGCTAAAGGAGCAAACACTCCAACATCAGGGAATTGGCGGTCCTGCCAGCTGCTAGGATGACAGCTGAACGGGAGCTCAATGGTTCTCTTTCCATTTATAGATGTCATTAAAGCTTTTAACGCGCTGGACAAAGCTAACAGCTGCTCCTCTTCTTTAAACAAGAAATGATTCATTTCTCTCCACGCGTAACACCTAACATTTGAAAAGATTAGTGAGTCAGGTATAAGCACCAGGGTATGACGTCTGAGGTGATTCCTTGCTTGGGGACCATTTTTAGTCCCGTTTGCTTGAACAGCAGTGAACAATGTTTATGGAAGCGTTTTATTTGTGATCTCTAAATACTGGATACTATGACTCCATTTGGTCTTTTAAGTATGTAAAATCATTTTCCATTTAGAAGAACAAACACATATGTAGCATCTTTTTCACCAATTTTTAATGAATCAGGGAAGCACTAGGTTGTAATGTATGTTTGTCTATGATTATACATATATATTATTGCATCTTATTTAAAACTATTTATGTGCTCATTTCTTTCTCAGTAGTGAGAAAGCTGCTATTGGCTAAGTACAATTATTTGTTAAAAGATCCCATAAATTTTCTTTAGACTGACACTGTATCCAAAACAACTGAATGATGTCAGTGAGATCCAAAAAACGTCATCTGAGAAATGTTCAAAGGCGTCTCATTGAATACAAACAAGGAGATGGTCAATGAATGAACAAAACAATTTATGAACGAACAATTTCCTTACAAACCAAATAACTTCTTGTTGAAACCATCATACCATTATTTACAGATTAGCATTCTTTAGAAATATACACAATAGTTAAAAAGATTAGTTTTTACAAAAATGAGCCCCTAAAAATGATGTGTTTAAGAACTGTGACTTGGGAGGCTTCAGGCAGATCTTTTTGAGTTCTGGAACAGCCAGAGCTGCATAGTAAGGCCCTGTCTCAAAAACAAACAAACCAACAGAATTGTATTTGTATTAGAGTTTTACATTTAGAGTCCTGTGGTAATAAACACGATTTCTAGTCAAGAAGTATTTGATTATTTCTTAAGAATGATCTTTTTTTTTTAAAATAATACCGTCAAAACATTAAGTGGTACTAAATAAAAAACTTTATTAAGTCCAACATGATATAGTCACTTAATATCTGTAAATTGCTATTTTACAAGCATTAGGTACAATATAAACATTTACAATCCAGGTACATTTCAATTACAATTTTGAATATATCTTTTAGAAAACTGGTAGTTTTCTAAAATCCAGGAGTTTTTCCTTAATTATTAAAAACTTTTCATAAAATATAAAATATAAAAGCTATAAATATAAAAACTATTCCATGCCTAGAGCAGGAAAGTGGTATCTTTTAATCTTGAGACACATTTAAATAGAAACCCAGTTCAACTCAAGCTCAACTCATTACTTCCCAAAGTCCCTGCAGTGTGAATCCATCCTTCAGTTTCTCTATTGCAAGCCCCAGTTCTTCTGAAAATACAGGTTCACGGTCTTGTTGCTTTGGGGAAGGTAAGAAGATGAGGTGGGAATGGAAGGCGGGCAAAGAAGAGGAAAAATAAAAAGTGTTTCACTAAGTTAGTGAATGCTAAATGCTGTAATATTGAAACTCAAAAAATAAATAAATAAAACAACAAGAAACTAAAGGTAAAATGTCCTTACCTTATTTCCATCAGCAAAATAAGCCTATAAGAGAAAATAATATTTTGCTTGCTTCATACAAAATAAATCAGGGGTCTAAAGAACAGGCAGTTAATTTTCAGAAAGATTTTTTTTTTTTTTTTGGTTTTTCGAGACAGGGTTTCTCTGTGGCTTTGGAGCCTGTCCTGGAACTAGCTCTGTAGACCAGGCTGGTCTCGAACTCACAGAGATCCGCCTGCCTCTGCCTCCCGAGTGCTGGGATTAAAGGCGTGCGCCACCACCGCCCGGCTTTCAGAAAGATTTAATGACTAAGTATATTTCACATTTGGTTACTGTGCAGTTGATAACTTCTTCACCTATAATGTTGCCTCTTATTTCTTGTGGTGGTACAGGCCCTTAATCCCAGCACCGGAGGAGACAGAGACCAGTTAGAACTTCCCAAGTGTGACCAGACTGGTCTACACAGTGAGTTCCCCAGCAAGGGCTACACTGTGAGACCTCATCTTAAAAACAAAACAACAAACATTTTACAATTTCCTATGCCAGTATTAATGTCTGTAAGAGTTGCACTCTGTTCTAGCAGATAGGCTTTCTGTTGATGTACAGCACTGTTAGCCAGAAAGGAAACGATGACTTCTCTACTTCTGCTTCAGAAGATGATGGCAGAGGGACTATAGAGATGGCTCAGCCGTTAAGGGTACTGGCTGCTCTTCCAGAGGTCCTAAGTTCAATTCCCAGCAACCACATGGTGGTTCACAACCATCTATAATGGGATCTGGTGCCCTCTTCTAACAGAACATTGTATTCTTAATAAATAAATAAAATCTTTTTTTAAAAAACAGCAATGCACATAAAAACAAACAAACAAACAAACATAACCCAAAAGCAATTCCCAGCACCCACATGGCAGTTGTAATCCATCCCCCAAGAGATCTGATACTTCATACAGACAAACGTGCAGACCAAACACCAATAAATACATCATTAAAAAAGGCTCAGAGCTGGGCATGGTGGTGTATGCCTTAATCCCAGCACTCTGGAGACAGAGGAAAGGGGGTGGATCTGAGTTCAAGGTTAGCCTGGTCTACAAAGTCAGTTTCAGGACAGGACAGCCAGGGCTACACAGAGAAACCTTGTCTCAGAAACTAAAAAACACACAAAAATAGCAACAAAATCAATCAACCAAGCAAAAAAGGATGGTGGCTGCAATACCAGCACATGAATTTGGAGGCAGGGGCAAGAGTTCTTCAAGGCCAGGGGCTGGGAAAATGGCTCAGCAGAGAAGAGCATGTAGTTTAATCCCCAAATCATATCAGCCAGCTCACAACCACCACTAACTCCAGTTCCAGTAGATCTGAGGCCTCTGCCTCCAAGAGCCCCTACACTTATGTGCACACACTCATACACAAACATGATTCAATGTAAAACAAACCACAACAAAACAAACTAACCCCGAAACAAATCAAAATACCACTTCAAAGTGTCAGTATACAGTTTGAGGGTGGATTGTGCCAACTTCACATCTTTATTTGAATCTCTTTGTTGCTGGAGGGAAGGTACGTGCTGTGGTCAGAATCATAAGCCTGTAGGCATGGAAACACTAGAGAGCATCCACCTGCCTCCACCTCCTGAGTTCTGGGATTGAAGGCTTGTATTAACACACCCAGCCCAACATTATTAGTATGTTGGCTAGTTAAATAGTACATATTTGGAAACAGGAAAGTATTTTTTTTTCAAATACGTATCATTCTAAAATAGTGTAAATTTAAAAAATCATTTTATAAAGATGAATTCTGTAAAGACTTTAAATTAATTATCATAAATCAAATCCTCTAACTGTTCTCAAACTATTTCCTAGGTTGCTTGGGAATTTGTTTTGTTTTTAGGGTTTTTTTTTTTGCTTGTTTGTTTGTTTGTTTTGTTTTTTCAAGACAGGGTTTCTCTCTGTTGTGCTGGCTGGTCTTGAACTCACAGAGATCCGCCATCTCTGCCTCCTCCCTAAGTTGGGAATTTAAAAGTCTTCTCACAAAAGAAATTCTCTCACTTAAAAAAACAAAAGTCTCATGTTTTACAACACTGTACACAGTTACACCATTATTCATTAGACATGACTCATCATGAGTCTAAACATCACAAGAAATCTACTAGTTCTTTCTGGTGCTCACCACAAAAGCATCCGTGTGATCATCAGAGTCTATTTCCACATCATCTGGAATCTGTTCAACTGTCAGAGCTTCAAGTGGCTGTGGCTAAAAATTAAGATGTCAGAGTCAATATGAAAGAAGTTCTTTTAGAAAAATGCAGTGTGAGAGCTGCAGATACTTGTAAAGGTGACAGTGAAGACCACTCAAGTCAGTCCATAGTTCGTATTCTTACATGAAAACTAAGGTGAGTTGTAAAAGTTAAGCAAAAAGGTTTTTTTTAATTTATTTATTTATTATGTATACAACATTCCTTCCATGTATGCTTGCATGCCAGAAGAGGGCACCATATCTCATTATAGATGGCTGTGAGCCACCATGTAGTTGCTGGGAATTGAACTCAGGACCTCTGGAAGTTCAGTCAGTGTTCTTAACCACTGAGCCATCTCTCCAGCCCTAAGCAAAAAGTTTTAAACCTGAATTCAACATCATCAAAATAATTAAAACTAGCCGGGCGATGGTGGCGCACGCCTTTAATCCCAGCACTCAGGAAGCAGAGGCGGGCGGATCTCTGTGAGTTTGAGACCAGCCTGGTCTACAAGAGCTAGTTCCAGGACAGGCTCCAAAACCACAGAGAAACCCTGTCTCGAAAAACCAAAAAAAAAAAAAAATAATTAAAACTAGAAATGTGTACATATATTGTACATAAATGTGTACATATTTAGAGATTTTTTTTTCTCTTTGAGACAGGGTTTCCTTAGTGTAACAGCCCTGGTTGTCCTAGAACCCACTTTATAGACCAAGTTGGCCTCAAACTCACAGAGATCCTCTTGCCTCTGCCTCCCAAGTGCTGGGATTAAAGGTTGTGCCTGAACAGGCTGCTCACCTAGGCTGGGCAAGAGGAATGAATGATGGCAATCAACCGGAAGACAGTAAAGTCACCAGTTAGAGATGGCCAGTCTGAGGCCATGCTCACTTGACCATGGTCTACATAGATGGTTAAGTTGGTACACAGTGAGTTTAGTTTTGAATTTCATAGGTAGTATGAAATCAATTCAGCAAACTCTATATCCACAATATTGAACACATTACCTTTTCTTCCATTTCATAATTCACTCCAAATATCGGGCTGGCAGAATAGACTTTGTGAAGTGAGTTGATCTCCTTAACTGATTCATGTAGTTTTTCCAGAGGGTCTATTTTAAAGCCAAGAACATATCCTCCACTCTATGAGAAAAAACAAGGAAAAAACTAAAACCAAGTCTGAGGAGCAATAGCTACAGAATGCAATGGATGCAGGCTAACTGTCCTTGCTCTGGAGCAGCACAGCCAAGCGGCTCCAAAGAAATTAAACTCTGTGTTCTGAAAATGGCAAACACAAGAGAACAGCAAGTCTCCAGGGTGTCGTGGAAGGGCTCATCTTCCGACTTCTCTCCCTAACGCCTGCCTCCCTCATATTCTGTAGTATGTCCAGATCATCTTTAAACACAAGCCCATCTTCCCAGGTGAAAAATATGCACAGTGGAGTGTGAGGGCCAAAGGAACTTAGTTTTGCTAGGTCTTGAGAAAGAACAGACTATCCATTAAAAAAATGCTCCATTTGAAGCTATTTCCTTAAAGGGTTTGCAAACCACCTTGACTGTGATTGACCACAGGTTGGTAGATAGTTTTTTTTTTTAAAGTATCATACTATAAGAGATAAGAACATATTTTGTGTTAAAAGCACATACTTTTTTGGGGGTTCAATTCTGGTTCAACAACTAATATTGGACAGTATTCTTTCCTTCCTTTTTCTAAGCCCCATTTTAAAAAAAACCCATGGAATGGTTATCAAGTGGTTGTATTACACAGAATAAAGAATATCCTGTTGGTACACTTCCTGGGATATCGTACTTAGTAATGGCAGTAAGAGGCCATGGAAAAGAGAGAATAGACATTCACTTTTAAATCTAGAATTGATTTTATAACTTTGCCCCTGTGTTGAAAAGGAAGAACAGTTGTTGGGTATACCGTGAGGAAGCAGAGGGCTGGGCAGTAACTACAACAGTCCTCTAATAGCTTACTTAAACAATGGATTTGGGGGCGTGGTTGCACATGCCCTGTTATCTCAGACTCAGGAGGCAGAGGCAGGAGAATCACAAGCTCAAGATCAGCCTCATCTACACAGAGTTCAAGACCATAAGTAAAGTATTTTAAAAGTTTCAAATGTGCTTTTGCAAAAACACCACATAATGGGTAGACAGCAGTTCATAGTCAGATACTGTTCAGTCTGTGAGAATATAAAATCTCAGAGTATATATGCTTCTCTCCATGTCCCTGTTTCTCAAAGCAAGTGTGGATCAAACAAACCCAGGATGAAAATATAGCTCCATCCCTACCAGCTTCAAGATTCTGGAGAAGATGCTTAACCCCTGCGGGCTTCAGGATCCTGGACGGTAAGAAGGGAAAACAGCCATTTCATGGAGTTATTAGATTGAGAGAATGTATGAAATATGTTGACCTAGCACAGTGATTTCCCTCATAATTTCATCAATGTAATGATTATAATGATTATATCCATCTAAAGAGCAAACTGGCAGAGAGTAAAATGGTGCCCACACCTACAATCCTAGCACTTAGGAGGCTGAGGCTGAGGTCCCTGAGGTTGTGGTCGCAAACACACAGGAAGTAATTGTCTCAATGGAGACAATTACTATAAGATTTCAAACACTTCATAGATCTCCATGTTATAGCTGATATTCTTGCAAGTAAACTGGTTACTATAGAATAACAACTAAAAACCTAGCCACACAGTTAAAAATGTATCAGTGTAATAAAAATGTAAAATATCTTACCTGCTGAGAGCTTTCTATGACAAGAGCCAAACCAAATTTTGAATCTCTAATCTTTATTGAACGCTATATGAAATGAAAAAGAAAAGACACATTTTTATTATCTAGTAGCAGTGAGTCTTTAATTACACATCTATTTTAATTATGTATTGTGCCTATAGCACTGGCTTCTGAAAAGGGTCTCATACCTCAGGCTGGCCTGGAACTCTGGGAAATCCTCTACCTTAACTTACCTTAGTGTGAGCTAGCACATCTACTTTTGCCAAAGAATTACTCTTCCTCGTCTAAAAGGCAGACACCCTCTACCCTCTTTCCACAGGGTCAGAAAACGACGAGACTCCTACTGAAGACAGATGGCCAGTCGACAAAACCATGTAAGAAGACAACCATGGAAAGCCACCCGATTTCAATATTCCTGATTGCTATAGTCAAAGGGTTGTTTTACACAAAAGGCCAGCAATTTTCAGTTATTAGGAGCCAGTGACTTTCTCGGCTCCTAAAACAAGATTAAAGTTATATGTACCATTCTGTTTCTCACACCTTGCTCTGGTTAGTTTTTTTTTTTTTTTTTCAAGACAGGGTTTTTCTGTAGCATTGGGGCCTGTCCTGGAACTAATTTTGTAGACCAGGCTGACCTCAAACTCACAGAGATCCACCTGTCTCTGCCTGCCTCCTAAGTGCTGGAATTAAAGGCATGTGCCACCACCACCTGGCTCTGGTTAGTTTTTTGTCAAACCAACAAAAGTTTGGGTCATCTGGTAAGAGACCACCTGAACTGAGAGATCAGGCTGGCCTGCTGGCAAGCCTGTATGGCATTCCCATAATTCATGATTGATATGAGAGGGCCCTGCTCATTGTGGATGGTGCTACCAGGGTAGGCAGTACTGGAGTCTACAAGAAACTAGGCTGAGCAAGCTATAGGGTTTTAGCCAGTAAGCTGCATTCCCCATGGTCTTTGTATCAGTTCCTGCCTCCAGGTTCCTGTCTTGTTTGAGTTCCTGCCCTCACTTCCTTCAGGGATGGACTGTGCTATAGAACCATAAGCTAAAACAAACCCCTTACTCCCAAAGTTGATTTTGGTCAGGGTGTTTTAACAGCAACAGAATTCCTAACTCAGAATTTGTGCCAGCCCATGGGGTACTGCTGTGATAGATCTGACCATGTGTCTTTGGGAGGACTGTGGCGGCATTTGGACTTTGGGCTAGAAAAGCCACTAAGTGCTTAAAGCATAACGGACTGTTTTCTTCTCTGGGAGCAAGTGAAGTGATATGGACACAAACCCTTTGCTCCCCAAGTTGCTTTTGGTCATGATGTTTCATCACAGCGACAGAAAACTAAGACGAACGTTAATCTTGACCTGTCTATCTAAACAGGTGACACAGGCTGGTCAGACAGGGTGCGCGCACATGCACAGACACAATCACACACACAGACACACACACGCACACAGTGCTGGGGCTGTGGAGCCGTGGCTGAGGCTGGAGCTGAAGCTGGGGTATGACTCCTAAGTGACAAGCTGTGATGTATTGTATTGCAAGCTGTTTGGGTCAGGCGGAATTCATTCCAAAAGTTGCATTTGGCAACTCTATTCTTAAACAACAACAACAAAATTCCATCTGAAGACCAGACAGCGCAAGGCTGTTCACTACTCAGTAAATATTCAGCACAACAGGGGTCAGGCTAGGTAAGCCGCAGCCACATAATGGAGCACAGAGCAGCAGCAAACAATGCATGGGGGCATAACTCTGTAACCCCAACACTTGGGTAGGCACTTGGGTGGGTGTAGCACGAGGATTGCTGTGAATTTGAGGCCCTTCCTGGATGGCATGGTGAGTTCCATCAGTCAGGACTATAGAATCTCTGCCTCAAAAAACATTCCAAACTAAACAAAACCAAGCAATAAACACAGATATCAATTTATCAAGCACACGTGTGTTGACACTCAGCCTTGACAACTGACCATTTCTGTCTGGAGACGTAGCTCAGTGGTAGACTACTTGTCTACTTTGTACAAGGCCCTGGGTTTGATCTCCAATACCACAAACAAAACAGATGATCGTGTTTCTTTAGATTTCCTTCCTATCAAACTCTGACTATCCATTTAATGTGCTGCTTCCTCTGCTCCTCAACAGCAGGGCTGTGCGCTGGCTCACGGTCTTGACTGTTGATCACGGAGCACAAAGTGATACTGTTTTAATGAGGGTTTCTGCTGTGATAAACACCATGACCAAAAGCAACCTTGGGAGGAAAGGGGTTATTTCAGTTCCTGCATCCTAATCGTACTCCATCACGAGGGGAAGTCAGGGCAGGAGCTGGAGGCAGGGCTGAAGCACAGGCCAAGGAGGACTGTTGCTTAGTGGCTAACTCCTTTTTTCCTAATCTTTATTTACGTGTATGATCATCTATCTGTGTGTATGCCATGTATGTGCCTTTGGAGGGTGTCGGATCCCCTGGAGCTGGAGTAACAGGCGACTGTGAGCTAACTGCTATTAGGACTAGGAACTGAACTGGGTCCTCAGAGAGAGCAGCAAGCACTCTTAACCACTGAGTCGTCGCTCCCGCCTCTTGGAAAGCCGCTTGCTGTGGAATAATCAATCCTTCTGTACCCTGTGAAATGTGTTGCTCTCATTGTTAATTAAAAAACTGACTGCCTGACAGCTAGGCAGGATTTGGGGGGCAAAGAGAACGCTGGGAAGAAGAAGGGCAGAGTCTGAGGAGTTTCGAGCTAGATGCAGAGGGAACAGGATGTGTAGAAAATGAGATGATGGGTTACTTTAAGTTTGTAAGAGCTGGCTGGAGACAAACCTAAGCTATCAGCTGAGTGTTTATAATTTATAAGTCTCTGAGTGGTTATCTGGAACTGGTGGGACAGAAAAGTCTGCCTACAGTTGTTTTTTTTTCTTTCAGCGTTGGGGATTGAACCCAGGGTTTTGAACACACTAGCGAGGCACTATCAGGGAGTTACACCCCCAGTCCTTCAGTCCTTTTTCCTTCCTTTTCCGTTTTTGAAACTTGGTCTCACTATGTCACCTTGGTTGGTCTGGAACTTGCTAGGTATACTAGGCCTGAACTTGGGGAAATCCTTCTACCTTTGTTGCTCTAGTATTGGAACTAAAAGTATCTACTCTGCCTGATTTATAAATACCTTAAGCCTTTTCTGTTAAAATAACAAAATCAACATTTTGAAAACTTGCTTTTATTTACTTATTTTTAACTATACTTTAAAATTATATTTATTTACTTTTTATTTATCTGGGGAGGGACACGTGTATATGCCAAAGTGTGTATGAGTAAGGAGGTCAGAGAACAACCCGTAGAGTTGGCTGTCCTTCCGCCATGTGGATCATCGGGACTGAATTCAGGTTTGCTGGCAAGCACCTTAACCTGTGCTGTCTTACTGGCCCCAAAAGCATGCTAAAAAGAAAAAAAACCTAGAACTCATATAACCCCAAACATCCAGTTATTAACTATACTAATACTCTAAATTGAAAGGCGGTAACCAAAATGCATGAACTTACAATTTGCAGATATGGTATGCTGACATTAAAACTGTCGTTCAAGTTTGCATGCCACACAATCCTCACATTGGTAATAAAAAACGTTCCTAAATTTCCCTGCAGAAGAGAGAGAGGTACATCAATGATTGATTGTATTCCCAGTCTGTTTTCTAAGACCCAGAATAATTCTGATTATCCCAGCAGTAGATTAATAAAGAAGTTAGTATTATGGACTATATATTCTATACTATATACTATATAGTGACTCTGCTATTTCCAGGCTGGCACAGTTAGATGTGAGTGCCTGGACCCTGGTATCATTAAGCAATAGGACACCAATACAGTTAAAACATGAGAGTTATTATATCTGTCTGAGAACAAAGTTCTTTTTAAATTTTTAAAAATTTATTGTGTGTGTGCGTATGTGTGGAGTTCACAGGACAACTCTCTGGAGTGAGGTTTTTCTGCCCCCTTATGGGATCCGGGAATCAAACTCAGGCTATCAAGGCTGTACGCTTGATAGCCTGAACCATTTCAATGACCAAAAAAAAAAAATTCTATTTGGTATATTTTGTCAACTGTAGATTGGGAATTTGAATAAATAACCCATGTTTTTGCTGTTTTGTTTTTGTTTTTGTTTTTTAACACACCTTAGCCAGATGATAATCCCAGCACTCAGGAGGCAGTGGTAGGCATCTATCTTTGGGAGTCTGAGGCTAGCCTGGTCTACAGAGTAAGTTCCAGGACAGCCAGGGCTACACAGAGAAACTCTGTCTTGAAAAATATCAGTTAAACAAGTAAACAAAAAGGTAACCCCCCCACAAAAAGGGCTTTAATATAGTACCTGACACACAGCATTTTTTAAAAATTACATCTTTCTATACTTACTCAAATTTGAGCTATGCCTGAGCAAAGGAGTTATGTCAACTGAGAATAAAACTACGGTATAACCCCCATCGACCTATCAGGATATATGATGACTCTTTAATACGGACTATATCAAAACTACAGCCAGATGTGGTAATTCACCCCATAATCTCAGGACTCGGGAGGCTAAGGAAGGAAGACCATGAGTACAGGGCCAATGTGGGCTACACAGTGAGACTTTGTCTCCAAAAACAAAACTTGGGGCTAGAGAGATGGCTTAGTAGTTAAGAGCACTAGTTGCTCTTTCAGTGGACTCAGGTTCAATCTCCAGTATCCACAAGGCAGCTCAAACCATCTGTAATACAGTTCCAAGGCAGCCAATGACCTCTATCTTCCAGCCTCTATAGGCACAAGGCACGCATATGGTCCACAGGTATACACAGGCAAGATACCTATACACATAAAATAAACCACCACCACCAACAGAAACAATGAAATATATTTTTTTAATTATATGTTTATATTGAGGCAGGGTCTCACTTTGTAGCTCTGGCTGGTCTGGAATTCACTATGTAGACAAGGCTGGTTTTAAATCGATGGAGAACTAACTGCCTGCCTCTGCCTCTTAAGTGTTGGAAGTAGGCTGTGGCACCAACCTATATAATTGTATTCATGTGCGTGCGCGCGTGCATGTGCTTGGATATGCACATGTGAGCGTTAGTGTCCATGGGGGCCAGAGGCACTGATCTCCCTGGAGCTAGTGGCTATGAGGTAGTGGGTCTGAAGCCCAGTACTCAGCTGAAGAAGCCGAGTTCTAGGGCAGGTTGGATTATATAATAAGGCCCTGTCTCAAAGCTAAGCACAAACACAGGATATAAGGTCTCTGTGGAGCCAGGTGGTGATGTGGCGCACACCTTTATTCTCAGCACTCAGGAGGCCGAGACAGGTGGATCTCTGTGAGTTCAAGGCCAGCCTGGTCTACAGAGCTAGTTCCAGGACAGGCTACAAAGCTACACAGAGAAACCCTGTCTCGAAAAAAACCAATAAATAAGTAAATAAACAAACAAATAAATAAGGTCTTGGTGGAACTGGGTGTATGCTTATAAACCCTGAGACCCAGAGAACAGAACTAGGCGGGTTCTCCATAAATTCTTGGCCAGTCTGCTTTACATGGTGAGTGCCAGGGGTACTTCTGTCTGTCCACACCAGGGCTCGCCTCTGCCAGTGTGTCATAGTGATGAACTGGTGCGTGGGCAAGTGTGACTCCGTGTTTCTCACCCATGGAGCGAGCAGCCTGAACAAGATCATGTCTGAGGCCCGCTGCCCTTGTTGGTTCTCTACAGAACAGAAGCCGATGTAAAGGGCACAAGACCATGAAAGTTAGAATATCACTTAAAGCTATAGTTTATCCACATCTCTAATGCTAACTTTAACAATCACACCCACCCAATCATGAGTGGGAAGTGGCTGCTGAGACAGCCCCAGAAGTCATCTCTTTACGCAGTACCTGGTCGCTGGATAAATTCCAAACGCCGTTGATCTTATCGTACACGTGCTCTTGTGGTAACAACCTCAGCTGCTTGTTTTGAATGACTGCACTTCTCAGTTTAAAGTCACGGTACATTTTAGATGTCTCATATGCTCTACAGAAAAGGTGAAAGCAAAGACCCGTGACTCCAAGCAGAAACTGCGGAGCTGTGAGGATACGTTTACTCGTCTACTAGAGACATCGCGGTTAACGCTTGAAGATTTCACTCAGTCATTATGCTGAATTCAAACCGTCTCCAGCTGGCTGTTGTAGCACATGCCTGTTAGCTCATTACCTGGGAGGCTGAGGCAGGAGAACTGTTTGTTGACAGTTTGAGGGCATCCTGGACAACCTACTGAGTTCTAGTCCAGCCTGGGCTATAGAGACCATTTCAAACAAAACAAAACCCCATAGAACAAAACAATAGTTTCCCTTTCAGTGAGGATGAGTAGTTCTAGCTTCCCATCTGGTGGCAGGATGCTGACACATTTACTGCAGTGCCCAGTCCTTCATTTCCCAGGGTTAGTCAAAGTTATCAGTACTCTATGGACACAGGCAAAGGTCCAGTTAGTATTTTCACTATGGCCTGAAAATATTATGCTTGTATCTATCCATGCATAGAAAACTCTATGTCGATGCTAAAGAGTATCTAGGGTGGAGAGGTAGAGGGAGAAAAAAAACCACAAAATCTGATTTCCCTTTAGTTAGGATTCTGTCCCGTTGTTAAGCAGTAGAGTTTGAGCATCCTGTCTATAAATCTTAATTTCCTCTAGTTCATTATCATCAAGATATAACCAGTTGAAGAATGGAACTGCTTACACTATTCATTTAGAAAGCAACAAAGTGTTTTTATTTTTCACATTTATGTGTGTGTGTGTGTGTGTGTGTGTGTGTGTGCGCGCGCGCGCGTGCACACCACAGTACATGTGTAGAGACCAGAAACAACTTGTGGCAGTTGGTTTTCTCTTGCCATGTCGGTTCTGGACACAGAACTTGGGTCATCAGGCTTGGCAGGAAGCACGTTTACCTGCTGAGCCATCTTGCGGACCCAGAACACAATATTTTTATATTATTAATAGAAAGCAGCTCCTATGCTCCCTTCATAAACCACTTCAAGCTTTTCATTTTATCGTATTCTTAAAAATTAAATGTCGGCTTTGAACTTACTATGTATTCTAGTCTTGATCACAGTACTTATTAAGACAAACAAAGAGCTATGATTTAAGTGTTTGAGTATAAAAATTGAAAACTATATGTTGTTGCTATAGTGCTTGACCTTGACTATGCTAGGCAGGAGCTCAGCCATCGAGCTGTCCCTCACATATCCCAAGACAAACACTGGTACATAGATGGTCAGAGAAGCATGACTAATAATCCGAAGAATTATAAAGAAAAATTGCTTAGGGAAAACACCTGAATGTCTATTTGTATTTCTGAAAATCTTTTAAACTCATTACATAAAATTTTTTATCTTGGTCAATAATTTAGTAAAAGCTTTCCAATAGTCTTCCATTTTACAAAGAGTAGCAATACATAGTCCAGTATGGCCCAGACCCCCAATCCTCCTGCTTTACCCTCTGGAGTGCTGGGATTACAAGTGTGCACAACTACCCCTGGGACCTTGCACACTTTATTCTTTCAAGGTGCTCGATATATGATAATGAGGTGTATTATTCTAAATACCTGGGATATAGGATAACGAAGTGTACTATTCTAAATACCTGGGATATATGATAACGAAGTGTATTATTCTAAATACCTGAGATATAAGATAATGAAGTGTATTATTCTAAATACCTGGGATATTTGCAACTAGAAGATATTGTTGTACATCTAAATTTCATCCTTTATACCATTACATCAAAATAATTTGACATATTCAAAAATCTGTGAGGGGCTTCTGTACCTGTGCACAGCGATCACAGAAGTAAAAAGTCTAGGGCTTCCAGGAACCAGATTTGTGAAAATAAACTCAAATCTGGTGGCGTTACATTTTGTCAGCATATAAAGAGCTTCAGTTTGGCCTCGTAGTTTCTGTAAGGACAAATTTATTATAAAGTTCAGAGTTAAAGTGCAAGTTTCCATTTAAGGTGGAAGCAAGCCTTAACTTTAAATATCTAATGTTTTCCACCACACATCTACTTCACTAGGACTTTTCAGACTTACGGAGTTAGTAGTTCTTGTTGTAATATTCAATATGCAGTTGTAACCAATAGCTACAATTGAAAAAAAGACAAAGAATATAAGGAGTATGAAATCATAAATGGACAAACATAATACAGTAAAAAAATTTAAACCTAAAACTTTAAAGCTTTGAAAATTAAACATGAGCAAAAGTACAACTTTTAAAGTTTTTATGAGAGAAGTTCAAATTGAGGTTAGGGATGTAGCTCAGTGGACAGAGAGCTCTTGGCAAAAATGAAGCTTACCACTGAGCTTTGTCCTCGGCACTTTGGATTTTTGTGTTTTTGTCTGTTTTAAATACAAAATCCACCATCCAACACTCCTGAAAAAGTAATTTGTTTTCCTTTAACATCTTATTTAATAAGAATACTTACAAAGATTGACTCTGGGTAATGCCAAGGAATGCCAGATGATTCTTAAGTTTGTTACTAAGAGTCTACCTAAAGGCAAAGCAAGAAAGAATAGATTAGCTGAAGGTCCTTTTCAAAGCACAGAGTGAGATGGGAATGGGAACTGTGGCTCAACAGCCTGTGTGTGGGTCGATGTCCAATACTTATTTTAGCTGCATCCTGTGATCCAGATGCTCAAACTGAGCATGGTGCTGCTGCATGCTGTGACCCAAGTGCTCAGGGACTGAAGTTGAAGGTCAATACTAGCTGCCTACCAAGTCTGAGGTCAGTCTGGTTTAGATGATTTAAAAAAAATAAATATAGGTTGGGCAAGGTAGCACCTGCTGCCATGACTTGCCTGTTACGATGAACTCTAACCTGGAACTGAGAGATAGAATAAACCCTTCCCTAAGTTCCTTTTGTCCTGTGCATTGGCACAGAAACGAGAAATGTGATACACAAGTGCTATATGAGCGGCTCTTAGCGTTCTCATTTTGTGTGCCTGTGTTTTTGTGTTTGTGGATGCACACATTTGCAGAGATCATGGGGGAGCATCAGGTGGCCTCCTCTACCATTCTCCCAGCCCCACTGATGCTCCTATGCCAGCCTGACCCAGTGCATAAGAAGCATTCTTAAGTGCTGTGCCATTGCTCCACCCCAACAGCGCTCATTCAAATGAACCATGCACTTATATAGCCAATCCAGCTAGTGGTACAGGCAAGAAAGGTTGACTGCAGACAAAGTACAAGTTCTTTGGTGCTAGACCAAGAAGTTCAGAGTTAATCCTACTAGTAATAAAACTGAGTTGGGGGGGCTGGAAAGATGGCTCAGCGGTTAAGAGCACTGGCTGTTCTTCCAGAGGACCCGGGTTCAATTCCCAGCACCCACATGACAGCTAACAACTGTCTGTAACTCCAGTTTCTGGGGATCTGATACCTTCACACCAACCCACATAAAATAAAGTTAAACAAATTATTAAAATGAATAAATAAAACATTTTAAATTACATTTATTATTTTAAAAAACTGAGTTGGAGTTTAGGCTTAAAATAAATTTTAAGAAGAGTTGGCGTAGTGGCGCATGCCTCTATTTAATCCAGCACTGAGGAGGCTGAGACCAAGACAGGTAGATCTTTATGAGTTCCAGGCCACCACCAGACATGGCTACATAGTGAGACACTGTCTCAAAGGGAGAGAGAAGGCCTGGCAGGGTGCGGCACACCTTTAATACTAGTACTTAATACTTTAGTACTTGATACTCTAGTACTTTATACTTAATACTTCAGTACTTGAGAAGCAGGTATATCCCTGAGTTTGAGGTTAGCCTGGCCTACAACAAGAGTCCCAGGACAGCCAGGGCTATAGAGAGAGACCTTTCTCAGAAGAATCAAAAACAAGAAAGGAAGAAAGGAAGGAAAGAAGGAAGGAAGGAAGGAAGGAAAAAAGGAAGGAAAAAAGGAAGGGAAAAAGAAAAGAGAGGATGTTGTGGTTGAAATAGGTATGGACCTCTTAGATTCATGTGTTTGAATGCTTAGCCTATAGAACAGTAACAAGCTTTTAGGTCCAGTTGGTTGCACACTGACCACTGGCTGTTTTGTTTTTAGCTTCAGGCAGTTTGATTTGGGAAGGATGTTAGAGTCCAGCCACAGCTGTTTCTCAGTGGCCCTAAGCGGGGGAAATTCCCACAGGACTTTCTGCTACTTGACAGACAGACTTCTCAGTGTAGCACTAACGTTCTCTTTGTACATGTCAACTTCTTCAATCTGAGGGGGCTGTGCAGTACTTCAGGATTAAGGTGAAGTGTGGCTAGAGATACTATAGCCAAGAATATTTAATGGTCATCACTCTGCATTCTTTTAGTGGGAGGTAGATCCAAGGGCAGGAACTAACTAGTCTATGGTGCTTACAAACAAGGTTCTTGGAGCTTTAACCATTATACTAACAAATCTCATGTCATTAATGACAGGCTAATGCTGAGGGAGAAGCGGTGTTTCCTATCTGTAGGATTAATACCTACCTTTTCCTCTGCTGGAGAAAATCTGTGGACTTCACTGTTTTCTTCTCACAATTACATTTACATATGATGCTTTTCCCCCAGCTAATGTGAATCAACACATATAAATTAAACTACAAATAAATAAAACTCAAATCTACTCACCTCTATCCCCATTATTTCCTTTTGTGTCTTCAATCGAATCTAAACAGTCAATAAGGACTTCTCCGGGTCTTGTTTTCATCTGTCTAAAATAAACATAAAACGGTGCCGGTTAGAACTTCACCTCTGTTACCAATCTACTCAGGGAAGAGAGATGTAGGGCAGACAATAGTGTAATAAATACAACACTGAGTGCTCATGCAGTTGAAAATAACTTCCAGACCCTGGGGTATTGGGGGCCTTTGGGGTCCAGCCCCAGGGTCCTCTTCAGGGTCCATATGAGATGCTACAGGAAATGAAAGAAACTTTCTGTATCTGAAGGTGAATGAATTCTCTCATACTGTGCTGTTCCAAACAATCTCTTTATTCTTCTGCTTCTATTCTAATTCTCATGTCCTAATTCTAATTCATCCTAGAGTCTTCTCCTCTATCCTAGGAACTAACTCTCTCACTTGGACCTTGAAGCAATGAGAAAAATTACAAGAGTTACCTCTCATTGGTCAAAAGCACATTTGTAGGGTAAACGATAAGGAGCCAAGCCATTTACCATGGCAACACAAGGCTCCAAGGTTTCCTTACTCCAAGGAGTAAGACTGTGACCAGACCAGGGGTGGGGCACAATGCCCAGTGACAAACTTTGAGACGTAGGTCTATTGTCGGCAGTCTTGGAAAGTGAAGAACTGGCATGCTTTCCTTAGGGTGATTTGTGGAGCAACCTTGTGAGACACCTGTGACTCTGACCTTGTGCACAGCTGTAAAGTTTTAAACTTATGATCTGTTTACAAAGAGCCTTTAGTCTAGTTTGAATTTGTGCTGAGATAAAAATGTGCTAATTGTGTGCAGTTAGTCTGAGCCAAAGGAACAAAGCAGGCATCTAAGTGTCTACAGTCCTCCTGGGACAATGGATCTAGTTATAAAGCATGCCCTAGTATATTTTCTTTTTTTTCTTTTTTTGGTTTTATGAGACAGGGTTTCTCTGTAGCTTTGGAGCCTGTCCTAGAACTAACTCTTGTAGACCAGGCTGGCCTCGAACTCACAGAGATCCGCCTGCGTCTCCTAGTATATTTTCTATATATCAAAATTATACAGCTAAATGAAAAGTCACCTTCCTGACCACTCACAGATATATGTGTGCCCAGTCGATGTAATGTTTTCACAAGATAAATACACAAGCAGTGGGAAAACACCGAAAGCTGTTCTTAGGGAAGAAATGAAGTGGCGCAAGAGAGGAATTACAGATACAGGCAACGGCTTTCAGAGTCAGTGGTTCTGTAAGCCTTGCTAGACAGGGTTATCTCCATCAGCGTCTGCTGGGTGGACACCTGAATGCCAACTGCCATATGCTGTATACCTCCACGGCCTCTGACACCGGGAGTCAGTGAGACCTCAACTGACCAGGGCCACTTGGGAGTCAGCTAGGTGCAGAACTGGAGTCCTGGATAACTAAAAGGAAAAGAGCAAAGAGAACATGACTGAAAACAGGAACAAGAAAGGTAAGAGAGGTGGCCGGGGCCGGGCGGTGGTGGTGCACACCTTTAATCCCAGCACTCGGGAGGCAGAGGCAGGCAGATCTCTGTGAGTTTGAGGCCAGCCTGGCCTACAGCGTGATTTCCAGGACAGCCAGGACTGTTACACAGAGAAATCCTGTCTTGAAAAACAAAAAAGAGAGAGAGAGAGACAGAGAGAGACGGGGGGGGGGGGGGGGGGGGCAGGCAACAAAGAGAACTGAGTTGTTACAGAAGTATAGTTGGGTGACTGAGGAGACAAGCTATTGAAGAATTGGGGACTCCATGACGATAGGGTGATGTCTGTGGACAACAGACAACTCCCAAGAGGCTTCTAGGTAGAGGAAGGACAGCAGGCAGTTATGGAAGGAACGATTTTAAAAGGAGTTGTATGGGAAGCACCCTCAGGGGCAAGGGATATGGCTCAGCAGGTAAAGGTGGCTGCCACCAAGACCGATGACCTGAGTTTGGTCCCTGGGACCCTAACGAAGGAGAGAACTGACTTCTGCAAGTTAACTTCTGACCAACACGCCTGCACGGAGCACACAGAAAGGACTCCTATTGAGCTGTCTCCATGGTTCCTTTTGCTCAGTTGTCTTTACACTGCAGCTCATCTTCTGCATCCAGAAGGAGGAAGGGTATGTGATTAGTACTCTCTCTTATTTTTTTTGTCTCTATCACTAAGTGATAAGCATGTGATAACTGTCTGGTAACTGAAAATGTTTATGAAAAATGGAGTTTTGTTTGGATTAAGAGACACACCCCCACCCACTCCCATGAAAGGTGTGTAACCAGTTACTGTGGGTTGTAATTTTACAAATATCCCTTCCCTTGACTTCATAAGGGAACTAATACCATGTTAGGCATCCAATTGCCACAAAAACTGAGAAATACATCAGTATTTCATTTTTCCATTCAAGGAGGTACTGTTCATAATAAAGCACCATTAGGAAGTTGCTGAGGCGCCACATATCTATTGATCCGAGAACGTCAGCTTTCGTGCTTTCCAACTTTTATTATCTCAGCGCCCCCCATCCCCTCCCCCGACATCTGGGCAGGAAGGTTTTTAACCATCTTTAAAGCATACTCCCCACGAACAGGGCTTCTGTTTAACAGGCACGAAAAGATTTAGATGAAAGCTCGGCCTGGACACGAGGTTTGTGTGGTCGGAAGTTTTGGTGACTCCCACCGCCCTCATTTCATAGTCACACCAGGCCTTCAGAGGCAAGGCTATTCCAGATTTGGTCCTAGAACCCCGCTTTCGGGAATCCCTGCCCTACATCCCCTCCACCGCCGGACGCGGAGGGTCACTGCCTTGATGGCTCCCACTCGGGATGGGCAGCGGGCCAAGGCAAGGCCGAGGGCGGCAGGGGACCGCAACGGCGAGGTCCCAGCAGGGTTCCAGGGCGTCGCGGACACTCACTGCGAGGACACGTCGAAGCGCACGTCGCGGTCCTCCCACAACACGTCCAGCACAGACATGGCGACCGAGGTTCCCCGCCGACGCTGTCCACTGCGGAGGTTCTGCGGCGTCTTGCGGGTTCCAGGGCAACCCGCTGACCTCATCACCGCCTCTACGGCGGGCGCCGAGGCCCAAGCTTCCACCAGGTAGGGCACGCTTTTCCTCCTACAGTTTTGCGTCACTGGATCAGTTTGAGGCGGGAGTCTGAGAGGGTGCTTGACTTCTGAATCATCTCTCTGGTCTCCTTGCATATTTTTAGCCATTTCAACCTTTCCGCTATTTTTCTACACCATCCAGAAATCTTCATCAAATTACGTTCCTGGTTTGGTGGGACTCTCACCCTGCCCACCCCGCAGACCCTGGAGGTCCTGACTCTCTTTGGCCACACATTCCTGCCCGAGACTCAGAACTGCTGAGGTCCTACTCTGGTCTCGATCACTGCTTTCCCAGATGTGTGCAACCCCAGCCCTTAAGTCTTATTTTACAAGTCAGCTCTGGGGTCCCTCTATTGTGAGCAAACAAAAGACGAGCTCTTTAAACAACTCGCTGTACAGAGCGAGCACGGTATAAACATTTTTATTTACCTTTTTTTTTTTTTTTTTTTTTCCCTAAAGAGACAAGGTTTCCCTTTGTGGCCCTCCATGCTGGCCTGGAAATAGGACAACTAGCTTCCCTAGTTGGGAATTACGAACATGCATCTTGCCCGGTTTAGAAATACTTTTTAAAAAAGGAATCAAAGCGCTTTCTTTCAGCACGTGACAATTCTTAGTAAACAAACAACATATTAAATAAATTACATATTCACAGAGAGTGGTCTAGGGTTTCCTGGTGTACTCGAGATTTTTCATGGCCACAGTTGCTTTTTAAATTCTGGTGGGGTCATGGATACACACTGTGTGTAATTGTGGATGGACACAGATAGAAGACTCCAGTTGCTGTTTGCTTTCTCCCAGACAACGTTTCACGGTGTATGCCTCATTGATTGTCCTGGAACTTACTATGGCGATCAGAGTGGCTGCGAACTCACATCAACCCTCCTACTTTAACTTCAGAATGATGTTATTAGACATGGGGACCATTCTACCTGTTGTTTAACGGGCTAGGGCGTTTTGACTTTAGGATTTATTATCATTCAAATCCTATTAGCATCGTTCATGTCTCTGCCTCAGCCTCCTGAATACTGGGATTATGGTGTGAACCGCTATGCTCACCTTTTCAAAGTTAAAAGAGAGAGAGAGGGGGTGGGAGGATCTTGCTTTGCAGTCCAGGCAGTCTTTGTGGTCCTCATGGTTCTGACTTCAGCATCCTGGAGTTACAGCCTTGTGCTATCGTTGGCTGCAGCAGCATGTCACTAAGCGAGACTTGAAACAGTTTTGTAAGAGGGGCTGGTTACATGGCTCAGGGTTAAGAGCATCAGCGGCTCTTCCAGAGACACAGGGTTTGGTTCCCAGCACCCATGTGGTAGCTCACAACTGCCTGGAACTCCAGTTCCAAGGGATCTGACATCCTCTTATGAACACCACAGGCACCAGGCACACCCTTGGTACACAGACATCCATGCAAGCAAAACATTCATACTCATAAAATAAAATAAACACAAAATTTAAAGTTTTGCAAGAATGTAGATCAATGTTAGTCTCATAAATTTTGGAGAGTATAGTTATTTAAAAAGTTATGTATATTGCTGGGAGTGGTGGTGCACACCTTTAATACCAACATTTGGGAGATAGGCAGATCTTTGTGAATTCACAAAGATAACCTGGTCTGCATAGTGAGTTCTAGGCCAGTACTAGTTAGTAGTAAAACTATCTCAAAAGTATTTTTTTGCTCTGTTCAATAATGTGAGTCAATATTGATTGAAATATTTTTTTCTAGTTTTATCGAAGTATAGATGGCATATAAGAAATTGAAGATAATTAGTGCATATAATTTGGTGAGTTGGAACATATGTACACCTGTGTGTTATCATCACCACAATCAAGATAATAAACAAATCCATTATCTCCAAATGTTTCTCTGTTTCTCTCTGTGGGTTTCGTCTGTTTGACGGTAGGAACACTGAGTATGAACTGTACTCAACAACAATAAGCTTTTGTCTTGTTGGCATTGAGCCCAGGGCTTTAGACCTGCTAGGCCATTGTTCTACCACTGTGTCATGCTCCTGATCCATGCCTTCAACAATGTTTGAGGTGCACAATGTCCTTTCGGTGGTGTGTTGCCTAGCAGCTCTCTGGAACACACTTAAACTGTTAGATGTCTTTGATGTGCGTCTTAACTACGCTATCTTCATTAGCATCTATGTGCAAACAACTAATAAATACACATCACGGATACCCGAATAACGCCTTAGTGACAGAGCATTTCTATAGCATCATACTGGTACGCGCGTGCACACAGTGGTACCTGTTTCACAGGATTAAGAAACGCTGACTTCTTGTTGGTTTGTTTACTTGAAACTCACAGAGATCCACCTGCCCTGGCCTCCTGGGATTAAAGGTGAGTCCCACCACACCTAGCAAATGAGGACTTCTTATTTCACTAAAAAAGGGAATGTGCTGGAGCTGGAGAGATGGTTCAGCGATTAAGAGCTCTGGCTGCTCTTCCAGAAGACACGAGTTCAGTTCCTGGCACCCACATGGTGCCTCACAACCACTTCTAGGAGATCTGACACCCTCTTCTGGTCTCCAAGAGCACCTGGCACACAAGTGGTGCATAGAGACACATCCAGTGTCTCTCTCATACACGATAAATAACAATAAAAAATTTAAAGCTAAATAAATAAATGCTGAATTAAACAGATGAATTCTCTGTCTCTGACTAAGGTCATTGGCAATTGCATTTGCTATACGTTGTTCAGAGGTGGGTGAGATCATGTTTATGAGCATGCCTTTGCCTGGGTGGACTGAGCTGATGCTAAGGGTGGGTGGTGGCTGTAGAGGTAGTGCCCAGGTTCGCTGGGGACGGTGAAGGATAAGGTAGACACTAAAGGCTGTGGACTCCTCCCCTCACACTGTCCTCTCGTGACGTCTGACGGTGGCTGTATGGGCTCTGCTCTGCTGGGAACTGGTTGTGAGAGAGGAATCAAGCCTCTGCTCTACCTAATGGCAGAAGCTCTGTGGACTTCCAGTTTATTCCAGCCAGAAACAACCGATGAGTCTAATTCTATTTCTCATACTTCAAGTCTCCTCCCTAGCTTGCTTGCTTGTCTGCTTGCCTGCTTTTTATTTATTGATGAACCAAGTTCTTGCTTTGTGAGGTTGGCACAGAACTCATTAGGTAGTCCAGATGGTCAAACTTCTCATCTGCCCCAGGCTCCCAAACTTCTGGAATTACCTGCGTGTACATCACGCTTAGCTTCTACCTTAGTCATTCATTCATTCATTCATTCATTCAGAGACAGGTCTCTCCTTGCATCCTTGGCTGGCCTGGAGCTTACTGTGTAGTCCAGGCTGGCGTAGAATTCATAGAGATCTACCTGCCTCTGCCCTCCAAGTGCTGAGATTAAAGCTGCGTGCTATCTCCTTTCCTCTGCCTTTAAAACGCAGACTTCCCTGTGTTTATCTTTATCCTTGTCCTTGTTGAGCCAGATTATCCCAGAATTCCAGCTTGACGTCTCCCTTTTCATCAATAGCCACACACTGAACCCAGCCAAGCCTCTGCTTTTCGCTCTTCTCTTTCTGGATACAAAGCTTCTCATCTAAACCTATCAAATTCCCAAGTTACTTATATTCCTAAATTCATACTTATAATGTTATGCCAACTGCCATTTAGAAAACAGGCAGGCCATTCTATGTTCACCTTCATGACAAAGTGATGGGCATTTCTGGGGCAACCACCCAGCCAAAACTTAGAACAGTCATTGATTGGGGTACCATTGTGTTATATAGGGAGTGGCCTTAGTTTAAGCCATTCTTCATGACTGCTCCTGTGTAATCTCAGTTTAAAAAAAAAAAAAGTCAAAGAGGGTCTGGAGAGATAGCCCAGAGATAGCACTGACTGCCCTTCCAGAGGACCTGGGTTCAATTCCCAGCCTCTGCATGGCAGCTCACAACTGCCTGGAACTCCAGTTTCAGGGAATCCTGCACCCTCACACAGACAAAACATGCACGTGAAACACTAATACACACAAAAATAAATAGATCTTTAAAAAAAAAAGGACGAAGAAAATACCTGTAATTATTTGTTGCCCAGTCGGGCGATGGTGGTGCACGCCTTTAATCTCAGCACTCGGGAGGCAGAGGCAGGCGAATCTCTGTGAGTTCGAGACCAGCCTGGTCTACAGAGCTAGTTCCAGGACAGGCTCCAAAACCACAGAGAAACCCTGTCTCGAAAAACCAAAAAAAAAAAAAAAATTATTTGTTGCCCATTCTTAGTCATTTTTATAGAACATTTTACAAACATTTTCAACTCACATTTCAAGGAGAGATGTACTACGATAGCGCCTAGTTATTTTGATAACCTTCCACTCATAGCTCCTGACAACAGACTTCAGAGGATATTATTTTGTCTTACACCATGATTTGTGCACTCATATTGACTCTCAGTGCTCAATGGGCTGGTAAAAGCACAACTCCTCACAGCATTAAGCATAAACCCCGTGAACAGAATGACTTTGATTGCTAGTATATTTTCATGCAAATTCAGAACACGGAAACAAGCTGATGACGACGGAGCTGTTTACAGCACATTAACCAGCATAAGTTTTATAATTAAGGCGGCTGCAGAAAAGAGAGAAAGTTGTTTTCTTTAGAATTTGTTACCTACTGATTATAACACAGCCGGCAAGGCTACAAAATCCATTTTTATAAACGCTGATAGCATCTGGGCCGAACACTAAGGAAAATTGTTTTCTAGAAGTTTTTCAAGGATACTTGTGCTGTGAAGAGGGGGAGAGAAGGCAGAGGTAAAGGTGAACCAAATGGCCTTGAGAGATGATGAAGTAGAAACTCATTTGAATGGAACAGACTGCTGAGTGACAGGTTTTTGTTTTGTTTTGAACTTGCTATGTTGACCAAAGGCATGGGGCTCTCTGGGGCATTGACTGGGAGACAGTGTTTTGTTCTTTTGGTTGGCTTTTCAAGACATGGTTT